CCCCCCCCCCCCCCGATTACTTTAAGGATATTGTAAACATTGTCCTTCTTATCTCATTAATCTTCTATGAGAAAGGATTGTTATTATTGAATCTATTCTAACGTTGGAACAAGGTTGTACTTAATAAACAGCAGTAACCGATTTGAATTTCAATTTTTGAATTTTTCCGAAAAACGATTGTCCCACAATAACTGAAAAATCAATGTTCTGAATTGATTGAATGATGGCTTAAAAAAATTGTTTGGATGTCCTCTTGACCGAGTTCGAAGACGAAGGCGATAGCAATAATCGTTACTTTAATTTATTTGAAAATTTGCAAAAATTTTGTATTTTTTAAAAATCAGAATTCCAGGAAAATTTTTGAATATCATGTTTCAAATGAATTAAATCATAGCTTAAAATGTTTGTTTTAATGCCATTAAGTCGAAGTTAAAAGATGATTACGATAGCTATATTGGTTGATTTAATGTTTATGATAATTCTTCAAAATTTCGAATGTTTCATGAATTTCCCTGAAAGTGAGCTTTCTGATGCTGTCTTCAAATGTGATGTTTCAAATTCATTCAAGTATGTATAAATAAAATTTTTCTATTAACATTCTATCGAAGGGCTGAGCGGAGAGATAGAACCGTAAAAAAGACAATCGGTTGTATAGAAGACGATAACATTCAACTAAGTTGAAAATCTGACAAAATTACTTGAAAAGAAATCTTACCAAATTTAATAAAATGAAATAAACAATGAATTCAGTAGCGAAGTGGTAAAACAGTTCAAGTCGATTTTGACTATGGCTATTTTTCAGTGAATATCTCGGGATCTGAGGGCGATAGCTAAATTTTTGTCAGGACCTTTTTTGTAGCACTCAATTTGCTCCGGAAAAAGGTCATTACAAAAATTTCGTTACCTCCTTTAGATTCGGAGATATTCTCAAAAAACTCAACTGAGAGATCTCGACTTAAACCGTTTGACCACTTCTCTCCTGAATTACACATGCTCGAAGGAAATGATGTGCAAAATAACCATTCGGAAGCATACCACTAATTATCAAAAATAACAACACTATCAACGTGAATAACAAGTAAAATGGCTTACAAAAGACCACTCACCTAGAGCAAGACAAAGACACGACAAAATAGCAGGAATCCAAGAGGCGACAGCAGCGGAGGAGCCCTTGAAAGTCTCCATAACTTCGACATAGAGTACCCCATAGGACTTGACAAGCCCAGCGACCCAGAATTGAACGAAGAAGGCCCCCCCAACAATCACCCAGCCATACCCCCCATCAAGGGGCACATAAGTGGCATTCTTAGGTCTCAAATTTTTATGCTTCTTCCTGCCCCTCTCGAACTTCTTGGACGAGCGAATCTCCCGGGACTTGGCGATAAGCGGACGCGCCGTCAGACTCGAAATTGTCAGAAGATTATCATTGTCCTCGTCATCAATGGTCTCGGGGCTGAGATGGGGTGGTACTACCGGTGTTGATGTTGCTGTTGCTTGGACCACGAGTGATGCTGGTCGTGTTGGTGATGATGCGCCCGTTGCAACTTCGTAAACTGGTGCTGAGTGAATGGACAGCAACGAGCCGAGGGAATTCGGCTGCTTCAGGTTCTCGTCGACGAGTGATTCCGATGGTACGACGAGATCTTGCGACTGTGCACCGTTGGCGTAGGGGTCAGCGATGGTCCTCGACTCCTGGTGATAACTCCACTCTCTCGGTAACGACATCCTGACTTCTTCTTCGACGCCTTCGAACGGCGGCCGTTATACATTTGAGCTCTAGGTCTTTCGATACTGTGAGCAATTTTCTTTCGTTTAGGTTTTTCTCTCGGGTAGCCGTCTGCCTTATGCAAGTCTCTACCCACTTGGGGGGGGGCTTTTCCACTGAGGTCCTTGATCCGCGCGGCAGTTTTTTTTCTTTTGGATTTTTAAGGGCTATTGTTCTTGGCTTTGGAAGTGGAACGCGAGGGGATCCGCTGTTTGGCTGCTCTGGCTGATTTTTCTCGGGTGGAAACTGCGAGGGGCGACGAGTGGTCAATGGGAATCGCCAATGGACTGGGTTGACGGCGATCGCGAATGTGATGTTAAGGGTCGTGGGGTGACTTCTGGCGCACGCGCTTCGGCGGACGGAAACTTTGACGATCAATGACGAGTGGCGCTTCGGAGAAATTGCTTTAAAATTTTGGGGGGATTGTTCTTTTAAGGGATGATGCCAATTGATTGTTTATGGCTCAGGGGGGTTCGATGTGTATCGATGTCGCCATGAATTTTGGCGGAATTTTCGCACTTGTTCCACACGGTTTTTGCCAGGGACGGGGATGGTGGGAGAAAAATTTTGCAGGAATCTCATGAGTCGGGTTCAGGCTACTTCCTAGGTAATTAACAGGTGGGCAATACCGAGAGTGAGTTGAAATTTAATGTTGCGGTTTCAAGGGGGTTGTTGCTTGTGAATGGAAGTGTTGTGTTTGTAAAATGCAAAATTTCTGATTTTTTGGGCGATTTTCAAACCATTTTCGGATGTGATCGATCGTTTTTCGACGATAATTTAAAAAATTAATGAACGAATCCAATTGCGATTTGAAATGTTTTTTACAACGCCAGCTTAACCGATTTCGATTATGAGATTGATTTCGTATCTGTTGTTGAACAAAATTTATTTTGAAACCAAACATTTTTTAAATCTTGAGAAATAATTGGAAAATTTATGTTTGAAGGAAGATGGATGGAATAATGACCGAAACAATTTTTCACAAAAAGTTGAATATTTTCTAAACCACTTGTTCGATTTCGCTATAATGATAATTTCGAAAAAAACTATCATTATATTTTTCATTGTCTGCGGAAAGTTTTTAATCGATGTCTCAATACGGAGTGAGAGCCATGTGTGTAAAGGCTCAGACTGGAAACCTGAGGATCGTGGGTTCAAACCCAATCTCCGGCGATTTATTCGCATTTTCCTCAAATTGATGATTCATTATCCATGTAATTCGTCCGAAAAGGAGAGGTAAAACATCGATGTCGTCTCAATATTCATTCGTCGGATCTCACTGTCTCTTTGAATAATCAAAGAATACCCATAAATTCGATTTCCATCCTTGTCTTTCGACAGAATAAATATAATCAATGACAAAAATTGAGAATTAGAGACTAAAAATTTTATGCGATTATTAATACGTAATAATTATGAACGCATGTGTCACCACGTTGCGAGAGAATCGTGGCAACTCGTAACTGCTTTCCTATTGCATGCGCATTCGCCTTCCAAATTTTGGCGCTTGCATGAAGTTCTTCTCTCATTCGCTCGACGTGTGAAAAAGTCGACCACATGCCCGTCACTTTTGTTTTCCTTTTTAAAGTGAGCAAGTGGTCGTGTGAGTTCCGCAGATTCTGACTGAGGAAAGAGGAGTCTTGATATGTTGGTTCGTGAAATATGAGGTTAAGTACGATCATCCAAAGTATATTTTACTGTATAATGATTAATAATAAATAATTAATTTTATTATAATTATTTTAGTTTATTTTATTATTGTAAATAAAACTTCAAATCTCATTTTTTCACATTATTAACACTTGGAAAAAATAAAACTTTTTTATAATCTTCATTTCGACCATATTTTGATTGAAAATTAATGGTTTAATAATATTAATAATTAATAGTTTGAAAATTAAGATGGAGAAAAAAATTGTTTATAAAAACCATTCATTTGATGTGAATAACAAAAATAGAAATCAACTAAAAATCAAGTGTGAGATTGAAATTCAAATTTTAATTTCTAATAAACAATTCCTCTAGGCGCAACAGAAAATGATCGATTGTTTTTAAAAGTTGCCGCATTTATATATGAGCAGATACTACGAAACAATGCGAAACTGTTCATTGCGTGAATATATTTTCCTCCCATTATCAAGGTCACGCGCTGGAATTTATCTGTTACCAGTAACCATAATGATAAGTAGAGTTACGCAATAGTCACAAGTAAAAGTGTTCATTTTCGCGTGTGTCATCTTTGTTAAACTAACGGAGTTTGTCATTCCGCTCTTAGATTACCCAATGCGATAATGAGTCTGAAATTCGCGAGCAATTTGAGTTTCATGTTCACGGAATGTCCTAGTATAGTAGGAAGATATCAGTTGGCTAAAGATGCGGGTTTTCAAGCTGTCGAGAGTGGATTTCCGTTTGGATATTCAGTGCAGCAAGTGACGCAGGCTAAGGAAGCCGCTCAAGTTGATCAAGTGCTGATAAATGTCTTCACGGGTGAGGAGAAATCGATTTCATCATTGAGTTTATTCTTTGTCATTTAGCAGAACGAAACATATTAGTATATTTTATAATATGATGTAAGTGAAAAAGGGCAATTTTTTAACGCTTCGCGCGCAACGAATTGTTTTTTTCTCACCAGAATCATAAAATATCGTACGATACATATGAAAAAATGTACTTCAGACGAGTATGATTACAGACTTCGCCTTTGCCTCGGCTTGTAACCCTCACACTCGTCAACAACTACTTTTTCATCACTTGGGCGAAAAGGGGGATTTTGCGCACGAGAAGCGCGAAGTTCACTCGTCGCGTTAAATCGCGATTTTAGCATCATTGTTGGAAGGGGTAGTAAAGTTAAAATCCAAGTTTAGACTTGTCTTAGGGAGGGGGGGCCGTGGACTGTTTTCAAATTCCGGCAATTTTCGCGAGAAATCGCGAAGTTCACTCGTCGCGTTAAATCGCGATTTTAGCATCATTGTTGGAAGGGGTAGTAAAGTTAAAATCCAAGTTTAGACTTGTCTCAGGGAGGGCGACGGTAGACGGTTTTCAAATGCCGGTGATCTTCGCGTTCAATCGCGAAGTTCTCTCATCGCGTTAAATCGCGATTTTAGCATCATTGTTGGAAGGGGTAGTAAAGTTAAAATCCAAGTTTAGACTTGTCTCAGGGAGGGCGACGGTAGACGGTTTTCAAATGCCGGTGATCTTCGCGTTCAATCGCGAAGTTCTCTCATCGCGTTAAATCGCGATTTTAGCATCATTGTTGGAAGGGGTAGTAAAGTTAAAATCCAAGTTTAGACTTGTCTCAGGGAGGGCGACGGTAGACGGTTTTCAAATGCCGGTGATCTTCGCAAAAAATCGCGAAATTCTTTCATCGCGTTAAATTGCGAAGTTCTCATCGCGTTAAATCGCAAAGTTCTCTCATCGCGTTAAATCGCGAAGTTCTCTCATCGCGTTAAATCGCGAAGTTCTCTCACCGCGTTAAATCGCGAAGTTCTCTCATCGCGTTAAATTACGAAGTTCACTCGTCGCGTTAAATCGCGATTTTAGCATCATTGTTGGAAGGGGTAGTAAAGTTAAAATCCAAGTTTAGACTTGTCTCAGGGAGGGCGACGGTAGACGGTTTTCAAATGCCGGTGATCTTCGCAAAAAATCGCGAAATCCTTTCATCGCGTTAAATTGCGAAATTCTCATCGCGTTAAATCGCAAGGTTCTCTCATCGCGTTAAATCGCGAAGTTCTCTCATCGCGTTAAATCGCGAAGTTCTCTCATCGCGTTAAATTACGAAGTTCACTCGTCGCGTTAAATCGCAAGGTGTTCTTTGAGACTTGGGAGGGTAGCACTGCACCCTGGGGAAAAATTTTCCGGGAATTTCTCTCCGGAGTATTTTCCACGGGGAAAAAAAATCCAGCAACCAAAATAAAAGAAATAGGTATTGATTTTTCGAATTGTCTTTTGACATTAGGAGATGTATCCAAAGGCGAATTGGGATTTGCAGCAGTTCCTGGAAAAGAAGAAGAATTCAGGAATAGTATCCAGTTGACTATTGACTACGCGAAAGCTTTAAAATGCTCTAAGTACGTCAGATATATTAAATATCCCCCCACACTCGGAAGTAAATGAGGTCCCGGCCCAAATTCACACATGGGAATCTTCACTGATAGAATTTCTTTTAAGGATTCATGTGATGGCTGGAATCGTCGAGAACGTTTCACCAATCAATGACACTGTTTACGAATCCAATCTACGGTATGCGGTAGATAAGTTCGAGAAGGAGGGGATTGTTGGGCTCATTGAACCCATCAATGGATATTCAGTACCGAACTATTACATGAATTGTTATGATAAAGGTAATGTTTTTAGATATAGATTTTTAATTTACGTGAATATTGTTCTTGCAAATCAATAATGTTTATTATTTCTTAAAAATTAATTAAGTTCATTCTTATGAATCAATTAATTTAATTAATTTCTCTCTTCATTGTTGCTTTTGAATGGAAGCTTTCCAATCGTTCAATTGATTCAAAAAGTCAGAAAATACAATTTCTCGGACAGAAGTTCTTTTCAATTATTCGCTAAGGAATCGATGGAATTAAACCATTTCTTTTCCTCAAATGAAGGTAATGCTGAGCCTTATCCATCGACATTAATTGACATTTAATTCATTTAATAATTTTTCAACTTTTTACGTTGTTCCAAAAATCGGTTGCCCCACGATAACTAAAAAAAATTTCCACTTGTTTACTTTTCATTTTTCAATTTGTCTCTATTTTCATTCGCGTTTTCAATGTATTCAAATGTTTCTCAGGTCTTGCGCTTGTCAAGAAGATCAACAGCCCTCACCTGAAACTCATGTTCGACATTTTTCACTTGCAACATCTTAAAGGGAACGTCACAAATATGATCAAGGAAAATTTCCATCACTTGGGTAATTTGTCATTGAAAAATGATTAATTCTCTTGTCTATGAAACGACCGGGGATGATTTTTATTGCATGTTTATTCTGACTTTCTACAGGACATGTCCAGATCGCTCAAGTACCCGACAGAAACGAGCCGGATACGTCAGGGGAATTGGACTACAGATACATTCTCTCAGCTCTTGAACAGCTCGGCTACACTGGACACATCGGGTTGGAGTACAAACCTAAAACCAAGGCTGCTGAGGGGTTGAAGTGGATTCATAATTTCGGATACTCTCTGTAGATTTTTACATGAATTATTGTGTTATACCATCAAGCCACAACAATTGTATTTTTAATTGAATAAAATGTTGAACAAACTCTTCTGGGAGAACAAAAAATGCTGAATGCATTTGAGTTATTAGAATGAGCGAACGTTTTTTGATGACTACCAATACATATATAAATTATTTCATTTGAACACATAGAATTTCAAAACATGAATAATAAGATGATTCAGTAAATTTTGGGTCTCATCACTTTCAGAATCCGCATTCCGCGGATCATTTTCCATCCTCTGGCGATGATAGATCATCTGATCAAAAGATCTTACTTGATGCAGACAATTTTTGTAATACTTTGTTCATGTTTCGCTCGAGGAGGTGATCATTTGCGGGGAAGCCGTGCCATTAAAGGATGAAAATACCTCTCATAAACTGAAGTTAAATGATAAATATTTCGGTCGAAGCTACAGAGTTGCTATCACATCGTCACTGTTATTCTATTTGAAAGTCAGTTTTTTTCAAATAGAGCCATCTCGTTGAATCATTCATACAAATTTCTCCAACTTAAAATGTAGATTTTTGATCATTGAATTCTTTAGATATATCAATTCTTTGGAGCAACCAGATCTATTTTTCGGAAAACAATTTTCATCTCAATACACAACGCAAAATGTTTGGGAATTGGTAATCGTCAACGCGCAAAATTTCCGGTGAAAGAAACACTTGTCTGTGACTTTCTGTTCCATCAGTGTAGTTCGCCATCACAATTGTTTTCAATAAAATGTTCCATACAAAAAATCTTCGGTAGTACAGTGATCAGTATTTCTTCCTCTCCCATGAAAATCCCACAATTCACATGGAACAATGATGAAGCAAGAGCAGGAAAATAAATACAACATCGTCTAGTAATTATAATTTCATTTTTTAATTTATCTATACAATTTCCATATTCATTTCATAAGTAGAAACGTTTGAACACTCCACGCGCACATGTCATCTCAAATGTCAAATACCCGAACCGAAGTTCGCAAAAAACTACATTTCATAAAAAAACTGAAATACGAAATTTCATTCCATGATTCACGCGAACCATGCTCGTGGAGATAAACAGCCCATGAATATTGTCGTCAAGGATTATCTTACAAACACAATAATCTCTAAATCTACGCAAGAATCATGACATTAAATTCGCATTGTTCTCCTTATCCAACAATCTCAATTCCCTAGCAACACGAGAAAATCGTAGGCAAGTTGCCCTCGGCACCCTTGCAAATTAGTTTTGAAAAAATCCTAGTGCTGAAGTTTCTGTGCCTTTGATGAATGAAAAATTATCGCAACATGGCAGTAGAAAATTTTACAATTATTAGTAAAATCATGAGAAATCGCCGAGTCATCGACTCAATCACTGCACACACTGACTTATGATAAATGATAAAAGATTCTCGTTGAAGTATTGTACAAAATATCGAGGACGAAATGAGTTACACTGTCTCGGTTTGGTTCACCAGCGGCTCGTTGGCATCTACTGTTGGACCTAGCACGGCCGTGCTAAAATATCAATTGAAGTGGTATGAAAAAATAGAATAGAACGTTCCAGCTCTTGGGCTGGGAAGTTTCATCTCAAATTCAATAGTTCTTTGCCGATTTTTTGTGATAAACGAGAGCTGTGATAAACGAATAAATTAAAAAATGCATCTTCTCCCGCATTTTTCATAATCAAGGAGCGAAAATTTCAGGTCAGATTCAAAAATCTATTTCGAAAAAAAATTCATTGCGAATTTTTGTTAAGTTGATCTTTCGAGTCGAAAAAATTTGATTCTCCACTTTTGAGCGGCAGGAGACAATCATCACCTACAAAATCAGATTCCTGAGGAAAAATCTCATGGAAAATATTTTGTATTTGTATTTGTAATTTTTTTTTTCGAAAAAAACGAAAAAGTTTTTTTCCCGGGGTGAACCCATAAATTTTCTTCCCATAAATTTTCATGAATTGAAGGGATTTTTCAACAGGGAAAAGTCAATAGATGACATAAGATTCCCAATGTAAGGGTCCGAATATTTTACAATTCAGTAGCGAAGTAGTAAAACGGTTTAAGTCGACTTATCTCTTAGTTGAATTTTTTAAGAATATCTCCGAATCTAAAGGAGATAACGAAATTTTCGTAATAACCTTTTTTCTAGAGCAAATTGAGTGCTACAAAAAACGTCTTGACAAAAATTTAGCCATCTCCCTTAGATTTCGAGATATTCACTGAAAAATGGTCAATAGTCAAAATCGACTACAACCGTTTTACCACTTCGCTACTGAATTGATTTTTTCGACGACTTGCCTAGAGAAGCTAGAGAAATTTTTGTTTCTCTCTCGCAAATCAGCAAACACCAACAGAATTATCGAATGAAGTCCCCGCGCAAGGCCCTGCAGCCTATTAAATTTCTTCATGCATAAGAATTCGAGTTCATAAAATAAAAAAATACAGGAGTCCCTTAAAGTACTTGAAGCCCAAAAAAAAATTCATCCTGCAGATAGATTTGCAGCAAGCATTATCACGTGTTCATAAGCACTATCATGCAAACTAAATAGTGTAAATAACGGAAAAATATGTTTTACCCAGCACCAAGTGCAAGAATCGTTGCCTCTGCTACCAAACTCATATCATCGAGTGCGGACCTATGCCCAGAAATAACTGATAAACTCAACGGTAATTTAGGGTAAATTGATAATTCCTGTTCATGATCCCCAAGCTTGTTTAGCTGTTTATCCTCCATGCTTGTTTTATTCCAAGTGTTTCGTTACTCATAGCCAAAGCGAATAAAAAAATAAGCTCTGCAAAAGGGAGAAGAGGGGCCATATTCGTCACAAATTATCAGGCGAATTAATTTTTTATATTTTTGATTGACGCAAGTACAATATCGCTGAAAATTATAATTATAAGTCATGATTAGACGTGAATACAGTGAATCTGTCATTAAATTTATTGAATTTGATTATTTACAAGCCATTTATGAACTAAATAAGGAATGTTAACAATATTTCTAACGAATATATTGTGAATTATGTTCATTCAAATCTCACATCACTATCAGCTTCTGGTAGTCTCCGATTATATTTCACTGGTGTGGGGCAGTTCGTCACTGATTATTTTGTTCTAGTTTTATTGTCTCGCTTGGAAAGCAAAGTCTTGACCCCTCAAGTACAGCGACCGCATTAGAGCTGCAAACAGCCCCGATTTGCGTTCACACAGGACAAGCTCTCGGGCCCTATGTGGCATGGACGCCGTACTTGATGGGTTAATAAGCCTCGATAAATGATAGTATTAATTGATAATCATATTTATAGAAATTAACTATTCTGTAGATATTCTTCGTAATATGAATTCGATTTAATAGCACGGAGTAAATGCTGCTGTGGATTCGGAGAGAGACGTCGGTCCCAGAAACTACTTATTGCACTCATTGCACTTTTTTGCAGAGGTTTTTAGGATAAATGAGCGAATAATAACGAGTTATTAGAAAAATAAAATTCTAATGATTTTTTCTATAAAATAGTTGCTATTGGACATTTTCCAGAAGAAAAAGGGCAGTAAAGCTGTGGAATTCTTCAATAGAATTGACCAAAAAATGATGAAATTTTTCAATAGAAGTTCAATAGAAATCCAATAGAACTTTCTATTAGTTTTTGGCCGATTCTATTGAAACATTCTGCAATTTATCGGCACCTTTTTTCAATAGAAATGTTTATTGAAAATCATTCTATAGTACTCGATTTTTCTATACAACTTGTTCTATAGCGAAATTTCCTATAGAAATTCCTCGCCTCAAATTTTCCACGTTTTTTTGTTCATTTTTTTAAATGGAAAGAGCAAATTAGAAATTAGAATGGAAAAACAGAAAATGCTATGGATAAATTTCTATAGAAAATGTCTCAATAGAAAAAATTTTATAGAAAGATGAAATTCTATTGATTTTTTCTATAAAATAGTTGCTATTGGACATTTTCCAGAAGAAGGGCATTCAAGCTGAAGAATTCTTCAGTAGAATCGACCAAAAAGTAATGGAATTTTCAATAGAAGTTCAATAGAAATCCAACAGAACTTTCTATTAGTTTTTGGCCGATTCTATTGAAACATTCTGCAATTTATCGGCACCTTTTTTCAATAGAAATGTTTATTGAAAATCATTCTATAGTACTCGATTTTTCTATACAACTTGTTCTATAGCGAAATTTCCTATAGAAATTCCTCGCCTCAAATTTTCCACGTTTTTTTGTTCATTTTTTTAAATGGAAAGAGCAAATTAGAAATTAGAATGGAAAAACAGAAAATGCTATGGATAAATTTCTATAGAAAATGTCTCAATAGAAAAAATTTTATAGAAAGATAAAATTCTATTGATTTTTTCTATAAAATAGTTGCTATTGGACATTTTCCAGAAGAAGGGCATTCAAGCTGAAGAATTCTTCAGTAGAATCGACCAAAAAGTAATGGAATTTTCAATAGAAGTTCAATAGAAATCCAACAGAACTTTCTATTAGTTTTTGGCCGATTCTATTGAAAAATTCCGCAGTTTATCTGCACCTTTTTTCAATAGAAATGTTTATTGAAAATCATTCTATGGTACTCGATTTTTCTATACAACTTGTTCTATAGCGAAATTTCCTATAGAAATTCCTCGCCTCAAATTTTCCACGTTTTTTTGTTCATTTTTTTAAATGGAAAGAGCAAATTAGAAATTAGAATGGAAAAACAGAAAATGCTATGGATAAATTTCTATAGAAAATGTCTCAATAGAAAAAATTTTATAGAAAGATAAAATTCTATTGATTTTTTCTATAAAATAGTTGCTATTGGACATTTTCCATTGAAAAATTCCGCAGTTTATCTGCACCTTTTTTTCAATAGAACTGTTCATTGAAAATCATTCTATAGAAAAAGTCAATAATACTCGATTTTCCTATACAACTTATTCTATAGCGACATTTCCTACAAAAATTCTTCGGCTAAAATTTTCCAAATTTTTTTGCTCGATCTGTTAAATGAAAAGAGAAGCGAATTAGAGTGGAAAAACCGAAAAATCATATCGAGAATTTTCTATAGAAAATGTGTGAATAGAAAAAATCGTCCAGAAAGCTAAAATTCTACCGATTTTTTCTATAAAACAAAACACCTGCAGAATTCTTCAACAGAATCGGTCAAAAAATAATGAAATTTTCAATAAAAGTGCAATAGAAATTCGACAGAATTTTCTATAAAATTCCCTAGATTTATCCATCAATTTTTTTCGTGCGTGATAAGATTCCTTGAAACTCGACAATTCCAAATGTATCCGAAAGAATTCCACAACCAAAAAAAAAACTATGATTTTTTCGTCGAACAGAGATCCTTTGACAAAGCAACCAGAATTTTCGATAAAATACCTGAGAATGAGGCAATAATTAAGTAGCACATCCTCGACAATAATTTCAAGTCCTGTTATCACCAAGAAGTGTGTGAGTATCTTCGTCGCAGAGCCTCTCCGGAAATGTTATTCCATCGCCAAAACTGTAAATCCGAATCCCAATTTTTCTTCCTCTTATTTTCAACTCAATGTCATCACAATTGCGGTGGATCAAGACTACGTACTGTTCACATTGGGTTGTACTCTATCCACAATATAAGGAACCAGATGCACAATACCTCTCCAAGAGTAACGACTCATGTGTGCTAGGTGATAACGATTTACAATCCTCACTGATTGTATCTCATGTACATGCATCCAACTAATTAATGACAACTAATCCAATCTCTCTTTCTACTAGTCTTTTGGGAGAGGATCGCATTCTCTTCGATGATGATAATGCTGATGATGATTTCTACTAATGATGATGCCCGAGTGATCATACACTGGAACTGCGGGATCAACAGTTTTTGAAGCATTTCGATCGTTTGAATGCTCGCTTGATTTTATTATTAATCGACTCTTTTTCATTGAGTTTTATTTTTTATTCGGGGGTGGGAGGGGGGGGGTGACAAGTATGAAAAAATGTAGACGTTTTGTAAGAGTAAGGTTGGAGTTTACAGGAGTCTGGCTGAAGGGATTCTGTTCCCTTCGAGAATTTCTTGATTTTTCGAGTTTTTTCCTAGAGGGAATTTCAACAGACATTTTTTTAGATAATATTCTATAGAGATTTTTAATAGGAATTCATCTATGTGAATTTTTCGAGTTGTTATTTTGCACTTTTTCGTGAAAAATTGAGAGACAGTGTAAAAAACATGGAAAAGTCTTTGGATTTGTTCATATAAATAATTTCTGCCGAATAAATTGTATAGAAAAATAAAATGTAGACGTACAAAAAATTAGCGATATTAGATTTTAAATAAGGATTTTGAGAATTCTAGGATTTTTCCATTTTTTTTAGAGAAAATTTGAACAGAATTAATTTTTATCTTTCTAGAAAACTATCTATTGACATTTTTTTAATAAAAATTCATCCATACAAATTTTCCAAGTATTGTATTTTATATTTTCTCACGAAAAAAATTAAAAAGTGTATAAAACCCGGAAACTCTTCAAGATTCTTCAATACAAATGAATCTTGCAGAATAATGACTACAAAAGACCAAAAAACTCTGGCCTTTGCCCCGAGAAAAAATAAATTCCCATAAATATTCTTCAATTTTCAAAACTCACCATAAAAAAGTATCTCATAAAATAAAACTCATTCCTTACAGGTCTCCCCAATTTTTTCACACTTGTCAAGGCGCAATAATGATTTGAGTGAAGCCTTCGCAGAAAAATAATTTGAATAAAAATTGCAAGGAGGATATATTAATGAAATCACAGAGCTAGCGATTGATCATGCACATGCGAGAATAAATCGCCATTATGGAACGTAAAAAATCAAATGTTAAGCAGTAATTATTCATGATTTTATTTTTTTCCATAATAACGAAGGAAGATTCAGTGAAATTATTCAACAAAGAACCCTTCGATCTTTTTTAATCCTAGAATGCTGACCTGTTTTGAGTACTGCCCATCGAGTTGTACGTATTGAGACCACTCTGATGCTGGGATCGAACTGGATAGATCACTCCGTCCCCAAGACTAAAACAGGCGGTTGGTATCCCCCCCTCAGTCGTTTTTTTTCTCTCAGATATTTTAATTTCATCAATTTTGAACTTTTTTCACTTGGAAATTGTCACCTACACTTTAATGATCATCTCATCGTCTCTAAATTCATTTAGACTAGATTCTCTCATTATTTTTACACATGCTCTCGTCTCAATTAATAGATTCTCGTAGAAAATTGTAATGCAACAACAGATACTTTTGAGTCAATGGACATCCAATCAATTAAGCATTCGATCGAAAGAACACTTGACAAATGCATGGCAATTACAATAATCATAGTAAATAATAGTGTCACATAGCAGTGGTTACAGTGTACAAATTATCACACACGAAAAAATTTAATAGAAAAACCTAGTGAATTGGCTAGACAATTCTATTGGATTTCTATTGAACTTTCTATTATGGGAGAGTGGTGCAAAATGAAACTTCTGTTTATTAACTTTTTTTATTATTGGAAGTACTGACGGGAATAATTTTTTATTCGGTAGAAAGGAACGTGCGGTGCGAAAAAATCACCGATATTTGAAACCCCTATATAGCGTATCCATTACCTCCACAAATGAATCCCACACTGAGAGAAAAACGACAATGTTTTCAAACAAGTCTTACTTGTGCCAAGATAATAGTTTTTTGAAAATGATCAAAAAAGGATTTTTTTGTGCCAAACATGCGGAGAGTGCGCCGGAATGAAAAATTTTTGTCGCAAAAATAGATTTAGTAGTTTAAAAAAAATTGCATTCTCTGTACACGCAAGAAATGTCATTTCTAGCAGTACTCCTTCGTTATTCGATACTCCCATACGTATTTTGCTCCCGAAAGATCTTTGTTTTGTGCTTGACAACGGCTTTGTTTTTCTCTCAGTGCACAGATGAATCTCACTCCCCTGTTAGATCTCGATCTCAGTCGTTTTTCGGCTGTTTCATTTTGCCCCACTGTTTCATTTTATATCAAATAATCTATAGAAAAAATCAATAGAATTAGATTTTTCCAAGTTTTTTTTCATTCAAATTTTATTTCATTTTCATCAAGAAAAAGTAAACAAAACAACTTTATTTTATAGAAAATTTTATAGAAAATATCTCAATAGAATAAGTTGCATAGAAAAATCCAATTCTATGGAACATTTCAGTAGAATCGGCCAAAAAGTAATAGAAAGTTCAATAGAAATCCAATAGAATTGTCTCGCGATTTCGCTAGATTTTTCTATTAAATTTATTCGCACGTAATTCGAATGCTCTTTATCTCAGTGAGTGCAGACTACACGTAAATGAAGAAAAATTATTTTTATTGAATTTGTGATTCAATGATTGATTCTAGATTTATTTTTATGAGGATTGGTATTGTGCAGTTGGCTCAAAATCATTCTCTTATCGATAATAATTATTTTTACTTTTCGGCTTCATTTCAGGAGTGAAGTTGTGAAATAGGAAATTTTTATAAATTTAAGAGTTGAAGAAATTGGAATCTCCTCTAAATTTGAAAATATTTTATGTAAAAAAATATCTCAAGTTGAGCAAATTTAACTTGGATATCAATTTTTTGGAACTATCTCGGAATTTTAAAAGAACAGAGCAAAATTTGTAGAAAACTTTTTTGCAAAACAAAATGAGATCTACAAAAATCGTGAAGAAAATTTAGTTTTTTCGGGAATACAAGACGCATTCTGTAGGGAATTCTGTGGGTGCTCTGCAGAAATTCCTGGATATTTTGCTGGAACTTAATTAAAAGTTTCACTTGAAATGTTGTCTTTAGTTTTGATTTCTTTCAAAAATTTTCTAATCGTTCTCCATCTTTCCATTGATTTTCTCGAAATATGAAAAACAAACATCATTTTTAATTAAATTCTAGTAAGAATCCAATAAAATTCTCACAGAATTGTCTATAAAATTTTTTTCACATCTGAGATTGAAAGATTTTTATTGAAAATAGTCTTGAATCTGACTGATTCGGTTTAACCACTTCACTACTGATTGAATTTTTTATTCTATTTGAAGATAAAGTAAAAAATTAATACTAATTTGTTGAACTCACCTAGTAAAAACTGGTAGACACCACAGTCTCCCATTATCCCCAAATACTTCTTGGAAGTTATTGTATTTTCCAATGCTGAAACCATCTTTATCCTTGCCCATTCTAAACATCGGAGGTCTAAACGCCTCTGGAATAATTCAAACAAACAAAATTAATATTATCTTTGAATGAGTCAATCAAGCCCTAACTGCATTGAAATTCGATCGATATCTTTTAAGAAAATTTCAAAAAAGAAATGAACAAAAAAGATCACACACGAACTTTTATTAAACAATTCAAGCAAAAAATCTCTGAAATGAATTAATTCACTCTCTAAAATAATTTCTACTCATCTGAAAAAAGTATGGTTGAAAAAAGGTCTTAAAAAACGGAATTTTCCAAAAGAATAAGTGAAAAATGACTAAAATTACATAATAATAATCCGATAAAATTTTTCATCGCCGATTTGAATTCTTTGCTATTTTTTTATGTGTTCTATGAACATGTGAGGATAGGAATTGAATTTATGGGTATTGGTTCATTATTCGAGAAAATATATCAATTAAAAAATTTTCCCTAGACATTGAAAAATTAAAAATTCTGTTTTCGTGTTGATCTCGTTTTTCTTTCTCTTTTCACTTTGTTCCATCAGAATTAGATAATAGAAAAAAATACATTGGTTCGTTTGCATTATTAAGAAAAAACGTTTTGAAATTTTCAAGATTGAAGAATCGATTTTTCCATTTTATTCATATTGATTGATGATGACCGATCTCTCTTTGCAATTTACTTATTCGGTTCCATTGAAATGGATGTAAAATGTTCAAATTTGTTCACCTTTTCCGATCATTGGTACTAATTAATTTAAAGAAAAAGAAAGAAATGAGAAATTTCAGGTATGATTATCGAAAATTGTTTGTCGATCTCTATTCTCACGTGATTTATGGGAAATTCCTCTTCATTCAATGTTGTAACTTGCGAATTAAGGAACAAAAATTTGTATAATAACGACAAGAATGAATAAAATTAAATTAATCTTATTGTGCAGACGGAAACGGAACGAAAATGAAATAAAATAACATAGTATAAATTAATCTAGTTCCACGAAAATTTAACAATTAATTTTTTCATGTCTTAATCATAAAATACGAACCCAGAGTCGACCTGTTGTGCAGGATGAGGTAGCAGTGGTAGAAAAACAGTGAGTTGAGACTGACAGCGAACATTAGAGAGACGAAGAAGAGAAACAGCAAGTGGAATTTGCCGGTTCCATCCAGTTCCCCCTGATCACCAAACCAAACCTTCCATCAATTCGATAATTTACCCATTGATTCTTGTTACTCAATAATTCCTGTTGGTATTACCTTCCAAAAATGTATGAAATACTGGAGGGAGGTGGCGGCGATGAATACGCAGTAGAGCAGTGCGTACATCAAAAAGAGCATGAAGAATTTGTAATTGTGATAGGCAACACAATTGTTCACCCAGGGACAGTGATGATCCATCTTCAGGACACACTGACGACAGACACTGCAGTGGTGAGCACGATCTGGTTTTATCAGCTGACATTTGTCGCAAAATCTAATGGCTAGAAGGGAAATTTCCCATCAGTTTAGACATAATTTTGAAAAAATCATATAAAACTACAATTTAAGTAGTTGATGATGATGGAGTACTGGTTGAAATAGTAATTTTGAGTGAATTCTCTTGTAAGAATGAATAGTATTCATTTATTCGTGACTCTAGTACTAAATTAGGATTTATATTTTGGGTTTCAACCCATGAGGGTTTACAATTTTCAAAATATCTTTAAATTTGAGAGGAATCCGGAAATTTTCATGAAGAGCTTTTTTGCAGAGAAAACGGAGAGCTACAAAAGTGGTCCTTATGAAAATATCGATATCTCCTTTCGATTCCGATTTACTGTCCGAAAAATGATTTCGATTTGAAATAGAATTTTGTATTCTTCAATCTTCAATAGCTGTTAATCGAACGAAACGATTTTGATGAGTCACATCTCATTTTGAAGTTTAAAAAAATATGTTGAAAATGAGATGAAATTTCTGAAAGTTCACTCTGCCAATCTCGAGATATTGCCAAATGAAGCCGATCAATTTCGCTCTGTTCTCATTAAGTTTCTAATAAATTAAGTTCAGGTTCTAATGCATATCTTTGAGTCTGGGGAATAGAAAATTTTTGATAGAAAAATTTATCAATCAAAAACTAAACTGACAATGAGTCAAAATTCCTGGTTTATCTCCAGCGACAAGTCATACCTCCCCTGACAGTTCGATTAGTCACAGGTAAATCTTGTGCAAGTCTCTCCAGTATCGCTGACTGCGCCTCTTCACTCTGCGCCTGCTGGAGTTTCTCCATCTCCACAGCAGGTACCTTAAACTAAACAAACATACCCAAATAAATAATTTATAATTTATGTCTTCGAATTTTAATCGACAAATTTGTTTACTCAGCTCACCATATCCGGAATTGGCACTAATTCCGTAAAAACAGTCTGCCAGTATGACCACAGGAAGATGAGGAATAAAATATGAAAGAAGAAGAGATAGAAAGCTGAAAAAAATTGACAAATTTACGATACAATGTCTCGGAAATTCCCAAGGTTTTATTTTAATTGTTGATGCAGTAATAAAGTTGAGGAATGAGATGAATTGATTATTTTTGTAAGACCACGTATGAAAAAATTCAATGAATTGTCTTTATTTTTCTGTAATTTTCAGAGTATTCCAATAAAAATTTCCTAGAATGGCTCGGAACGCACTTTTTGTTAATTAAACTTTTTCATACGTGATCACTAGTAAATGAACCTTCAGCCTTGATTTCATCGAGCTACTCACCCTTTTGTACATTACTTTCAATAGTATCTGAAACAGATTGGACACGACATTACAGAAAATCAATGAATCCATCATTACCAATTGAATAAAGCCATCAAGGTAATACCGACCAAACTTATCAAATAAATCCTTTCAAAAAATAATAATAGACAATTCCATTCAATTTCTATTGAACTTTTTATTAATTTTTGGCCGATTCGATGGAAATGTTCAATAGAATTAATAGAATATTCTATAGAAAAAATCAATAGAATTCGATTTTTCTACACAAATTATTCTATTGAAATACTGAATTTTCGAATTGTTTTTCTTTCTGTTCTCCTTTTTGTTTTATTAAGAAAATCAAACAAAAAAAATTTTTAAATTTGAGAAAATAAAATTTTATATAAAATAGCTTCATAGATACTTTTGCCACAGAATAATAATATTTTCTATTAAACATTTCAATAGAATCAAAATAACAATTGATAGAAAGTTTAATAAAAATTCCATAGAATTGTCCAGCGAATTGAATTTTCTATTAATTTTCAAACAATCTATAAATCTATTTTTCGATACAACTTATTCTATTGAAATTTAGAATTTTCAACTTTTTTTGATATTTTTCTTCTTTTTATTTAAAAAAATAAGCAAAAAACTTGAAATTTGGAGTCAAGAAAATTTTACATTAAATAACTGACTACAGTAAGTTCTAGAGAAATCGAATTCTATGGACTTTTTCCACAGAATGATAATATTTTGAATTAAACATTCCAATAGAAATCCAATAGAACTGTCAAACGAATTGATCTCCAAAATAAACAGAAAAAAAATGGAATGAGGTTAACTCGACAACAGACAGCTCCACTCAATAAATTCATCATCAATAAAATTTCTCCCCTAAAAAATCATTTTAATAGACCAATCTCTAGGTTAACTCACAGTAACAGAGTTGTACGACGTAGGCATAATAAGACCAGAATACGATAGTGAGTATGAAGATAACGGGTATCCATTTGAAGGCTCTGACGCACCACCAGCAAGAGCCGTTTTGCTTCCCCATAATAAATTCCCAAGGTTAATCAGCACGTGAATATCAGCGAATGATTGATAAAAAAAATATTAGAGTCCATCATATCCTCGTTAGTTTCATGATTCCTCTATTATTAAACTTTCGTTCAGTGTTTTACGAGACCTGGGCGTTTGGCCACACGTTTTTTTCGCCGTCCGCAGGCGAATCTAATCCACTTCATCCACGAGTCTTTATCACACGTGTGAATTCTATCAATTTCGGGAGATTAGTCACGTTATGACGGCCGTTAGCAGCCTCTGGGACATGGATATTATTTAATGTGAGGCTTGTTTTTTTTCTGGTCCTCAGACACGTCCCACTGCACACTCACACCAACATGCCCGTAAACACTGACTCCCGGCGTTGGCGAAATGCTGGGGGGTGGGGGCAGGCCTGCGCACGCGCGAGTTCATGCATGATGTTTTTATGTCACTTTTTTCCGTTTGTTTATTGGATTTTTTAAAGTAGGATGAGGATCCGGAGGAGGATCAGGAGGAAAATGAATGGAATCATCTCCAAATCCATATCATTTGTTCTTTAAAACCGGAACTATTCAGAAAATTGTGCTGTTCTTGGTGTAGACATAGGTAAAATGAGCTGGGCGAAGGAAAGTATTCATTTCCATATCCATATCTTCATTTTTTCTTTAAAACCGGAACTGCTCACAAAATTGTGCTGTTCTTGGGGAGCAGACCTCCATAAAATGAGCTAGGAAAATGAATGGAATCATCTTCAAATCCATATCTTCATTTATTCCTTAAAAACGGAAATATTCCGAACAATTCCAGTTGAGTCGCTGAGTGCAAAGAGGAAAAATAAATTTAAAATGCCAAAAAAAATTATTTATCGCTGATCTTTCTCAAGAACTCTATTCTGATTTCTCTCATCAATTCTTGATCCATCAAATTCTTTTTTGTATTATTTTTTTAAGGTGTTTCCTGTACAAAGTCAAAGTAAGGAAAAAAAATTGGAAAATGCCTGGGAGATATGTCTGAGTGTGCTGCATCAATGAAATATTTGCTTTAATTCCAAACAATCAATAATTCATGATTTTGGAAATGATTGATTATCAAATGATTCTCATTGATTGATTATCAATTGATTAATATTAGTTAATACAACTATTAGTTCACGAAAAAAATCGTTGATTAATAATTAATTTGTGTCAGATCCTCGTTTTTTATTATAAGACCAAGTTTCCATTAATTCTCACAAAAATATATTTTTATTCATTTATTTGTTGTAATCTGATTGATGTATCAGTTTTTTATTTGCAATCTGAACGCGCGCTGACAATCGCATTGTGAGCTCGAGCGGTTGATCGGTTGTAGATGTCAGAAAGTGAGAATTCTAATAATAAAGTTCTATTTCGGATGATGGGAGTGAATCGATAGATTGAAACAACATTTCAACGTGAGTATTATGGCTTGCGAATGGGGTTGTTTGTTGGCACACTTTGCATTCGCGTGTGGAGAGAGAAATTATGAGAGAAAAAATGTTTAATGGAGCGGGAAAAGTGGGAGGAAGATGAGAGATATGAAAAAAGGCGTGTTTCGCTCTTTTTAAATATGTCCTTGCACTGAGAAAAAAAATTAATATCTGAAACATATTTACTTCACACAAAATAAAATATTCTTGTACACTGAGAGAAAAACAAGCACGTTGTCAGGCAAGTCTTGTTTGGGCCAACAAAATCGCTAGTTGAAAATTGCCAAAAAAGAATTTGTTTGGTTCGAATTTGAAAGTCTCAAACATGAATAATTGTTCTGCTTCCGACAGCAACGAAATATTTGGTTCAAGAGGCGGATAATTCACACCAGACGGTGCCTTTTCAGGATGAAAATATCTCATATAGAGGAAAATTAATCAACAAATATTTTATCCCTAAGTTACAAGATTGCTATCATATCATTTGTTGTCTGTGATTATTAAATAGCCGAAACGAAAAACTACTATCCCTTGTTTCGCATAAAACATAGATTTTTCGGGCGCAAAATACGTATGGGAGTATCGAATAACGAAGGAGTAGAGCTAGAAATGACATTTTTTGCGTCTACAGAGAATGCAATTTTTTTTGAACTACTAAATCTATTTTTGCGACAAAAATTTTTCATTCCAGCGCACTCTGCATGTTTGCCACAAAAAATCTTTTTTTGATAATTTTCAAAAAACTATTTTCTTGGCACAAGTAAGACCTGTTAGAGAACTTTGTCGTTTTTCTCTCAGTGTATTGGCCAGTTTTCACTTAAAGTAGCTCTACCCTTACGGTAAATTCAAAGATTATTGAAAACTGCAAAAAATTGCCGAAAATTCGATTACATTCGGAATTGTAATTTTTTTCTCAATTTTATACACAAGTAAGATTTGTTTGAGAACTTTGTCGTTTTTCTCTGGGTTTACTCGTATTATTTTATCGCGGATGAATTCACTCAAATCGCGTAGAAAAATGGTCAATTTTCACTCTAATATAAAATACCACAACCGATAGTGAGAATAAAAATATCAACACACTGAATAAATTGGAAGAGGAAAAAAATCCTGAGAGATATCTGCATTTGCATCGCATATATGTGAGTATAAAGCGCTCTGTATTGTATTTGCATTGATGTTTGTAGATTGCTTCCAAGGCTGGTGTCAATTGCTCCGGTGGTTTCACTGATCCTCAATGACGAATTTTTCTTCTTTACGATCTCCGAAGATGTAGAGAAATAATAATTATTTCATGAAATATTTCCGGAGTTGGTTATATGATATTTGGATTTTGGATTTTGAAAATTCATGTATAGAAATAATTCGTACAGTAAATATTCGTATAGAAATATCCGAATGTCATACACGGAAATCCTGTAGAATCCTGCGCACAATCCGTATACCAAATTTCTATACGATTTTTTCATATGTGTAATCACGAAAAATCGTTGAAAAATCCTTGAAAAAAAATTCTTAACGAGAATTCCCCCCAATCTTAAGCACAACCGATGCGCTGGGTGCACCACACCACATCCTAGACGACGAAAAAAGAGGGGGGAAAAATTCCTTGAAGTTTTTATCCCCCCCAGCCCCGCAATCGGTTGTACCGCTGTCGTCACGCATGACACACACATACCAACGGCATTCGCCAGTCTGTAAACGAGACGGTTGGGTGTTGGCCGTCATTGAACCGCCGGCAGTCGCATCGGTGAGTCCTCGTCCCAATAATTTCTCTAATTATTAACCAGCGGAGCTGTCCCCCAGACCCCGCGGGGCCAAAAAAAATTGTGACGCGGACGAAAAATTATTTCAATTAATTGAATTTTCAAATGTGATGGATTCGTTTCCCGGAATGCCCCGGTGAAAACTGGATCACCTGTGTCCGTGTTTATGTACTCGCCGGCACAATTGCGTCTCGGCCCTCGGCGCGTCGATAAGACACAGCGAAATTAACACTCGAATTTATCAGTTGCAGATTTTCCGGAGCAAGTGGAATAACACGACAACAAAATGTCTCAAGGACAGTACTATCCCTTCAAGGTGAGTGGAAATTAAATCCTCGAGTCGCCTGCGGGTTTATTATTCTTTTTTCTAGGGTATTTCCAGTGAGGGCACGACCCACTTTCGGTTTAATGCTTCCTCCGCTCGTTCGATAGCATTATTTGTCGGGTAGGGGTCATTGGTTCAAAAACCATTCGGAGAATGACTTTTCGGGAAGTCCGCACGTATGAAAAAATCGTATAGAAATTTTCCATACGGATTGCGTATAGAATTTCTTTAGGATTTTCGTATATGCTATTCGGATATTTTTCATACACATTATTTCTATACGATTTCTATAGGTTTGATCATATACGACTCACTGCCACATGTATAGAAATGTTTCGTATGGAGTTGCGACATTTCTCTACATTTTTCTCTGGATCGTTTAGACATCTTTCGCATGAAAACAAAAATTTATGTAAAAATTTATGGATAGGGTGAATCGTCCAGTGTTCGAAGGAATAAGGGCACAGTTATTTTTGACGTAGACTTAAAAATATAACCAAGTCGAAAATTGATTAAAAAATAATTACAACTCCCTAAAAGGATTTTTTTGTGCTAAACACGCAGAGAGTGCGCCGGAATGAAGAATTTTTGTCGCAAAAATAGATTTAGTAGTTAAAAAAAAATTGCATTCTCTTCACACGCAAGAAATGTCATTTCTAGCACTACTCCTTCGTTATTCGATACTCCCATACGTATTTTGCTCCCGAAAAATCTTTGTTTTATGCGAAACAAGGGATAGTAGTTTTTCTTTTCGGCTGTTTAATAATCACAGACAATAAATGAACCCTTAAATGAAACAATAATAATGATATGATAGCAATCTTGTAATTAAGGGATAAAATATTTGTTGATAAATTTTCCTGTATATGAGATATTTTCATCCTGAAAAGGCACCGTCTGGTGTGAATTATCCGCCTCTTGAGCCAAATATTTCGTTGCTGTTGAAAGCAGAACAATTATTCATGTTTGAGACTTTCAAATTCGAACCAAACAAATTCTTTTTTGGCAATTTTCAACTGCATATCTACTACTGTATATCACCACCGTCCTTCTAACGGCAAATATTATTAACAACTATCATTATATTTTACTGAAAAGAATTATTATTATTTCCAATAACTGATTTTTCAGTTTTATAATTATTACATTTTATTATTATTATCATTATTCTTCTTCTTCGTCTTCTTCTTCTTCTTCTTCTTCTTCTTATTATTATTATTATTATTATACTGTATATCGCCACTAGCGATTTTGTTGCCCCAAACAAGACTTGTTTGACAACGTGTTTGTTTTTCTCTCAGTGTACTGCTTATGAAACTTGCTCACTTCAATTGATTTTTTTATCTAATGTTTACCTGAATTTAAATCCGGAATTTTATCACTAATGCTCCGAAATCTGTTCTTGTCTGTTTACATGGAATATCTCGATGGAAATAGGGCAAGGTATTTTTTATATTCTCAATATTTTTGGAGTGGATGGAGAGAATGGGACGGATGAGGCCTCAATTTGAAACTTGAGTAAAAACCCTGAGGATGGAAGAGTTTTTTTAAATTTCGTTCTGTTGAATAATTTATTTATTGTCAACGAAGCTTCTCAACTACTGACGAATGGCTCAGTTGAATAGGAAAAATATATGTTGTGCTCCAAGAGAAAGTAAATAATTTGGAAGAGAAAGTAAATAATTCAGAACTAAAATTTGGACTTGATTTTCATTGGTGTTTTATGTGACATTAAATGGTCAATTTTTGAAATATAAACTCATGCTTCCTTGATCCAAATGGAAGCTATTATTTTCAAATTGAATGAATGGAATTTAGACAGCGAAGAAAATCTATTAAATTTGATGATTGTTTATTCGGATCAAATACATCGTTTACTTGATGCTAATTGAGGTTTTATTTGGAATTGATGCATCATTAATTTCATATAAACAGAACTTTTTTAGTCAAGTAAAGACATAAGTCATTCATTTAAAGCGAAAGTATTGCTGACATGAATAAAAAAGTAGTTTTATTCTACTCGAATGCATAATTTCTCTGGTTGTTAGATATAAATTAACGAATATATTCAAAAAAAATTCGAGCTTTTGGAATAAATTAATTCTTCCATGCGTGTGCGAATAAAATTCGCGAATGTTTCAAGATCAATTTGTTTAAAGATCTATTTTCCAGAGAAATAACAGAATTTTTCAATTTTTTCTAGAGCACAATAAGAGAGCTGTTTATAAATATTTCGCTGTCTCTGTTGTCTTCAAATATATTCGTCGGAAACTCACTTTAAAGATGAGTCACCGCTCTTAAAACTTCGTCACTGGCGTCAGGGTCAGTTTTTTGTTATGAATATTCTTGAATCAGTAGGAGACTTACGGGAACCTTTCTGCAGTGCCCATTCTATGATTTTATAATTCTAGTTTTATAAATAAAAAAAAAGTTTTCTAATTTTTTCTAGCCTCATGGAAAGCTTCTCGGCCAAATCACGAAAATGATTTTCAAATATTTTCCTGTTTAGAGCTTGAGTTATTTATTGAAAAGTAATTTTCAAGGTGACTCATCTTGTTCTGCCCCTTCTCTCCTGAATCAATTCACCTACTCTTCAACTTTTAATGTCGATACTATGAAACGTCTTTGAAACCTGTCATCCTAGACCTTTTTGCTTTCAAATGGAACCTTTGTAATCCTTCAAGTTTCAGTTTCCAATTTTTTAAAAAGTCTGTATGTCTTTTTTCTTCGTTTTTTTTTTCGAAATTTCATGAATTTTTTCATGAAGATAGACTTTAATAAGCTCTATTCATTGACACCAAATAAAATTCAAGTTTTCATAAAGATTCGAAAAGATTGATATATTCCCAAAAATCGATTTTTCAACGATCGCTCAAAAAATTGTCATCAAAATGGAATTAGTCACGGCTCAAAAAATTGATAACAATACCCTCTTGATTCTATCAGAATATGATGGGTGTCGCCCAATTCGTTGAGTTACAGAGCATTGTTTATGCGATTTGAAAGAGAAAATCGGTTTTTTCATGATTACTGAAAGAATCATCAGTAATAGCAATTAAATCAGGGCTTGAAAAGTATATTTCAATGGCTTCTTAATCAAGTTGAAAAATGTTGAGAACAGCATCATTGCTTATCAAGTTACACAATACCGTCATGAGGTTTTTATATCAAAATCTCTATCTCTATTAAACTCAGGTAGCAGTCCATTATGTTGAATACTTATTCATATTGATTCATGGTCCCGACTAACTTCTGACAGAACCTGGGTTAAACTCCGGCTAAATCCTGAATAAACCCTGATTAAATCCCGGCTATACACTGATCAAACCTTCATTGAACCTCGATTAACCCCGGACTGAAAACGAATTCGAGTCTTGAGAGGGTCTGAATGTAGAATTATTCGACAGAACGAAATAATATGCAAAATTTTGATGGCATTTCAATTGACGACAGTACTATGACATAAAAAAATAGAAGAAAAGAATAGTGAAATAAGAATTGAAAAACGAAAACCCATTGCAAATCAAATTGCTAATCTATTAGCAACAATAACTATACTCATTTATTGAAAAATGCAATTGTCCACTTGTTTTACGCATAAATTGTTGTTTGCCGCAGTGTACACCAACTGTGTACCCCGCCGAGCCCTTCGATGCGACCTCCGACGCAGCATTGCTGCGAAAAGCAATGAAGGGCTTTGGTACCGATGAAAAAACATTGATCGATGTTATCACGAGACGCGGAATAGTCCAGCGTCTGGAGATCGCCGAGGCGTACAAGACCCAGTACGGAAAGGACTTGATCAGTGACCTGAAGAGCGAGCTGTCTGGAAAACTGGAAGATGTTATTATCGCCCTCATGACGCCACTGCCACATTACTACGCTAAAGAACTCCATGATGCTATTTCGGGACTTGGTACCGATGAGGAGGCCATCATCGAGATATTGTGTACCCTCAGTAATTATGGGATAAGGACTATCGCGGCGTTTTATGAGAATCGTGAGTACATGAAGATGAAAATTATTTAACGCATGAGCATGGAGATTAGACTCTGCATACTTCCGCGAAGAGAAGAAGATTAATAGAATTTTGAATGCAATGAGGAATGATATTCAGGGGTAACGCATGAGACCACGACTGATTGTCGAGGTCGTATGAACCTCAAAGAGGCCCCCATGAAAATTCAAAGATGGCCCACGGAAAAATTTATATTTTGACAAATATATTAAAAAATATCTTAAATTGGCCCAATTTATGTGAAAAAATGCATGAAATCTACGTTATATATATTTTTTTTATATATTCTTTATAAATTAGAAGAATATATGGAATTGGCCCAAATTATGTATTTTTTTAAATAAATTTTTTCATGGGGGATATATTAATTTGAAGAATAAATGTGAAAATAAAATTATTTTACCAATTAATAATCGAATTCGGAAGAATGGCGATTATTTGATAATCTCTAATATTTTTTAGAAAATTTCTAATCATTTACCTAATAGTTATTGAAAAAATTTAAATTCCCAATTATTTATTATTTTCTAAGTTCCAATGATAAACGAATGAATTCGGTTATTTTGGGGAAATAATTCTCTTAATATTTCTGGAATAATGATTGATGCCGATTACTGTTCCTCGTGTAGAGAAGAACATACACATTGACAGATTGAATTTTTGCATACAATAATGAATGAGAATCCAGTGATAACTGATGAGAGCATGAATAATCGTCAAGGTTGTCTTGGCTGACAGAGCAGTCAGTTATGTGAGAAACGCCTAGTTGCATTTGCCATGACTCGTCTTGCATTGGATCTATAATTACATGTGTGGAGAATATGGTGTAAGGAGTGATGTCATCACTAACTCGTGACGCGAATACTCACCCAGCGCTGGGTTGCGTCATTGGAACTCGTTCGAGAAATCTCTTTCTCTTATTCCCTAATAAGTGACGGGACGAAAAATTTTAATAAAAAGACCTAGCGAATTTGCTAGAGAATTCTATAACAAAATATCTATTTAAAAACACAGGGAAGAGCTGCATAATTTTTCACATAATCGGCGCAAAAACAAACAGAATTTTTCAATAGAATTCTTACAGAACTTCAATTCACTTTCTGTAAAGTTCTATTAAAGTTTCAATCTCTAAAAATAAATAAGCTTCCAATAGAAAATTAATAGAATTTCTCTGAGAAAGCACTAGGTGTTTCTATCAATTTTTTTCATTCGTGATTATTAATCACTGATTAATCATCGTTTGAGAACGAATCACTAGACGAGAATTCCGTGAAATATTCATAACGGAAACATGAGCATTTCACGATGAAAAATTCATGATTACATCTGGCTAGTTCAGAAAAATAGTAAAATTCGAAGAATTCATTGTCATTGCACGGAAGAAAAACTTTAATAGAAAACCCTATCGAATTGGTTAGAAAATTCTATTGAATTTCTATTGAGCTGTTCTATTAGTTTTTGGTCGATTCTATTAAAATGTTCAATAGAAAATATTCAGTAGAAAAAGACAATAGAATTCAATTTTTCTATACAACTTATTCTATTGAGATATTTTCTATAGAATTTCCTCGGCTCAAATTTTCCAAGTTTTTTCGTTTGATTTTCTTGATGAGAAGAAAAGAAAAATAGAATGAAAAAAACTTGGAAAATTTGAGTCGAGCAAATTCTATAGAAAGTATATGAAAAGAATAAGTTATATAGAAAAATCGAATTCTGTTGACTTTTTCTATTGAATGTTTTCTATTGAACATGTCAATAGAATCAGCCAAAAACTAATAGAAAGTTTAAAGAAATTCAGTATAATTTTCTAACGAATTCGATAGGTTTTTCTATTAAATTTTTTCGCGCGTGTGAAACATTGAATTCTCTCTTCGATGCCTTTCACTCCACCCAATAATGAAACCCTTTACTTCATTTCAGTATACGGAAAAAGTCTGGAGAAAGACCTGAAAGACGACACATCCGGTCACTTCAAGCGCCTGATCGTCTCGCTCTGCCAAGCGAACCGAGACGAAAACCAGGGAATAGATCACGCTCAGGCCCAGTCCGACGCCCAGAATCTGTTCGACGTTGGTGAGAAGCAATGGGGCACCGAGGAGTCCCAGTTCAACGCTATTCTCGTCACCCGGAGTTACCAACAACTCCGTCAGACATTCCTGGAGTACGAGAAGATCTCCGGACATGACATTGAAGTTGCCATCAAGAAGGAGTTCTCAGGGAGCATCGAGAAGGGACTCCTTGGAATAGTCAAGTGTGTTAAATCCAAAGTCGGTTTCTTCGCCGAGAGACTCCACGCCGCGATGCAGGGAATTGGCACCAAGGATCGCACCCTGATTCGCATCGTTGTCTCGAGGAGTGAAATCGATCTTGGGGACATTAAGAAGGCGTTTGAGGAGCGCTATGGCAAGTCCCTCGAGAGCTGGATCACTGGAGACACCTCTGGGGACTACAAGAAAGCTCTTCTCTCCATTGTTTCCACATAAAAGGATCCTGGAAGTCGTTAGTGTTACCTCAATGTCCAAAAATTATATTCAGAATCTCGAGTCTCCCAACTGTGTTCACACTCGTTGCTCTGAAGATCCAAGAATTTGTTATCGTCAATATTATTATTGTTGGGAGAAATTGTGCACAAATGGGCTTTTTTGTTATGACAGATTTAATAGTGGAACGAGATGAGTCGAATCAATTTCATGTTCGGTTTTTCGGAGATGAGGAAATTTTTATGGGACCCCCTTTTTATTTTATTTTATAGAAATACTCATTGAAGGAATATTTTTTATATTTAATAGATTCAAATTCTTATTTTCAATCTATTTTGTTGATGTTTCTTCTGCAAAAATCATGAGGCATGAATTTGTTAAGCTTTTTTCTCTTCAATTTTACAATGTAAAAAAATAGAGTGGAAAAGGAAATTGTGAAATTCATGCTCATAAATTTCTAGAGAAAAAATATCAATGAATGAATTAAATTGGGAAATTGAAATGATGTTTATGTACCATATATTTTTCAGGAATTATTTCTATGAAAAATATTATTTCTATTAAAAACTAATTGAATCCAATTGTTAAATTTATAAATTGATTAAATCTCATTATTTTTATAAACAATAAGAGATAATGGAATAACGAAATAAATGATAAATAATCAATTTCCAATGGAATTTCCATCAATTCGCAATGGAATTGTTCAACGAAAGGTCTCTACTAAATTTTCATTGCTCTTGAAATAACTCATCTATTTTCACAAATTCGCTATTGAATTATTTTGGCTTATATAATTGCAGAGACAGTCGTCGAAATTTCGGAGGGATCACCACTTCAATTTCGCAAAGATACGCTTAAGAAACAACACGAGGAAATAATTTTTTATATAATATATGTCAATCAACTGCGAGCTGCGATGTTTATACACATTTAGAACTATATTTTTTACACGTATTTACATTCTAGATATTGTATTATTATGAATTGCCTTCTAAATTTTTATTATATACTGAGAGAACTAGAGGTTATTTGCTGGCGAAGAGGATCATACCAGTGCAAATTATCGATGCCTTGTATTTTTTTCTGTCAAATTATATTTGTGCTAATAAATGATAAGAATTTGATGTCGACTTGGTGTTGAAATTTTTTATTGAATCGAGGGGCCACTGAATTTCCATTGGAACTCCAGGGGAGATTCATTGGAATTCTGTGGAAAGTTTGATTTGTTTTTTCTGGGAATTTTTCAATAACTTGCGTGATTTTTTTTCAATTTTTTAATCTCTAGTTTCGGCATTAACGATATCCAACTATCTTTTACAATTTAATATATTCGAAGAATATATGTAAGATTTATATAACATATATAAAGCATATGTAAATTTATATTTTATACAACTTTTATATATATAAATCAGGCGAATTCCGTATATAAGATGTATAATTTCCAGAATATATATTTTTCCGTATGGGACATTATAGATTCAGCCACTTAAATCATCACATTTGTCGATTAAATTTTTGAGAAATTTTTTTAAAATTTAATCATGAATGTTCAGTGCCATTAAAATTACATTTTGCACAAAACTATTATTTTATCAAACATTCGTTGCTTATAAATAAAAAATGAAAATTGTGTAAACTTTCGGAAATATTATTTTTTCAGGCAAGAAATCAATTTTTCGTAAAATTGTGAATATGAATAAATTTTTTACGATTCCGAACAAATGATTTTTATATGGCTGAAAATTGATTGTTTGCAAATTATTTATAAAAAATGGGCTTAATGTTCAAAAATTGCAATTGCTCAATTATTTCATCAATCTTCCTCCAAAAGTAAATTTTCTATTTTTTTCAGATTAAAAAAATGTTATCTATCGGTTCAATATCGAGATTCAAATTCAGACCAGCAAAGTTTAAATAATAAAAATCATTGTAAAATGTCATTATTAATGTCCATCGCTAACGACACAAAATGACTCGAGCCAACCTAACCCAATCATCACGTACCCCTTATCCAATTCGCGATCGCAAATTAGATGTGGGAGCTATCGAGTTGTCTCTACATTGACTACTCTGGGCGGGCAACCAATGAGATCAAGGAGAACACAGTGATCTCATTGGTTGAGCTCCACCATTGGTTCCCTCCTAGGGATCTCATTGGTTGCCTCTCAAGAGTAGTTAGTTTGGAGACCACTTGGTGGCTCCCACGTCTGCGTTGCAATCGCGAATAGATGACGGCAACTCCCCTCTTCTCACGTTCGACCAACGGAGCGCCTACCAGGCATTGTTTATGCTGCATTATGTCATGGCCGAAATAAAGATTAAGAACAGTCCGTTCAGAAATGTCGGCGACCATTCCCGAGCAAAATCAACTTTTAGCCGAATTCTTCCTTAAGGATGTTCGACACCCTTTTAGCCAAAATTGACGTTGTTTTCATTGTTCTGGCAAATTATCGATGGGAGTGACGTGAAAAAATATAACGATTTTGTGATTTGTCATTCTTTAATGGCTCACGGAGTTGCGTAGTGGTGCGATAATTTTCATGCGTTTTTTCTACAGTTTTGTGATTTTTTTTTAAAGTTTAGAGAAAACGCAGGAAAATGTTCGCACCACCTTAAAGTTTCGTCAGTCATTAAATAATGACAAAACGCAAAAACGTTATATTTTTTCACGTCAATGCCACCATAAGTTTGCCAGAAAAATTTAAAAAACGTTAATTTTGGCAGAAAGGGTGTAGAGCATCCTGAAAACGAGCTTCTGACGTTGGAATTAGTCGATAATTTTTCTTTTGGGCAGCAATTATTCGACATTTTTTTTATTAGTCCTTCATGGCATGACATGTTTTAAAGAATATCATTCATTCCGTTTCATAATATTCTACATTATTTCCGAGCAAAATTAGAAAATGTCAAAATCCAACAAATAGAAAGCTTTCATCTAGAAGCAAAAGGAAAAAATTTTTTAGAACAAATTTTTTGAGTCGTTACGACATTTTTTTTATTTTAATTAGATTCATAAATATTCATCAAAATCTTCACATAAAGCTAAGTGAACTAATTTAGAATTCATAATTATAAATTCTCCAACATTTCGAGTCGTTAGGACATTTTTTAAATTTCAATTAGATTCATAAATATTCATCTTCACATAAAGCTAAATGAACTAATTTAGAATTCACAATTATAAATTCTCCAACATTTCAAGTCGTTACGACATTTTTTAAATTTCAATTAGATTCATAAATATTTATCAAAATCTTCACATAAAGCTAAATGAAGTAATCTAGAATTTAAAACTATAAATTCTAAATTTTTCAAGAAATGTGTTTAAACATACCCAGGATATTAAACATTCTGAATTAGTACATTTTCATACGAGTGTGTAAAAGAGGTTTTGTGATATCTGCCTGAAAAATGCACTTTTTGAAACGGTTTAGTGTGCGTAAAATGGTTGTGTCGCCTCCATTTATGCGAAAATTATTTGGTGAATTTCAACAACTAGTTGGTTAAGTTTAACAACTAATTGATTCAAACTCGGAAAATAGAGCGAGAGCGACAGCGATCCGTGACAGCAGTAGAGGTTGTGAACGCCATTGCAAAATTATTGCATCCTCCGAACGTGAAAATTTTTACCAAAAAGAATAACCTAACTTGAGTATAAAATTTTGAAAAAAACCTCGAAAGCTGGAAAATTTTGTTGACAATTTCAAAATTCTTGACATGTTCATGTAATGAGTTTCTCTGAAAAATATATGAAAAAATCGAAACCATCAAGTATTACTCTTTATCCGCAAAATCTTGTAATTTCATGGCACTTTCTTTCTGTCCATTTTTTTCGGAGTATTCATTAGGAAATTTATGTATTATTACTTCTATTTTTTATTGAAAGTAATTTGAAAATGTTCATTTGTTTTTTTTTCTTTTGTCATTTGGATTTTCTTCAGTGGGGGGGGGGGAGCCCCCCGCTTCTCCCCCCCCCCTCGGGCCATCGTGACGAAAAATAGTATGTGTTATTCGGACGATAGCGTTGGTTTGTGAGTCGTGTGAATTTGCAGCACTCCTCACTCTCACAAACCTCCGCTTAGCGTCCTTATGACACAATATCCACTGATAGAATGATTCATTTATTCCAAACGAGATTCGCTAACTATTAACGAATGGTAGAGTTGAATATGACCAAATGAATATTCGTTAATAGTTAACGAATGGTTCACTTGAATGGCGAAATTCAAGTCAAATAAGGCTCCTCAAATATATATTCGTTAACTATTAACGAATGAACATTTGGTGAGACCGAATAGACCCTAATCTCCAACCAAAATCCATTCGTTAACAATAACTAATCCGTTCTATCAGTGTACTATTTCGGTATTGACGTGACACTAAAAAATTCTAAGTTCCGAATTTGTTGAGACAATGGAAAGCAGAGTTTTCTTGTAATCTCCAGAGGTGTCCCCGGCAATCCAGCTCTCCAGGGATTTCCCATAACGCCTCTCAAACACCTTCTTAATATCCCCAAGATCGATTTCACTCCTCGAGACAACGATGCGAATCAGGGTGCGATCGTTGGTGCCAATTCCCTGCATGGCACTGTGCAGTCTCCCAGTGAAGAAACCGATCTTGGATTTCACACATTTAACAATTGCAAGAACTCCTTTCTTGATATTTCCGGAGAACGCCTTCTCAACGGGCACTTCGATGTCATCCCCGGAGATGTGCTCGTACTCCAAGAATGTTTGAGCGAGTTGTGGGTAACTGTGAGTGACGATGATTGTGTTGAAGTGTGAGTCCTCTGCGCTCCATTGTTTCGCACCAGTGTCGAAGAGTTTCTGGGCGTCAGACTTTGCCTGAGCGTGGTCTATCACGTGGGTCTCGTTTCTCTTCGCTTGGCAGAGGGGGACGCTCAATCTCTCGAAGGGGCCGGAAGTGTTGTCTTTGAGATCGTTCTCCAGACTCTTTCCATATACTGGAATGAAGATCAGGGCTTGATTATGTGGACGCATTACGATATTTCAGGGCTGAAGTAGTCAAACGGTTTGCGTCATTCCTATTCTGGAGTCGGGATTTGATCAATGTCTTTAAATCCAAGGGAAACAATGGCATTTTGGTGTAAACTTTTTTTGCAGACAAAAATTAGAGCTACAAGAGAGGTTTCAGCGAAAATTTCGTACCTCTCCGGGTCGACTAGAACCATTTGATCACCTTAGTGCTGATCTGGAGTTCATTTTTTGTCAAATATCTTTGAATTTGAGTTTTTCTTCAATTGTTCGCTAATGCATGGATGGAATTGAATCTTTTTTTTTCAAATATAGGTACTGTTGAGCCCTATCAATCGCCATTAATTAAAATTTAATTCATCGATTAGTTTTTTCAATTTTCGAATTTTTTCGAAAATCGGTTGTTCGACGATAACTAAGAAAAATATTCTGAATTGATTGAATGATGGCTTAAAAAATTTGTTTGGATGTCCTTTTGACCGAATTCGAAGACGAAGGCGATAGCAATAATCGTTATTTTAATTTATTTGAAAATTTTCAAAAATTTTGTATTTTTTGAAAATCAGAATTCCGGGGATATCTTTGAATATCATGCTTCAAATGAATTCAATCATAGCTTGAAATGTTTGTTTTAATACCATTAAGTCGAAGTTAAAAGATGATTACGATAGCTATATTGGTTGATTTGATTTTTATGATGATTCTTGAAAATTTCGAATGTTTCATGAATTTCCCTGAAAGTGAGCTTTCCGATGGTTTCTTTAAATGTGATGTTTCAAATTCATTCACGTGTGTATAAATAAAATTTTTCCATTAAGATTTTATCGAAGGGCTGAGGGGCGAGATAGAACCGTAAAAAAGACAATCGGTTGTATAGAAGAAATGAAAATAAGAATAATGATGATGATAACATTCAACTAAGTTGAAAATCTGGCAAAATTCGGTGAAAAGAAATCTTACTCAATTTAATAAAATAAAATAAACAATTAATTATACATGATAGACGGATATGCATTCATTTCTTTTCATCCCAACTCCTCCTCTGAAGTTAGTGTTACTTTGGTTTTTCTTCATTCTTTTCTCGCATTTTTATTTGTATTGACGTTTAATTTCTTTACATCCCAATTTATCTTTATAATCGCCTATTTTATTATACCCATGGGTTTCAATTGCACTTGGAGACATTTTTAATAAAAACTATCCTACCGCTCTATAAAAGTGTATGATGAGTCATCGTTTCCTCATTTCTATCCCGAAATTCAGTAAAAATTGATATATGACGATCAAATTTAATTCTACATTAGAGAAATGTTATCTTCACTGATTTTTATTTTGATCAGGATAAAATGTCTCTAACGTAGGATAAAATTTGATCATCACATATTAATTTTTACTAAATTTCGGGATAGAAATGAGAAAACGATGATTCCATATCCATGATACACTTTTACAAAACGGTAGGATAATTTTCATCAAAAAATTCTCTCCGTGCAGTTTTGCACTTGTATCGACGTTGCACTTACACTCCTCATAGGACTCGGTGATAGTCGTTATCCCATAATTACTGAGTGTACACAATATCTCGATGATCGCCTCCTCATCGGTTGCACGCGCCGAAAGAGCGTCGTGGAGTTCTTTAGCGTAGTAATGTGGCAGCGGCGTCATGAGGGCAGCAGTAACATTCCACAGGTTTCCGGAGACTCTACCCTTCAGGTCACTGATCAAGGCATTCCCGTGGTATGTCTTGTACACCTTGGCGATCTCCAGACGCTGGATAATCCCGCGGTTCGTAAGCACTTCGATTATGGATTTTTCGTCGGTCCTAGACCGCCTCATTACATCACACAACAGCGCTGCGTCGGCGATTGCATCGAAGGGCTCGACCGGGTATACCGTTGCCATAGTCTGCATGAAGTAACAATGACAATTGAGGGAAGAGAAACGAATTTAAAATGACGGGTTCTGTGGATTTTTTATAAATATAGTGATATTGACTAATTGACTACTTAATAATTTAACAGTAATTCTAATTTATTTAAAAGAGAAAAATTTGTCATGACCTTTTTTGCAGGGTCAATTGAGGATCATAAAAAAGGTCATGAGAAAAATTTTGCCATCTCTGGTAGATTCCGAGATATTCATCAAAAACTGGGCAAAAGTCAAAATCGATTTTACCCGGTTTACTGCTCAGCTACTGAATTCAATTTCCACTCACCTTGTGAGGACAATACCGTTTCAAAGACATCTCGTTGGTTGTTACTCCACTTGTTCTGGGAGATCTGCAACTGGTAAATTCCAGGGTTAATTTTTCGTCTGTTATTGTGCGACACACTCAGAGAAGAAAAGTTTTCTGAGAAATAAATCTTCATTTGTATCAATAAACTCACGGTTCAATATGTGACAAGGATGACAAGAATGGAATATCTCCATTCGGAAGCAACAAAAATAAGGTTTGCGAACGTTTAAACAATTTCAATTATTCATTTATAAACAATAACTGTCTAAAAAAATAATAATCCCGTACAAAATTCAATTTGAATGACGCGGAATATTCATGATTTTTTAAGAATCTTTCTCACGCAATTTAATTGACAAATTTGATGATCATTTGATGATTTGATGAGAACAAAAATTACTTTTGCCAAGGAATTATTTTCTTGGGAGAATTTATTTTTTTAGAAGCGTCTTTCTCCAGGCCAGTCATTCCCAGACGGTCCATGACCACCTCCAAATATTACAATTATGTTGAATTATGGGATCATTATGCTACATATGACCTTAAATCGACTCCATTGACAATTATTAGCATTTTGAATTATTCGAAATTATTTTTCTTACGAAAAAACAATTTTTTTTTATTTTTTTATTTTTTATTTTTTTTTATTTCAATTTTTTTATTTTTTAAAATTTTTTTTATTTTTATTTTTTTATATGATGCACCGGATGTATAGTATGCTCGGAATGTGTGATTATGCATCTAGATTTATGTGATGTTTTTTTTTACTGGTCATTTGGCGCCCCTCGTGCAACGTGTCGTTGACAAATGTAAACTCACGCAGGCACGTATTATAAATAAATAAATAAAAAAGATTTTTATTTTTCTATTTTTAATTTTTTAATTTTTTTTGTTTTTATTTTTTTAATTTTTTCAATTTTTTTTTTATTTTCTAAAATTTTCTAAAATTTAAAAATAATGATGGGTGTTCATCCAAGCTCATACGTAGCATAATCATCTTATAATTCAACATGATTGTAGGCTCCTAAAAACAAAATTCTTCTGTCAAGAAAATGATTCCTTGGCAAAAGCAATCTTTTTTCTCAGTGCACCGAATTGTTGGATATCCTTAAAGTGAAGTCTCGCTTCCCACACATTGTGATGAAAAGTATTGGCCTTCGGTGAGGACTGCATACTTTCCGCGGGTCAAAAAACACTTTTTCCCACTCGTATCGAAATATTCTGTTTTTTCTCAACTTTCAATCCGTGAATTCCTCGGTACAAGTGAAGACTTACTTCTCAAACAAAATCATTTTCCTCAGTGTATTAACAGCGAAATAGCACAGTGAACACATAAATACAGACGCACACTCGGGCACACGAGACAAATAGTAGCACTTTTGTCCGAAAATTTCGGGAACCGAACGTATTACAGTTTTTCGTGTGTTCCTCGCGGAACGGGAGCGATAAGTAATGACTCTGATCAATAATTACCGAAATTAATGGGATAATGAGGACTTACTGCTTAAAGGGCCGGTGGTTCAATGATATTTCAATACCCAACGGTCTCATTTTAAGACAGACACATGAGACGAGAGTGGTACAACGGATTTGGGTGTTGGGAGAGGGAAAAAAATACGAAGGAATTATTCCTCCAAAGAAATAATGCTCCATTAATAGAATTCCATTAACTCATTACTGATAAATGAAAAGAAATGGAATTCTGATTACTAGGGTAATGGAGCAAAACTCATTTTTCATTGCCACGTCAATCTCTACCGAAAATAAAATAAACTTCTGATGACATTTCTCACTAATAATGGAGTAAAATTTATTTATCATCATGTTGTTATTGGGTTATGGAAATGACATCAACTTTCATTGTTTCGCCAATAATCTTTCACTAACGTAAAGTTTATTGATCACAAAATGCAAATTGGCATTGAAAATTTTGTGTAAATTTTCATTTTGGCAAATTGACAAAACGACAAGACAACCACATTTCGCTCCGGAATTACGGAAAAGATACGTAATTTTTATTGAATATTTCTCTCCGTGTACAAAAAGTGACTAATGAGAGCGCAATAAATTAAGTCGTTTCGAATTTTTTCCGGAAATCCACAGAGACTGACTTTTGGGTGCTACTGTCTTGGGATATGCCTTAATGTGATTACCATGACCCAGTAGTGAAAAATATATTTTTCGTCAGTATTGATTTGAAATATCCCATTGATGAGATAATGAGTATTATTTTCCAGCCAATCTCGGCCTAGACGAGGGAATCAAAGTGGGGGAAGAATTCCTCAAATTTTCTCCCTCTTCCAACACCCTAATCGGTTGTGCCACTGCCGTCACATGTGTCTGTCTTTAAATGAGACTGTTGCGTATTGAGTTATCATTGAACTATCGGCCCTTGGAGCAGTAGGTCCTCATTATCCCTTTAATTCCGGTAATTATTGATCAGAGTAACTGTTGCTCGCTCCCTTCCCGTACTAGGGAACACATAAAACTGTAATACATCCGTTTCCCGAAATTTTTCGATGAAAAGTGCGCCAATTCATCACCTTTGCGCGCGAGTACGCCTGTGTTCATGTGTTCACCGGACAATTTCGTCGTCAGTGCCACATAATATCAGCAGAAAAATTAACACTCGAATTTATCGGTTGCAGATCACCCGGAGCAAGTGGAATAACTAGACAAAAATGACTCCTAGATATTGGCCTTATCAGGTGAGAACACGTATGAACAAATACAGTAGAAAAACTTACCGAATTAGCTAGAAAATTCTGTTGTAATTGTCTGGAAATTCTGGGATATTTTCGAACTTTGATTAGTTTAACTGCATTTTGATTTGCAAAAATTACGCTTGTGAAGTTACTATAATGTTATGTGCAGCATACAAAAAAAATCGTATCGTCCACCAAAATGCCTCAACTATTTTCTATTGTAAATCGAACTTCAGATTTTTCTCTCAGTGTGCAAAGCTTCCATTCGCAAGCAAAAAATGTTTAAAGCCCGTCACCCTAGAGTTGTTTTTCACGTATCAACTATTCTTCCCTGCAGTGTACACCAACGGTGTATCCAGTTGAGCAGTTCGATGCAGTCGCTGACGCAGCGTCAATGTGCAAAGCAATGAAGAGTCCTGGTGTCGATGAACAAGCCATAATCGATGTTGTTACGAAACGCGGGATTAAACAGCGTCTAGAGATCGCTGATGTGTACCAGCAACACCACCCAAACACCTTGGTCGATGACCTGAAGAGCAAGCTGTCTGGGAACCTGGAGCATGTCGTCGTGGCCCTCTTGACGCCGCTGCAGGATTACTACGTCAAAGAACTCCACGACGCCATTTCGGGGCGCAAGCCCGACGAGCGGTCGATTATCGAATTATTGTGTACAATCGGTAATTGGGGGATCAAGACTGTCGTGGAGTCTTATAAGAAACGTAAGTGCAACGCAGATAAGAAAGAGTTAACACATGAATGTGGGAATTAGACGCGTTGCCGTAGCCGAAAAATCGGCTTGAATCAAACCGACAAATCGGCTTAAAGCAAACCGAAAAATCGACCTGAATCAACCTGGATCAGACCGATTTTTCGGTCTGATCCAGATCGACTTTTTTTGGGTGCTCCATCCAAATTTTCACTGAAGTTTCCAGGCTTTAGTCTTGAAATATGAAACAAGTGACGGTTTCATTGAAATTTCAGGGAATTTTACCATTAAAAATTCGTGCTTTTCGTGGAAAATTCATGTAAATTTTAAATTTCAGTTAAATTATTCCATGAAAATTAATGGAAATTGGGAAAATTCAAGCAAATGTCCGTGAATTTTCAATTTTTTTAAATTTCAGAGCAATTTCTTATTGAATTATTATGTTTACATTGAAAATTCATGGAAATTTTAAATTTCATTTAAATTATTCCCTGAGAATTAATGGAAATTGGGAAAAATCAAGCAAAAATGTCCGTGAATTTTCAATTTTTTGAAATTTGAGAGCAATTTCTTATTGAATTATCATGTTTACATTAAAAATTCATGGAAATTTCGTAATCTTCATGGTTCTTTAACGGAAAAATCAGGAATTTCCTTGAATTTTCAGGGAAACTTGAAGTTTCGTAGAATTTTTTTCCGTTAAATTGAATTCAGTGTCATTTTCTGGATAATTCAGTCAAATTTTTTTAACAGTGTAATCGTACCCTTCGTTTCCCCTTCAGAATATGGAAAAAGCATAGAGGACGATCTCAAAGATGCTTCCGGCCAATTCAAAAGATTGATCGTCTCCATCTGCCAAGCGAACAGAGACGAGAACGTAGGACTAGACCTCGCTCAAGCTCAGGTGGACGCCAATGATCTGTTCGAAGTTGGTGAGAAGCAGTGGAAAGAAGAGAACTCCCGGTTCAACGCACTAATCATCACCAACAGTTATCAACAACTCCGCCAATTATTCCTGGAATTCGAGAAGATCTCCGGGGATGACATTGAAGTGTCCATTGAGAGGGCCTTCTCCGGAAGTATCAAGAAAGGACTTCTCGCATTTGTCAAATGTACGAAATCAAAGGTCGGCTTTCTCACTGAGAGACTTCACGCTGCCATGCAGGGAATTGGCACCAAAGATCGCGTCTTGATTCGTATCATTGTACTGAGGAGTGAAATCGATCTTGGGGATATTAAGGAGACGTTTGAGAAGCGCTATGGAAAGTCCCTTGAGAGCTGGATTGCTGGAGACACCTCCGGAGATTACAAGAAAGCTCTTCTGTCCATTATTTCCTCATGAGTGAATCGTTGAACTCATTACATAGCATTACGTCAATCATTGCCCCAAAAATTACGTCAAGAATCTCTAGCTTTCCACTCATGTTCAAACTGGTTTCTCCAAGTATCAGATAATTTTTTTTTTATTGTCAATTTCTGATTTTTGAGAAAATGTAATCGAAAATAGTTTATTTTTTTTAATAAAAAATATCAGTTATCATCATATTCGGTTATTTTTCTGAAAACCCACGAGATCCTTTATAGTTTTATTTTTTATTTCATTCTGTCGTCATTCTCTTATTCATCGTTAAATTACTTTCACTCGCACTCAATTTTTTTTTCAATTCATCATCTTTATTAAAATTTTCGATTAGATCAGAAGTCTGCAGAATTTCTTATTGCGTGATGCTTGATGAAATTCAAGTGGGATTATTTTTGTAGAGTGAACGTGATGATGATAATGATTTTTAAATGACGAGTATAATGGGAATTTTTTAATGCTGAGAGCATTGATCAATATCATTAATGACTTTTCAACGATATCAGAATTCTAAAATGATGATTCACGTTATTATTGACTTTTCAATCGCTGTTCTATGATTTGTTCACTCACCTTTGAGGTCCTCCATCCAATGACCGCTAGACTTGTACCTGCAGTTACTCCATGATGAGGAAGAGGCAATTGCACTGGTTGAGTTTTAATACTAAACTCAATTAGCTTACGCACTTGTAATATTTCAATAATTTGAATACAATGGACTTTCCCTGACTCTCACCATCCGTAGCTCGGGGGCGTGATCAAGCGGAGGGGAATGTTTCCCCCAGTGCGCATGGGACGTCGTGCGCGAGAGGGGAAGTGTTGTTTTGTCGGGCGTTATGTTACAGCGTTCTCGCTTAGATCATGCCGTTGTCTCTCTCGCGTAAGCACGCCCCCTGTGCATGTGGAAGTGGTAATCCCTAGCTCGTAGTTCGTGGGATGCCGAGCCCCGAATGCGAAGAGCTAGGGGAAGTCAACTCTATGCAATACAGTGCGAAAGATCCAATGAAAAATATCAGCAACAGACCTCGATAAGACCGACATCATAATTCCACTGGATCTCTGTGTATTTCGGATGTATCAGAAGACTTTCAATCTCATGAATCACTCCCTCTTTGAAGTAATACTTTGAACCCACTCGCACATGGAATTCCCCTGGTTCTCTCCTTATAATCAATTGAGGTTTTCCATCAATTAAATAATAGTTTTCTTTTATTGAATAAATGGTAATAATCAATAACACTAATGATAAGAGTGTCACTGACTATTCATTTGTGACTTTAGAAAGAAATAACTTACTTATCGATGCTTTTAGCTGCCGTCCCAATCTACCACTCATTAATGATGACTCCAACACAAAAATATTCGAAATCATATCCATCGAAAGTTCCATGGTATTGTAAAGAAACCCAGAACAGAATCCACTCGCACATGGAATTCCATAATTAATGTTTCTCTGCCGCAGTGATCTTGGCACCAATTGTTAAATTGGAAATTGATCCGGCAATAGGCGAGGTCATTATTACGATTAGTGTTTGAATGAACAGTCAAAATTGATGTCATTTCTATTATTTAATATTGCTGAACCAATAACAAGATGACGAAAAGTCACTCACGCTCCATTATCGGCGAGAAATGTCATAAGAATTTGATTTCTCCCATTACAAAAAATGCTGTTCAACCAATAACAAGGTGACAAAAAATCAATCACGCCCCATTACCGATGAGAAATGTCATGCGAATTGGATTTCTCCCATTAAAAATTGATATAGGCGTTAGGTAGTAATTAAAAATGAGTTTTGCTGCATTACAAAAAATTTTGTCGAGCCAATAACAAGGTGACAAAAAATCAATCACGCTCCATTATTCGATGAGAAATGTCATACGAATTGGATTTCTCCCTTTAAAAATTGATATAGGCACTAGGTAGTAATTAAAAATAAGTTTCGCTGCATTACAATAGTAATTAGAAGTCGATTGCCGCTCGTTGACTATTAATGGGGTCACAAAATAACATTAATGGACTGTTATTTACCGGACAATCTTTGTACACACGAGGAAGTAAAAGTGGGGGAAGAATTCATCAAATTTTTCTCCCTCTTCTAAAATCTTAATCGGTTGTAGGACTCTCGTCACATGTGTCTGTCTTTAAATGCGACCGTTGGGTGTTGAACTATCATTGAACCGCCGGCCCTTGAACCAGCAGGTCCTCAGTATCCCATTAATTCCGGTAATTATTCATCAGAGGAATTATTTCTCGCTTCCCACAGGGGCCACGCGAAACTGTAACACATCCATTCTCAAAATTTTTAGATAAAAATGGCCCAATCTGTCAACTGTGCGCGAACGTTCATCTGTTTTCGTGTGTTCACTGTGCAATTTCGCCGTCACTACCGGATAATATTAGCAGAAAAATTAACTCACGAATTTATCTGTTGCAGATCTCCCAGAGCAAGAGAATAACGAGACAAGAAAAAATGACTCCGAGACATTATTGGCCCGACAAGGTGAGTGGAAAGTCAAGTAATCGTGGAGTGAACCCTCTGTCGGGGAAAAATGCGAGACGAACAGTGAATTTTTCTCCATTGGCCCGGGAAAATTTACTGAACGTGAGGGCAATTTGTGCGAAACTGTAATATTTCCTCTGCATTGAACGTAAATGATTAGAAATGAATTTTTCTGTAACTGAGAATGAATTATTATTCCAACCGTCAGTATGAACATTCAAATTTTATATTTCATGTCTGCGTGTACGTATGTGATAACTCGAGTATTCGGTGATTAATTTTTAGAAAATTCAACATAAATACAGGGAAATTTGTAGATAAAAATCTGAAATTTTGGCTCATTGTAGCCATAATTCAGTAGCAAAGTGGTAAAACGGTTCAAGTCGATTTTGACTATTGGCCATTTTTCATTGAATATCTCGGAATCTAAGGGAGATAGCTAAATTTTCGTCAAGACCTCTTTTGTAACACTCAATTTGCTCTAGAAAAAAGGTTATTACGAAAATTTCGTTATCTCCTGTAGATTTGGAGATATTCTTCAAAAACTCAACCAAGAGATAAGTCGACTTAAACCGTTTTATTCACTACTGAATTGAGCTCAGCTTTGGCGTGCTGTTGAGCCCAATTAGTCTAGCAGTTAGTGAGATATAACAACTTGTATAAATTTCGTTTTTTCTCAATATCTCAAAAACTACTGCTCCGATTTCGATTTTTCCTTTTTCAAAATACTCGTCTCGACTATTTTTTCATGATTTACTGGTTTGCAGCAGTGCACACCAACGGTGTACCCAGCCGAGGTATTCGATGCAACCGCCGACGCAGCATTGATGTGTCAAGCGATGAAGGGTCCCAGTACTGATGAGCAAGCCATAATCGATGTTATTACGAAACGGGGAATTGTTCAGCGTCTGGAGATCGATGAGTCGTACAAGAAACATCACGGAGACACCTTGCTCAATGATTTCAAGTCCAAGCTGACTGGAAATCTGGGGAATGTTATTACTTCCCTGATGACGCCACTGCACCATTACTACGTTAAAGAACTCCATGACGCTGTTGCGGCTCAGGAGACCGATGAGGAGACGATTATCGAACTATTATGTACACTCGGTAATTGGGGGATCAAGGCTGTCGTGGAGTCTTATGAGAAATGTGAGTGCAACGGTGTTAAAAAAGAGTGAACACATGATTGTGGAATTTTTTATGGGATTTCGTCCCCAGAAAAATTCTTAATTTGAGATTGCGAAGATCTTGAATTAAATTGGAATTTTAGGGAGTCTCAACTTGAGACATTCTAAGTCTCAGCTGGATACTTTAATAGTGTTTAAATGGAGATATTCAAATCACAAATCGTGATTTTCAAGTCGTAAATTTAATTTAACTTCAGAACATCGAAAGTATTAACTTGAGACTTTTGAAAGTCTCAACTTGAGATGTTCGCAAGTCTTAAGGTGTTTCGTGTAAAAAGTCAAAATAATGAAAAAAATAGGAAAATTCATGGCAGAAATCTCGGAGGATGCTGCATCATTGAGAATTTTTGCACAGTTTTTTCAGATCTCAGTCTCAAGAAAACAAATAATGAAATTTGGGTGTTTTTGTGAGCTCTCCAGCTATAACCTCCAAGGTTACCTCACTCTTAATTAAGGAAATTTCCATGGCACCCAAAAAAATAATGAACTATTGAGGAAAAACTAAATTTACGACTTGAAAGTCACAAATGGTGATTTTCAATTCGTAAATTTAATTTAACTTCAGAACATCGAAAGTATTAACTTGAGACTTTTGAAAGTCTCAACTTGAGATGTTCGCAAGTCTTAAGGTGTTTCGTGTAAAAAGTCAAAATAATGAAAAAAAAAAGAAGAAAATTGATGGCAGAAATTTCGAAGTATGCTGCATCATTGAGAATTTTTGCACATTTTTTTCAGATCTCAGTCTCAAGAAAAAAATGATGAAATTTGGGTGTTTTTGTGAGCCCTCCAGCTGTAACTTCCGAGGTTACCCCACTCTCAATTAGGGAAATTTCCATGGCGCCCAAAAAAATAATGAACTATTGAGGAAAAACAAGTGGCTGATAGATCAAATCTTTCTTGAGAACACGTATAAGTTTCAGATTTTTTTCAGACTTCATAAGAAAGTTATTTGAACAAATGATTCGGAAAATTATGAGTTTCGGGGCAATTACGCCCTCACGCGCAGGCGCGTGATTCGAATGTCAGTGAGCATCACGGGAAAGGTATGGGTTGGACCATGTAACTGAGAGAGAGAAAACACTCGACAGGTTTACCAACTCGAGACGCATTTTAATATTATTTCAATAATTAGAAAAACATCCAATAAAAATTATTTGACACCCGTAGGTGATGAGAGAAAAATCAATCAATCTGATAAATAAAATCAATATTAAAAAAAAGTTCAAATGCACACTTAAACAGTTACTTGTAAATTGCAAAATTTCGTGCTCAGCGATTGAATCAGGGCTCGAGAACAATAAGACTTCCCTTCCGTTCCACTAATCAACCCCTTGATGTTTATTTCAGTATATGGAAAGAGTCTGGAAAAAGACCTCAAAGACGACACTTCCGACGACTTCAAAAGACTGGTCGCCGCCCTCTGCCGAGCGAACAGAGACGAGAATGAGGGAATAGACCACTCTCAGGCTCAGTTCGACGCCCAGAGTCTGTTCGAGAGTGGTGAGAAGCAGTGGAGACTATCACAGTCCCGATTCAACTCAATAATCGTCACCCGCAGTTATCGCCAACTCCGTCAATTATTCCTTGAGTACGAGAAGATCTCCGGCGATGACATTGAAGTACCCATTGAGAGGGCCTTCTCCGGAAGTATCAAGAAAGGACTTCTTGCATTGGTCAAATGCGCCAAGTCCAAGGTCGGTTTTTTCACCGAGCGACTCCACGCTGCGATGCAGGGAATTGGCACGAAGGATCGTACCCTGATTCGTATCGTTGTAGCAAGGAGTGAAATCGATCTTGGGGATATTAAGAAGACCTTTGAGAAGCGCTACGGAAAGTCCCTTGAGAGCTGGATTGCTGGGGATACATCTGGGAATTACAAGAAAGCTCTTCTTTCCATCGTTTCCACATAAGTGGATCCTTGAATTAGCATTACCTCAATCAATGTTCAAAAATTATATTCAGAATCTCCAGTTTTCCAAGTGTGTTCAAACCTATTTCCGTTGATGTTAAAGAATTAACATGTATGAAGCAATGCTGTAGGATTGCATATCGAATGCGAATCGCAATTTTCTGTAGGAAATCCTAAAAAATTTCCTGTGGAGAAGTCGAACATTTCTCGTAGGCTTCTCAAATAGGATTTTCTGTAAAATTTCCTGTAGAATCGTCATTAGGGATCAAGGGAAAATTTGGAGAAATGAAGAATGCAACGTTCGTTAATTTGTCATAGATGCGATATTTCGCTAAATATTTTAGATTCTTCAGGCGTCGGAAAGAAATTACGAGTTCCAAATTTTCCTTTGATCCCTAATGAAGATTTATAAACTTGGAGATGAGCAACAAAATTGGTTTTCTGTAGAATTACTCATGGGAAATCCTATGAGGAATGTCCGCATTTTCCAGAATTTCTTATAAAATTTTCTATAGAATTAACCACAAAATTTCCTACAGCGTATTTAAAAGGATTTTGTATAGAATTCTCTATAGCATTCTATCCTTTTGTATTTTTCAAATCAAACCCTACAGGAAATCCCGTGGGAAATGTCCGAATTCTCTACAAGATTTTCTATAACACTTTCTATAGATTTCAATGGAGAATATTCTAGAGCACTTTTTATGGGATTTTGTATATGATTACCCCTAGGATTTCCTACCGTATTTTTTCATGCATATTTTGCCAAGCTCAAATTTATGATTGAGGAAAATCATTATAAACAATGACCCATTGTTTTAAATAAAAAATTTAGGGCTGATACAAGAGGAGGCAAGTTAACTCATTGAGTCAAGTCCTGATACCCCTCTTCTTGCTTTTTTGCAATACGCTGACAGAAAAACAACAAAGTTCTCTCAAAGTTTGAGAAAGTTGAACAAAGTTCTACTTTCTCAAACAAGTTTTACTTGTGCCAAGAAAATAGTTTTTTGAAAATGATCAAAAACGGATTTTTTTGTGCCAAATATAGAGTGCGCCGGAATGAAAAAATTTAGTCGCAAAAATAGCTTTAGTAACAGGGACAATGGAAAGAAAAACCTGTTTTCTAGGGATATAACTTAAATTAATACCCAGATTTATTGATTGGATATTCAAAATTGTTAGCTGATCGATGGATCAAAATTCTCTCCGCGTAATGAAGTCCCTCTAGATGTTGGTCTCCTTCCTTTGTCATTTGGTTGATCCAGTCAACAGTAGTTGCTAAATTCGTGTAAACGGTGGGATATTCATAGGCGCAGGATGGACTCCAGGATGCTAAACCTAAAATAACAACAATTTTATGACACTCCGTGTCACGTTTTCGAACGTACATCAATCAACATGTGTTTTTCCTCGTAACTCAGCAATAAAAATTCAACTCCTTCAATGTAAATCATCGAGACAGTTTAACTGTTTTGAGCTCTACTTCCAGAGTTCATAGCAGAGATGTCAGACAAGACACTTGACTCTAAATTTAAATGTGTCAAAATTATATTCATTAAACGGAAGTATTTTTGTCTTTAAATAGTTAATTTAATAATCAACAGTGACTAGATTTGGTAGTCTACATAAATGTGTCTGTTCCAGAAAAGAAACCACAGTTCGATACATCTCGTACGTTAATCTAGACTGATATTCAGATTCAACGAATTAATATTTTGAGGAAATTATTTACTAGTCTACTGTCTGCATATGACTTATCAATTGATTCGATGTATCTAGTTTATTGTCTACATTTAATTTGAGAAGTGGAAGCTGAGGATCCACGATCTCCCATATATCCACGGTAGAAATTATCTGCGTCCCGTTTATCTACGGTCCAAGTTACCGTGGAGCGTGTGAACACGCACGAAACAATTTAATAGAAAAACCTATCGAATTCGTTAGAAAATTCTATTGAATTTCTATTAAACTTTCTGTTAGTTTTTGGCCGATTCTATTGACATGTTCATCAATAGAAAACATTCAATAGGAAAAGTTAATAGAATTCGATTTTTCTATACAACTTATTCTTTTCATATACTTTCCATAGAATTTGCTCGACTCAAATTTTCTAAGTTTTTTTCATTCCATTTTTCTTTTCTTCTCATTAAGAAAATCAAACGAAAAAACTTGGAAAATTTGAGCCGAGGAAGTTCTATAGAAAATATCTCAATAGAATAAGTTATATAGAAAACTTGAATTCTATTGACTTTTTCTACTGAATATTTTCTATTCAACATTTCAATAGAATTTTCAAACGAATTCGATGGGTTTTGCAATTAAATTTTTTCGTCCGTGAATAGACACTGCCCGAATTCTCACACCCACACTGTTTTTTAGAATCATGAGCATCATACGTTACTCACCAACAACTGTGTTGTTGACGACACCTGGAGAACCTGTATCACCGACGCACGGCCCGTGCCCATAGTTAAATACACAGAACATTCGCGGTGTGATACTGGAATGTCCTAGACTATGCCCACATGTTTCTTGACTTATCACCGGTATGATGTTTGCATTGATTACAGGAGATGGAGGTCCAAGTAACTGAAATCAATTTCAACTTTTCTGTCACAAATGTCAAAACTCCTCATCAGATCAAACAATTCTGCAGAATTTCTTTGACAAACGCGATGATGATAATTATTCCTAATGATGAGTAAAATGCGAGATTTTTCAATGATGAGAATAATGATCAATATCATTAATGATTTTCCAACGATATTATGATTCGGAAATGATGATTAATATCATTACTGATTCTTCAACGATTTTATTCGCTTGATTGCTGTATTGTACGCAATTGATCTATGTTTGGTCACTCACCTTTGTGGCCCCCCATCCAACGACTGCTAGATTTGTCCCTGCAGTTACTTCATGATGAGGAATAGGCAATTGCACTGGTTGAGTTTTAATACCAAACTCAATTGGCTTACGCACCTGTAATATTTCAATAATTTGAATACAATGGACTTTCCCTGACTCTCACCATCCGTAGGTCGGGGGCGTGATTAAGCGGAGGGGAATGCTTCCCCCAGTGCGCATGGGACGTCGTGCGCGAGAGGGGAAGTGTTGTTTTGTCGGGCGTTATGTTACAGCGTTCTCGCTTAGATCATGCCGTTGTCTCTCTCGCGTAAGCACGCCCCCTGTGCATGTGGAAGTGGTAATCCCTAGCTCGTAGTTCGTGGGATGCCGAGCCCCGAATGCGAAGAGCTAGGGGAAGTCAACTCTATGCAATTCAGTGCGAAAGATCCAATGAAAAATATCAGCAACAGACCTCGATAAGACCGACATCATAATCCCACTGGATCTCTGTGTATTTCGGATGTATCAGAAGACTTTCAATCTCATGAATCACTCCCTCTTTGAAGTAATACTTTGAACCCACTCGCACATGGAATTCCCCTGGTTCTCTCCTTATAATCAATTGAGGTTTTCCATCAATTAAATAATAGTTTGCTTTTATTGAATGTAAATGGTAATAATCAATAACACTAATGATATGAGTGCTACTGATTATTCATTTGTGACTTAAGAAAGAAATAACTCACTTATCGATGCATTTAGCTGCCGTCCCAATCCACCACTCATTAATGATGACTCCAACGCAAAAATGTTCGAAATCATATCCATCGAAAGTTCCATTGTATTGTAGAGAAACCTAGACCAGAATATTTTTGCTATTTGCTGTCATTCGTTTTTTAGGAATTTAAATAATTGTTTGATTTATATTTACGCACGATGTACGGATACTCCTCGATTGATGTTTCTGTGCCACCAATAATTCTGACCTCAGCTGTACAGTTTAAAATTAATTAGTAAATTCTGATTATTTCGATATTAAATAGAATTTTCACGCTTATTGGAGGAATTCAAGCGTTTGTATTTGAAATTTCATTCAATATTCCCGAATTCAACTATTCTAATAACAATATCTATGAAATTTCAATGTCAATTATAAAATAAAAAACAGTAAATTTGAAAAATCAAATAATAATTCAATTCGTAATTGAATATTATTTAATTCAAGTGTTCATTAAAATTTATTAAATTCACGTTTTTTAAAACTAGATTTTTAAGATTTCGTTAATAAATAAAAAATCCATCGAATTCGATTTTTTCAATAAATCATTCTGATGCTATTATCTACAGAATGAGCAATTTTTTCTTCTCTCTTTCTCGATGAGAAAAAAAAGTAAATAAGCTTGAGCAATTATTCCGAAAAATTTCTATTGAAAGAATATCAACAGAATAATTTTCATAAAGAAATAAAAACCATTCAGATTATTGCATCAGAAAAAAACAAGAAATTTCCAATAGAATAGAAGTTAGTTCATACATGGAATGCTTTCTATAACACTTCCAAATCCCAACGAAGCAAAAACCGTAATAATTAACAAACGCATTCTCCTGCACTTACTGAACCCCTCATGTTCTCAATTAGCTATTTAATAGCAGCTATTGTCATTGGTATTCAGCATTGAATGACGAAGGAAACTAAAGGAAGGTCCCAAAAAAACGTAATCCCATCCCAAGGGACGACACAATTCATTGATAAATGTCATTGAACAGCTCATGTTAGGCAGGGACTCTACTCCATTTTTATCAAATCATTGTTTGTTTCTCTCTCCACGTACAGCAAGAACAAAGCCATTATCTTCTGATAACTCATTGAATGTAATCTGGAAAATTTTCCCATCAAAGTAATCTGTTTTCATTCACTTTGATATTTCTAATAAATTACTCTTTCGAAAAAAGGTATTTCCTTCATAAAAAAAGTATGGACAATATCTCGAGCGAGTGGAGAAAGTAATGCGGTTTTCATGAGTACAACCGTCTTGCGTCGAATTTTCATGAAGCCCGCCTAACAAACAAAAAATAATTTAATAATATTCTATGAAACATGAATGAACACAATTGTATTTTAATATTGATATTTTTTCAAACATTTCCCTCTTATAAATAAATAATAAAACTTGTTTGCTAAAGGGTGGATTATTTTTCATGAGGTGTCGAAAAAATTCGTGATTTTTTCACATCTAATGAAAACAAATTCAGATTTTAATCTTTGATTACAATGGAAATGGCGATTTTCATATAAGACACTGGGTTAAATCCTGATTTTTAAACATTTCTTCTTTGAAAAACCAAAACAATAATTAAATCGAAAAAAAAATTATAATTCCGAATCTACTCGAGTTTTCTGCATTTTTTTGCAGTTTTCAATAATCTTCGAATTTACCGTACGGGTATAGCTACTTTGACACTGATTTAACCTTGGGAGTGAATTTTATTTTTTATTCCTGGGATAAATTTGAGATACTCTCCCGGGTAAAATAATCCATATCGGACATCCAAATTTACTTTTTTTCTTATCTGACGCTTTCGTTACCCGAAGCTGGAGCAACCGGGCCTAAGTCAAACAGGGCGGAATAGATTGGTGACAAAAAACGTTAAATTCTTGTTTTAAAAGAGGATAAAGTTTTCAAAATATTATATTAGTCGTAAATTAACCTGAGTGATCTCAATGGTTAACTCCGAGGATCGCTGAGTCTATACAGTATGTGTCAATAATATGACAGTCAGCGATAAGATTTCGACTGCCACTATCGACCAATTTATCCGCATGGTCTTACATTGACCAATAAAAACAATGAGATTGACCCCTTTATCATGGATGTGGGGCACATCCGGGAGAGCATAGTCGCGAATGTACATTATATTTCGAGACGGAGATGTGGAAGGTTGTGAGATTATTGTGGATACTTTCAGGGTGAGAGAAATATTGACTTGATATTGCATTGGTAGTTTTATTTTTCATCGGATTATTCCAACAATCGAAGAGTTAATATTTCAGTGAGTGAATTCATGGATTGTCGAATTGATGAAGAAACTATAATGAAATAAGAAATCCATTTAGAAAAATATTAGTTTAGAAATAAATTACATTTAAGAAAAACAATTGTTAATATATATTATAAATTTATTACGTTTTTTAAAATAAATAAATGCATAAACAAATATATAAATATGTTGAAGAAAAAATATGGAGGAAAATTTGGTGATTCGAAATATCAAAATGCAAAGTGTGATTTATCAAGGAAAGGAAAGAGAAGAGAGATTATCAAGGAAAGAGAGAAATTTTTTATACGAATATGATTGCATATACTTGATAGAGAGACGACATTAATTTTATTAAATTTCATTGTTGAGAGACTCCCTTGCAAGAAGAGGCATTTTCAGTGGACAAATCAATTTGAAAACACGACGGAATCGAATTGTTAAATTGAATGGAATTGTTTCAGAGTTCTCGCCAATGATGATGTTTACTTGAAAATTCCCACTGGATTCACCATCGGGGCATCCAGCGCGGCTTATCAAATCGAAGGAGGCTGGAATGCGAGTGATAAAGGAGTGAGCGTGTGGGACTGGTTTACACATGAAAAAAATTGGCTCATAACTGACAGATCAAATGGAGATATCGCATGTGATTCTTATCACAAGTATAAGGAAGATGTTGATATAATGAAGGATATTGGGGTAATGATTCGATCTGTTATGATTGGAATGATTGAAATCGATTGATTTAATCATTGGAATTGTGTATTTACTTTTCAGTTAAAGCATTACCGCTTTTCATTGAGTTGGACGAGAATTTTACCGACGGGATTGCCGGACAAAATTAGCCAAGATGGATTGCAGTATTATAAAGATCTTATTAAGGAGCTACGGTCGAAGGGAATCGAGCCTTTCGTCACGATATATCACTGGGATCATCCGGAATTCATGAGTCGTTTGGGGTCATGGACTAATGAAGTGATGGTGGAATGGTTTGTTGAGTATGCCCGAGTTGTGTTTAGGGAGCTTGGATCTATGGTCAAATTCTGGACTACTGTCAATGAGCCAAATAATTATTGTGAACAGTCTTATGGGGGCAAGAAGCAAGCACCAGGTAAATCGATCGGAAGACCTTTTCATTCTCGACGTCCCTAGATATTCGGGCACTTTCAACTAGTTGATGTACAATAACTTATCATTAAGATCATTGCTCTACGATTGGTGAATCAGAGCTGAAAATAATATATTTTATTCTGTTCATCATCTGCAGGAATGGATTTACCATTTTTCGGAAACTATCTCTGTCTCCATAATCTCCTGAAAGCTCATGCCAGAGTCTACCAGATTTACAATGAGGAGTTCAGAGCTAAGCAGAAAGGAAAAATTGGAATAGTCATTCCCTGCAGACACAATTTCCCCAAAGTCGAGAATGACACAGAATCAGCGAGAATAGCATTTGAGTTTGATTGTGGCTGGGCGGCGAATCCCATATTTTCCAAGGATGGAGATTATCCAGCAGTGATGAAGCAGAGGATTAAAGAGAACAGCCAATTGGAGGGTTTACCATTCTCGAGATTACCTGAATTCTCACCTTATTGGATCAATCTTATAAGGTCATTAACGAGGCTGATGGAAATTATCGAAACAATTTTAGAATCATCTGCAAACGAGATAAGAAACATATCAGTCGGATAGATTGAATAGACAAAGGGAAATCTACCCATCTTCTTCTATTCCACAATTTCTATGAATATTTCTATACAAACTGCGCTGAAAAACTAATCAGAATTTCAATCGAATCTTTTTGCGAAGGCGCTAGGTTTTTTTGTTGAATTTTTGCCGACGTGTTATCATTTCGTAAAATTCCCAGATCGGAATTATCCTTCTCTGTTACTTTCTACAACTTCACCACTGAAATATTCTCACTTCTGTTTCAGAGGATCATCTGATTATTTTGGACTCAATCATTACACGTCCAAGATGGTTGAACCAGTTCCAAGGAACAACGGCACTCCGTGGTACCAGGACTCTGGCGTAAGGGTGTTCATCAATGAAAGTTGGCCTGAATCGCCCTCTGACTGGCTGCGTGTAATCACTTTCATTTCCATCAACTAGAACTAGAGAACAATACAATACGTCTCATCCTCGTGAGATTCACCTGTTGACATTTTGGTACAGGTCGTTCCTGAGGGTCTCGGAGGTGTCCTCAGAGACATCAAAGAAGCCTACAAAAATCCACCAGTTTATATACTAGAGAATGGAGTTTCATCTTATCCAGGGATTGCCGACTACAAGAGAATAGAATTTTTGTACGGCTACATGAAGTCAATGCTTCTAGCTACGAACCGAGATGGTTGTAATGTCAAAGTTTACACTGTATGGAGTCTCCTGGATAATTTCGAATGGGATAGAGGATACACGTGAGTTGACAATTCCAAGTCATGAAACATCACGTATGAAAAATAAAAAAAATTTCATTGGATAAAATCGATCGATTACAATTCTTTTAAAAAATGATTCTATTGAGACTGTTTGAAAATTTATGAGGTTCCATATAAAATTGGCGGAAACTACGTAAAGACTTTCCAAAGCGGATCAATAGTATTCTCTAGTAAATATTCTACGATTTTCATTTGAATTTTTTCATACCTGATTAGCTGACACCTTCTATCAGTTCTCGATTACGATTTTAAAAGTTTCTGACACTATTAAAATTCCACATTTCCTGGATTAAAATTTTTTAGTGAGCGTTTTGGCCTGGTCGAAGTGGACTTCAATCATCCGAATCGAACGAGGACCCCGAGACTCTCAACCCAGTGGCTCAAAGAAATTATTGCTGAAGGAAAATTGATGAGGCTGAAGGATACTCAACTATTCAATGAATTATAAGAGACAATATTTCAGCTCATAGAAATTCTAATTGCTGTTTTGTCCTAAATAACTGTATGTATGCGAAAATTGTATAGATGCATATACTTCACGAAAACTATCCAGCGATCGGTCGACAGCCATTGCACTTGTAATATTTTGTGATATTATTAGAATTTGCAGCTTTCTGTTACTAGGGTTTTTTATCTTAATTGAAATTTGAAAATAATAAAATAATTCATAATTTAAATTGTCTATTAACTATTGAGTAAATAATTCTAATTTTTTTTCAGAAATGCCTCATTCTTGTCTGGTCTTGTAATTTTTGGATTTTTCTCTTGTCTTGTCTTGTTCCAATTGACAAGAGATACATCCTCTCTTGTCTTGTTGGATATGAGCGAGAGAAAAAAATTCTTGTCTTGTCTCGCGTTCTCTTGTGCAACTCAACAATTTTTTTTTATTCCGTGAGATTGGTAAATGGAATTTTCCTCGTTTGGCACGAACGGCTCGTGATTATTTGACCATTTGCGTATCCAGTGTTCCTTCAGAAAGGTTGTTTTCAGAGGCGGATCTCAATATCTGAAAACACCGGAGTCGATGGAGTAATAAAAAAGTTGAGTGCATCCAAAAGTTTAGTGAACTTCCAAGGTTTTTCTTTTCCGAATCAAATCAAACGTCGCCAATCAAATCATTAACACATATTTCCGTGAAGAAACTGTCGTAAAATGGTGTCATCAAGTTTACATACAGAAGAATGCATTCGCGTTCGATTCGTTACGGTAATATCTCAATCAACAATCGAGACAGGGCACGTGTTCATCTGGAAGGCGCGCGTGCCGAATGTTCTATCTCGGTTATTGTTATTACGATAAATCAAACGTGGATGCATTGCGAATAATATAACGCATTGCTATACGATTTCGACAGTTACTTCTGATTGAACGTGCGGATTGCCTTTCAAGGACCGAATAAAAAGACTGGATCACTGTGACCCCTTTGTCATTGAGGTGAACCGATCCAGAGAAGAATAATCCCAAGTGCCACTTGCACTTTGAGATGGACATTTTGACCTTTCTAGGGTTATTGAGTTCTCTAATAGGGTAAGAAAATTATCTGCTTGCTATACTTAATTGTTGTTTGGATTTTTAGTGAAACTATTTTCATAGAATTGACGAGAATTCTTATAGAATTCTATTCAACAGAATCTGGCGCTGATTTTTTTCATTAAATTTTTTCTCTCGGAACCTCACACCCATCCGATTTCCATTCTCATTCATAGAGCTTCGATTTGAATCATCATATTACCTCAATTTTTTTTCAAGAAAAACAGAACCGTCTAAAAGCGTAATTTGAAAATTTTAGGATAATTTTAGAGTTCAAACCCTCTGCACCCGCTTTTTTCCTATAATAATATATTATAGACACATATACACACACACGTATGGATGAGGTCTAAAAATTGCATTTTCGAACTTTTTGGATTATACTGGGTTCACATAACACAAAAAAGTCAAAACTTGAATTTCATGATTTTTTCCCCCTCATGTATGAAAAAATGCTATAGGATCTCCTATAGGATATCCTATAGGAAATCCTATGGAGAATTCGAACATTTCCGATAGGATTTTTCTGATAGGATTTCCTATCGGATTTCCCACAGGATTTCCTATAGAATTTCCTATCAGATTTATGACCCTAATCCTGACCCTTGTGGCCGATTGATTTCGAGTCTAATTTTGTGTGTTACTTTCTATAGAAAACCCTATAGTGAATTCTATAGGAAATCCTATAGAAAATCCTATAGGAAATCCCACCAGAAAAATCCTATAGGAAATGTTCGAATTCTCCATAGGAAATGTTCGAATTCTCCATAGGATTTCCTATAGGATATCCTATAGGATTTCCTATAGGAACTCCTATAGGAAATTCTATAGGATTTTTTCATCCGTGCTAAATCGCATTCAGTGTCGCTGTCCTGAAAGTGGGTAGTCGACTGTCCATGAAATTTCATTTTGTTTCTAACAGTGTGAATCAACTTCGTACATTCACACCGAAAAATGGGTTCACGTATTTTCACGCCGTTTAATGTGGACTCAGAGCCGAAATTCACTCTGGATTTTTTATTGTGTTGAACGATTACAAAGTTTCCATTCGGAAGCAAAAACCGCGCGGTAATGCTGAGCAATTCTTTAACAGAATCGGCCAAAAAGTAATAGAATTTTCAATAGAAATGCAATAGAATTTTCGATCGAATTCACTAGATTTTTCTATGAAATTTGTTCGTAGACACATTAGGTTGAGAGTTGAATGTAAAATATCGCGGTTTTTCAAAGTTTTCCCCTAAAATTTGCAGTTCCGGAGCTTCCGTACAGAGTGATTACCTCAAATTTCCCCAAGGATTCAGCATCGGAACAGCCTCCTCCTCTTATCAAGTCGAAGGAGCCTGGAATGCAAGTGATAAAGGAGTGAGCGTGTGGGACTGGTTCACACACGAGAAAAATGAGTTCATAATTGATGGATCAAATGGAGATGTTGCATGTGATACCTATCACAAGTATAAGGAAGATGTTCAGATAATGAAGAATATTGGGGTAATGATCCGATCGGACATGCTTCCAACGATTGAAATCGGTTGATTTAATCATCGGAATTATTCGTTTATGTTTCAGTTGAAGCATTATCGTTTTTCACTGAGTTGGACGAGAATTTTACCGAACGGATTTCCGAACAAAATTAGCCAGGATGGATTGCAGTATTATAAGGATCTTATTGACGAGCTGCGGTCGAACGGGATCGAGCCTTTCGTTACGATATACCACTGGGATCATCCGGAATTCATGAATCGCTTCGGGTCATGGACTAATGCACTGATGGTGAAATGGTTCGCTGAGTATGCCCGAGTTGTCTTCAGGGAGCTTGGGCCTAGAGTTAAATTCTGGACTACTATCAATGAGCCGAACAATTACTGTGAACAGTCTTCCGGGGGCAAGAGCCAAGCACCAGGTAAATTAATCAGGGAATCTCTTCATTTTCTACATCCCCAGATTTTCGGGGACTTTAAGATCACGAGGAATCAGACGTAAAAATAATATATTTGAATCTCTTCACCATCTTTAGGAATGGATTTAGCATTCTCCGGAAGCTATCTCTGTCTTCATAATCTCCTGAAAGCCCACGCCAGAGCTTACCATATTTACAACGAGGAGTTCAGAGCTACGCAGAATGGAAAAATTGGGATAGTCATGCCGTGCAGACACAATTTTCCCAAATATGAGAATGACACTGAAGCAGCGAGAATAGCATTTGAGTTTGATTGTGGCTGGGCGGCGAATCCCATATTTTCCAAGAATGGAGATTATCCAGCAGTGATGAAGCAGAGGATTAAAGAGAACAGCCAATTGGAGGGTTTACCATTCTCGAGATTACCTGAATTCTCACCTTATTGGATCAATCTTATAAGGTCATTAACGAGGCTGATGGAAATTATCGAAACAATTTTAGAATCATCTGCAAACGAGATAAGAAACATATCAGTCGGATAGATTGAATAGACAAAGGGAAATCTACCCATCTTCTTCTATTCCACAATTTCTATGAATATTTCTATACAAATCGCGTTGAAAAACTAATCAGAATTTCAATCGAATCTTTTTGCGAAGGCGCTAGGTTTTTTTGTTGAATTTTTGCCGACATGTTATCATTTCGTGAAATTTCCACAAAGGAATTATCCTCCTCTGTTACTTTCTACAACTTCACCACTGAAATATTCTCACTTCTGTTTCAGAGGATCATCTGATTATTTTGGACTCAATCATTACACGTCCAAGATGGTTGAATCAGTTCCAAGGAAGAGGGGTACTCCGTGGTACCAGGAGTCTGGCGTAAGGGTGTTCGTCAATGAAAGTTGGCCTGAATCGCCCACTAACTGGCTGCGTGTAATTACTTTCATTTCCATCAACTAGAACTAGAGAACAATACAATACGTCTCATCCTCGTGAGATTCACCTGTTGATATTCTGGTACAGGTCGTTCCTGAGGGCCTCGGAGGTGTTCTCAGAGACGTCAAAGAAGCCTACGGCAATCCACCAGTTTATATACTAGAGAATGGAGTTTCATCTTATCCAGGTGTTGCCGACTACAACAGAATCGAATTTTTGTACGGCTACATGAAGTCAATGCTTCTAGCTATGAACCGAGACGGTTGTAATGTCAAAGTTTATACTGTATGGAGTCTCCTGGACAATTTCGAATGGGACAGAGGATACACGTGAGTTGACAATGGAAAAATAATGAATAATAATGAATATTTCATCAATATTTCAGGATAATGTTCATGAAATGAAAATCATTTTTCTAAGTTTGCATTTTCTGTTTTTGAATTTTTCAGTGAGCGCTTTGGACTGATCGAAGTGGACTTCACACATCCGAACCGCACGAGGACTCCTAGGCTCTCAACAGGGTGGCTTAAGAAAATCATTGCCAAAGGGCGATTGATAGCGTTTAATAATACTGAATTGAGCGTAAATTATCGCGCATTTAACATGTGTACAGGGAACTAATTACGATAGAAAATATTTCAGCAACGCTATTGGAATTCCATATGCGGAACGTCCTAATTAACTATTACTCAGCTAATTAATATTGTTGTGTAGATTATAATGTATTTGACATATATTTAGAAAATTAATTATGAAAGAAAATATTCCAGTAAATCATGACACTTTTGCTTATCAGCTTCGTCAGCAGTTTTTATATCTTGAACGTCCTCGTCAATAGTTGCTTCGTCATATTGTTTTGTGTCGAAATACTTCGGCTGACTGGTTATGTACAATAATCAGTTGCAAGTCAACCTGGAACGGATAGCTTTGGGTATAATAAAAACGATATTTTAGGCAGAAAAAAATATATTTCTTCGCAATAACCATATAACAATTGAAGATTTAATTGAACCTGATGTGGCTGTTTGCACTTGTTTAAGTGCAATCATATTAATTATGAATAAAAGGAAAAAAATGGACTGTATTATCCCTAGGCCAATTTTACTTGGTTAAACCCTACATGTTTTAAGGTATAAATGACATTTTATAATTACCTATTCAAATAGTTGCGCCAAAAAAATTACGCGCTGAAAAAAAATATCGCGGAAGTGCGCGTTGGTTTAGTGGTCAGGGCGTAGGATAAGTAATGGTAGGATTCCGGGTTTGAGATTCGTCGGAATAATTAGCGATAACAAATTCGGCTTTTTAATCGATCACCGTAGCATGAAAAAGTGGTTTCCCCCTCCTTGAGACAAGACTAAACTTCAATTTCAACGTAAGTAGCATTTGTCACAATGATGTTAATATCGCGATTTAACGCGAAGTGTGAATTTCACGATTTAACGCAAGGTGTGAACTTCGTGATTTACCGCAAAGTATGAACTTCGCGATTTAACGCAAAGTATGAACTTCGCAATTTAATGCGAAGTGTGAACTTCGTGATTTACCGCAAAGTATGAACTTCGCGATTTAACGCAAAGTATGAACTTCGCAATTTAATGCGAAGTGTGAACTTCGTGATTTACCGCAAAGTATGAACTTCGCGATTTAACGCAAAGTGTGAACTTTGCGATTTAATGCGAAATGTGAACTTCGCGATTTCTCGCGAAGATCGCCGGCATTTGGAAATGTCCCGGACAATAGTGGTTTCCCCCTTTCCTCCTTGAGACAAGTCTAAACTTCGATTTCAACTTAAGTAGCATTTGTCACAATGATGTTAACATTGCAATTTAACGCGAAGTTTGAACTTCACGAATTCTCGCTATGGGGCATTTGAAAATGCCGCGTACAGAGTAAGTTCTACGGAAAGATCAAAATCGATCAAAAATCGGAAGTGTGGCATAAGAGGAACATTTTTCATGAACTAATAATCCCGATACCTTTTTTTAAATAATAAATAAACAGAGATATCAAGAATTAGAGTAGATTAAAAACGTTCCACTTTGCCCCCACTTTCCCCTCTAAATTTTTTGTACGCAATATTTTCTGCTCACCATTTTCATGAAAAAAAAGCGTCTGAAAAAACTGTTGAATTTTCTAATAGAATCGGCGAAAAGTTAATAGACGTTTAATATAAATTCCACAGAATTTTGATAAATTTTTCTTATACCTTACACAAAATCATTGATACCTGATAACGTAATCTGGGACCACAATCTGAGATGTTTTCTGATAGACTCAAGGTTGACACTATTGTAAAATAGGCTTGATGACAATAGGCTAGTCGAGGCCAGGTTTATTGACATGTTGAAATCGTATATAATTAGGTGGATGTGTGCTCATCTGCAACTGTCTGCCCAGTTTTTAAATCGAGATATTCCGCCGCAGAAGGCGCCCGCCGGGTCTTCCGCCGCGCGACAGTTCACCGGATATTTATATTCCGGCGACTTATTTGCAAAATTCTTAATGCAAACTGCTTTTTCATCGGAATAAAATTGTACGACTTGACTTATTTACGAAATGTGCTTGCGAACTTGCGAATTAAGTATATTGTGAATAACACGAGGTGGGCATCGACAGCTACTTCCAATCAATTATCAGGATCGTCCTATATTCACTAAATGCTAATAGCTTTATCATTGATGTGGGACACATCCAAGGAAGCATAATCCTAAGTGTAACTTATACTTCGAACTGAAGATGTGGAAGGTTTTGAATCTATTGTGGATTCTTCCAGGGTAAGAGGATTATTTTCTCGCATATTGCAGTGGTGATTCCATTTTTAGTCAGACTATTTCATCAATCGAAGATTGAATATTTCAATGACTGAATTTACGTTACATTTGAGTATTTTTGACAGCTTATCTTATCCAGTCTAATAGAACTCCAATCGATCGTCGTTAATCGGTGAATTGACAAATGCATGGATGAACGAAAAAATCGGATTATTACATTGAATGGAATTGTTGCAGAGTTCTCGCTAATGATGATATTCACTTGAAATTTCCAACTGGATTTACCATTGGGGCATCCAGCGCGGCTTATCAAATCGAAGGAGGCTGGAATGCGAGTGATAAAGGAGTGAGCGTGTGGGACTCATTCGTACATGAGAAAAATTGGTTAATAAGTGATGGATCAAATGGAGATATCGCGTGTGATTCTTATCACAAGTATAAGGAAGATGTTGATATAATGAAGAATATTGGGGTAATGATTCGATCTGTTATGATTGGAATGATTGAAATCGATTGATTTAATCATTGGAATTGTGTATTTACTTTTCAGTTGAAGCATTACCGCTTTTCATTGAGTTGGACGAGAATTTTACCGACGGGATTGCCGGACAAAATTAGCCAAGATGGATTGCAGTATTATAAAGATCTTATTAAGGAGCTACGGTCGAAGGGAATCGAGCCTTTCGTCACGATATATCACTGGGATCATCCGGAATTCATGAGTCGTTTGGGGTCATGGACTAATGAAGTGATGGTGGAATGGTTTGTTGAGTATGCCCGAGTTGTGTTTAGGGAGCTTGGATCTATGGTCAAATTCTGGACTACTGTCAATGAGCCAAATAATTATTGTGAACAGTCTTATGGGGGCAAGAAGCAAGCACCAGGTAAATCGATCGGAAGACCTTTTCATTCTCGACGTCCCTAGATATTCGGGCACTTTCAACTAGTTGATGTACAATAACTTATCATTAAGATCATTGCTCTACGATTGGTGAATCAGAGCTGAAAATAATATATTTTATTCTGTTCATCATCTGCAGGAATGGATTTACCATTTTTCGGAAACTATCTCTGTCTCCATAATCTCCTGAAAGCTCATGCCAGAGTCTACCAGATTTACAATGAGGAGTTCAGAGCTAAGCAGAAAGGAAAAATTGGAATAGTCATTCCCTGCAGACACAATTTCCCCAAAGTCGAGAATGACACAGAATCAGCGAGAATAGCATTTGAGTTTGATTGTGGCTGGGCGGCGAATCCCATATTTTCCAAGGATGGAGATTATCCAGCAGTGATGAAGCAGAGGATTAAAGAGAACAGCCAATTGGAGGGTTTACCATTCTCGAGATTACCTGAATTCTCACCTTATTGGATCAATCTTATAAGGTCATTAACGAGGCTGATGGAAATTATCGAAACAATTTTATTAGAATCATCTGCAAACGAGATAAGAAACATATCAGTCGGATAGATTGAATAGACAAAGGGAAATCTACCCATCTTCTTCTATTCCACACTTTCTATGAATATTTCTATACAAACTGCATTGAAAAACTAATCAGAATTTCAATCGAATCTTTTTGCGAAGGCGCTAGGTTTTTTTGTTGAATTTTTGCCGACATGTTATCATTTCGTGAAATTTCCACAAAGGAATTATCCTCCTCTGTTACTTTCTACAACTTCACCACTGAAATATTCTCACTTCTGTTTCAGAGGATCATCTGATTATTTTGGACTCAATCATTACACGTCCAAGATGGTTGAACCAGTTCCAAGGAACAACGGCACTCCGTGGTACCAGGACTCTGGCGTAAGGTCGTTCGTCAATGAAAGTTGGCCTGGATGCCCAACCGACTGGCTGCGTGTAATTACTTTCATTTCCATCAACTAGAACTAGAGAACAATACGATACGTCTCACCCTCATGAGATTCACCTGTTGATATTTTGGTACAGGTCGTTCCTGAGGGCCTCGGAGGTGTCCTCAGAGACATCAAAGAAGCCTACAAAAATCCACCAGTTTATATACTAGAGAATGGAGTTTCATCTTATCCAGGGATTGCCGACTACAACAGAATCGAATTTTTGTACGGCTACATGAAGTCAATGCTTCTAGCTATGAACCGAGACGGCTGTAATGTCAAAGTTTACACTGTATGGAGTCTCCTGGATAATTTCGAATGGGACAGAGGATACACGTGAGTTGACTATAAAAGTCATGAAACATCACGTATGAAAAACATGTTTATGAAATGAAAATAATTTTTTAATTTTGCATTTTCTGTTTTTGAATTCTTCAGTGAGCGTTTTGGACTGGTAGAGGTCGATTTCAATCATCCGAACCGCACGAGGACCCCCAGGCTCGCCACAAAATGGCTCAGTCAGATTATCGCAAAGGGAAAATTGATAAAGCTGCAGGATACTTATTTATATACTCAACCACCACCGCCACAGCCGCAAGCGGCCGCGATGTTCATGCCATTTTTTCCGCTGATATTTTCTTTTGTGATACTTCGGCTGACGGGCTTTGTGTCATAACCCGCTGCAAATCTATTCGCAATGGATCCTCTTTTAAAAAAAAGAATGTAACGTTTTTTGTCAGCAATCTATTCCGCCATGCTTGACTTACGATTATTTCCACCCTGAACTTGAATATCTTATATATTAATAAGAAAATATAAAAAAATATATATATATATGTATATATATATAATTTTTTTTATTTAAACAATATAATAAAATAAAATATATATATTTTATATTTATATTTTAGTATATGTTTATTTTATTAGAAATAAATTAAATAAAAAAAAAAGTAATCAATTTTTTTAATAAAATAAAAAAAAATTATAGTACGAAGAAAAACATTTGTTCATCTTTTATTATTTAAGTATTTCATTTTTGTTAATCCTCTAATATTTTTTTTATTGTATAAAAAAAATTATTATTTGTTCTTTTCATCTTTTTATTTATTTTTTTCACAAGTCATGCGACATCTAATCCTCCTATTACTTTCTCTGAAACTAAATTTTACAGTTAAATGACAACGCCAATGACCTAAACAATGAAAATAATGATAAAGAAAATCAAACGAATCGAATCAAGTGGAATTAATGTTAAAATGTTGAAATAATATCATATAACCTTCCAATTTCTTCTCCACATCCTATTAGAGTGGCGAAGCGCGCAACATTTCCCTAGTCATGCCAAAAGTAATAAACATTATATTCTACATCAGATAATATATTTCTTCACAATAATCATGTAGTAATTGCAACCTTGCTAGCCAATCGAACTTGGAAATGCAATGCTCTTCATTATGAACAAAAGAAAAAGAATGAACATTGAATTTCAACCTCCGATTCAGTGAGATGTTCTCCTTTGAAGGTGCTTTGATGCCGGATACACATGCCTAAGAGGATTTTTTGGGCCTCGTAGGGAAATCGATGTAGATATCCACAGTATCGTGGGGTTTCCTGATGTTCTTGAAAACGAATTCATCACATTCCATGTGACTCGAGTACGGGATTGACATAACACACTCCCAGCCGAATTTCTGAGCGATCTTAGCCGTGTATCTTGAAGAAAAATTATCAAGCATTAGGGGAGAATGGGGCAAAATGAAACAGCTGAAAAGCGACTAAAAATTTTTTTTATTAACTTTCAGTTAATTATCAAGTTTGTATAATTATCATTCCTAACACTACACTGAGAGGAAAACAAACACGTCAAACAAGTCTTGTTTGGGCCAACAAAATCGCTAGTTGAAAATTGCCAAAAAAGAATTTGTTTGGTTTGAATTTGAAAGTCTCAGACATCAATAATTGTTCTGCTTTCGACAGCAACGAAATATTTGGCTCAAGAGGCGGATAATTCACGGACGGTGCCTCTTCAGGATGAAAATATCTCATATAGAGGAAAATTTATCAACAAATATTTTATCCCTAAGTTACAAGATTGCTATCATATCATTGTTATTGTTTCATTTAAGGGTTCTCTTGTCTGTGATTATTAGACAGCCGAAACGAAAAACTACTGTCCCTTGTTTCCCATAAAACAAAGATTTTTCGGGAGCAAAATACGTATGGGAGTATCGAATAACGAAGGAGTAGTGCTAGAAATGACATTTCTTGCGTGTACAGAGAATACAATTTTTTTTGAACGACGAAATCAATTTTTGCAAAAATAAAAAAAATTTCATTCCGGCGCACTCTCTGCATGTTTGACACAAAAAAATCCTTTTTTGAAATTTCCAAAAAACTTTTTTCTTGGCGCAAGTAAGACTTGTTTTTGAGAACTTTGTCGTTTTTCTCTCGGTGTATTGTTTCGATGCTGATTCCCAAACTCACTTGCTACTGCAATCAATCCTGAACAATCGACATCGGCAGTCCCTAGCTAGCATCCAGCTGTCGTGAATGAGCTTCGTAGCGATGCCCGTTCCGCGATATTGTGGATCCACAGCCACGCAGGAGCATTCGAAAAACCTGTTGGTGTGATGAGTCTCCCAAAGATTGGGTGCCTCCGCCAATTTCGCGAAGAACCGCAGGAGATTTGCCAGGTCTTTATTCTCGACGCAATTCGCAATGTCTCGGATTCCAGCTGGATCCCAGGGGGACATCCCGGCGTTCACGGCTGCCCCGATGATGCAACCCTCCTCGTTCAATATTATTATCGTCATTCCATCCTTTATCTGCTTGTACATCAGGTCGATTAGAACGGGAGATGGGTCTTGATTGGCAAGACCAATGTTCACCATTGATGGCTCTGACTTGAAGTAGGTATTGCACATGAAATTCACGACGTAGTCGTAGTCAGTGGGGACGGCTATTCGACTGACGTACTCAGGTGTCTAATGCGCAGGGAAGAAGTACTTTTTTTCGATTCGTGCGGAAAAATTCATCTATTGAAAAATTTCATAGAAAACCCGAGCGAATTCCGAAGATCAGAACTGCAGTCGTTACTCCCTAACATTTCAGCATTTGGGGCCAGAATGCAAGGAATTAAATGTTCGGGAAGCACTTACTCTTGGAGGCGGGGCTAGGAAAGAGATAAACAGAGAGAAAGAATCTGCCTGTTTCACTCTCACACGCCGAGAGTAAGTTTAGTGCGCAGTCCCGTCGCGCAGAGGGACACACTGATTTACCCAGACACATTTACGTTGTCGATGGTGGGGGAAGTCAACTTCTCCGACTGAAGTGCTAGGGAGTAACCACTGTAACGATCAAACTAAGATCATTGAAATACTTCTCTCTGAACTGGAGTTGACAGTTTATAGTGGCAACTGACTCCGAAGCTCGTACAGCTATAGACAAATTCTTTATCAAGTTTTTTTTATCATTCTCAACAGAATAAATTGTAAAAAAATACAAATTTATTGATTTTTTTCTGCACATTTCCTATTTAACATTTTTATTTGGGAATTGAATTTACCAAATTTTATTTCAATTATTGAAAAATGTTTGATGGTGATTTAGTAATAATTATATTTAATTATTATTTCTCTGTTGCGTAATTATATTCAATTATACTTTCTCTATTTCCCAAGTGTCAGCATGAAAATTTCATGTTTTTTTTGCGTTAATCTTTGGTTTTTAAACAGAGTACTCACTTCGCATTTTGTCTCATTACTTCGTCGAAACTGGATATCCCCCAGTTTGACATCCGACTGAATTACTCGAGGCAAAGATATTCGGGCTTTCTGTATTGCATTGCGCGCGAGATTTCCAACTATTCTCAACATTATTTCTCTATACCCCTAATTCACTTCGTTACTCCGAAAATTGTCGCAGACTGATGAAATTGACGTTTATTTTTTCTCCACTGTCAATTGTTTTATTGATGTAACAAAAAAATGTAACAATCCTTCAATTGAATATAAAGATTCTACTGAATTCCCATTGGACTTCTGTCGAAAATTTCATAACATTTTCGCCGATTCTATTGAAAAATTCGAAAGCTTGTTCCATTAATTTTTAAATAGAAATCGCCAACCGAAAATATTGTGTAGGAGTACATGGTACCTGGTACATAGAATTCAGCAAAAACCTTGCAATAAACAACTCCATGAACCTCATCAAATTTTTTTTATTTCCATTCTAAATCCAAAGTATAACATTTTCAGACCGCATTGAATTCCTACAACTCTCAATTACAATTTACCATCCCGCCTCCTTTCTTCCTGAGATCGCTGGTCCTCACCCCCTTCAGAATTCCCTTCCCTCTCGAAAACACCCTCGTAAACAAAATTCCGGACAGTCTTCATATTCCTCCGCTGCTTCGAGTGCTCCGAACCTTCGGGATTGTCCCCTGATTTCTTCTTTTTAATCATCCTGAAATGCTTCTTGTGAATCTTATCAGTCCCTTTCTTCACCTGCGGATTCTTCTTATTCTTCACAGCGATCATGTAAACATCTCCATCAGAGTTCTCCATTTTCGCGTCGGTTATCACAAGCTCCATGTGATCAACTCCAGGAGGTTTGACGCCGGTGTAATGAGCAGGCAGCATTTCCGCTTCGGGTTCGATGGCCGAAGGCTTCGGCACCTTCTTCCTGATCGACTCGGGGATCTCCTCAACCTCCTCCTCCCTCTCTGCTTCAATCTGCTTCATCTGCTTCAGCAATTTGGACAGAGGAAAATCGAAGAAATCGGCGCTGCTGTCCTCAGCCGCGTCAAGACTCTCGTTCCATTCCTCTTGAAGAGTCACACCGAGTCCAATGCATATCAATAAACACAAAATCGGGGGATTACTGAACCGCAGGAGCCACATCTTTGGTGCTGGGATCCTTTCGAGATTATATTGCCAAATTGCGGGGAACTTATTCTTTTATATGGACTAGTCGCCTCGAGCAGTGCTCAATCAACCGAATAGCATGACAATTGCATACTGAACGACCTGAAACATGCATGGCCTCCTTTAAACATTTCGGATTGTTCAGGGTTTTGTAATATTGCGGTTGATTTGTAATTCGTTGTGAAAAAGAAGCGTTGCTCAACGGAATCACGAGTATTTCCAGCAGTTCACTTGAACTCAACTCGTTAACATTTCGATATTGAAGATGTTTGAATTTTTTGCAGAATTATTTCGCATTATTTAATGCGGAACGGGTGTAGGAAAGAATTTATGCGCGAGTTTTTTCAGCTGTTTGACAATTCATGCGTTCACTTTTTCAATCTCAATCGCTTTGAGGGTAGATCATATGAAATCGTGAAATCTAATTTTCATAAAATCATTCATGAAATCTAATTTTAATTTTCTGGAAATAACTGGCTTCCGAAAATGTTTATTTAAACATTTTTCCGGCGAGAAAAGGGGATTTTCAGTTCAAAACTCATCATTAATTAAAACTCAATTAATATTTCGTGGTATGTGAATGAGAATTGGAGAATAATACAGAAAACTTTTTGCTCTTTCGCCATATTTTCATGTTTTAGCGTCAGCGGTTCAATTTCCTTGCAATCTTAATTTAGTTTTAGGAAAGGGGCGCAGAAAATACTGGAAAATATCGAAGTTCTGAATTATCTTTGTCCTCTTCATCGACCCGAAATTCTCTCCACGATGTATTCTTAGATTTTACTTACATAACTCAATGATTCCTGAGTTGCGCACTCGTAATAATAATCGCAACAGATAACAGACCTGATAAATCACTTTCGCGACAAGATCAAGGTCAGTGAATACAGATACGAGTAAAACAAAAATTTATCTGTATTTCATATTTTCGGGTTGCGATTACCAATCCAATGATGCTACAGACCAACACAAGTATCAAAAACTGATGAATGTCTATTCTTTCGACACCTCCTCCTAACTCTTAATTTCCTATTCATTTTAAATCGCATAAATTTATATTCCGAATTATCAATCCAAGTATTTCCGTTACTCTATAATGAATCCACCTTAAACAAGAAGGACAAATAAATAAATTCTCTTCACCCCAATGAAATTTATTCAAAATTTTATTGACAAAAGCCAACAACTTTCTCTGAAATTCCAGCATGTATTCGAGAGCCAATGAATGAATAAGCGCAACAAAAAATCAACAAATCAGTGATGACCATGCTCGTATCCATGCTTCTTCCCGCCATGATGGTGTCCCTTCTTCCCATGATGCTCATGATGATGATGATGCTTATCATGTCCATGTTTCCCATGATAGCCATGATGATCCTCGTCATGATGTCCCTTGTCATGATGTCCCTTCTTCCCCTTGTGATGATGCTCATGTCCCTCATGATGCTTGCCGCCCTTCTTGTGATGCTCAGCTTTGTGTCCATGATGTTCATGATGATCCCCATGCTTCTCGTGATGGCCCCCTTTGTGATGGTCATCGTAGAACTTGTGCTCCTTGTGGTACTCGTCTTTGTGGGCCTTCTTGTGGTAGCCGTGGGTCTTCTCTCCCTTCTTGTGGCCCTTGTGCGCCTCGTGCTTGTGGCCCTTGTGGCCGTGGCCCTTCTTGTGATGGCTGCCGTGCTCATCGTGCTCGTCGTGATGATGCTTCTTGTGGTGGCCGTGCTCCTCGTGATGTCCTCCATGATGATCCTCATCGTAATGACCCTTGTCCCCGTGATGATGGTGATGGTGCTTGTGGTAACCCTTCTCCTCCTTCGATCCACCCTCACCGTGATGATGCTCGTGGTGCTCCTCTCCACCACCGTGCTCCTCGTGATGACCGGTAGCCGATGGCTCTAGATCTTGAATCTCGAGAAAATACTGGGCCGTTGATATCTCCACAATGACAAGTAACACTGATAATGCCAGGTAAACCTGGCATAATCGCCGACCCATTTGTCCACTCATCGTTTAGCTCGTCATGTAATCGTGGAGAGCACTGAACGATTTTACCCTGGATTAATGCTTTTATAGTTGACCATTCGTCTGAGAACTGGCGTAATCGTTTGGCGTTTCGTGTCGATGAGCCGGACTAGGTGTTTCGTAAACTCTCATTACTGATTTTGTCTGATCGGGAATTGTGGACTGATCTGGGTGATCATCAATAGCTCATGTGCGCATTGTGAAAAATGATAATAACGTAATAAGTCGTCTCTTCGTAATTCCGCAGATGTGATGTTTCTCATTAAGACGTGCAGCAATTTTTTTTTCTAAGTTAATGAATATAATGTTTCATAAAGTAATTAATTAATTGATCGTATTTTTCGAAGGTATTGTTTCAGGAAATAGATTTCTTTAATGATTTTTTCTAAAAGATTCTGATTGTCATCCCTACTCCCCGCATCTTCCTTGATGAACATCTTCGTTTATGTAATTGTCAAGTTGGCATGCATGGCAATCATCTTTGCTGATTCAATCTCTGACGTTTATAACAAGATAACATGGAATATTCAGCATCGAATACAGCGGAAAAACAATGCTTTCAATACAATGAAAAAATGAATACGCATGATTGAATCCAATAATGCAACGTAACCTTGTGTGGTTTCAGTCACCTGTTGGGTATCATAAAGAAATTCATTCTCGTTGGAAAATGAGAAATCTTCCCGTGCATCATAACTCGCCGTAGATAAATAAATTATGTAAACATCATGAAAAATGATGATACCATAATAAATCATCTTTTCGTAATTCCACAGGTGTGATATTTCTCATTAAGACGTGCAGTAATTTTTTTTCAACTAATGAATATTATGTTGCATAAAGTAATTAATTAATTAAGCGTTTTTTCCGACGGTAATTTTTCAGGAAATAGATTTCTTTAAAGATTTTCTCCAAAAGATCCTGATTGCCATCTCTGCTCCTCTGATCTTCCTGGATGACCATCTTCCTTTATATAATTATCAATGTGCCATGCATGTCGATCATCTTCGTCGATTCAATCTCTGAGGTCTACAATAAAAAAACGTGGACTATTCGCCATCCAATCTCTCAGAAAAACAATGCTTTCAATACAATGAAAAAATAAATACGCATGATTGAATCCAATAATGCAACGTAACCTTGAGGAGTTTTTGTCACCTATCGGGTATCATAAAGAATTTATTCTCGATGGAAAATAAGAAAGAAATCTTCCCGTGCATCACACCTCGCCGTTCACTCAACATGATCTAGTTCCGAACTTGTCTCTATATTATTTTCTCATGACTCTATTTAGAGCCGATACCTATCCCGTTGAGAAAACACCAGAAATCACGATTTATTACGTAATATTTTCATCGAAACTCATTGAAACTGTTTGGATTGAAACGGGTTAAGGAGATTGAATTTCCCAATAGTCAAGTGTAAGTGGGTCCATGCGTTCATCGACGTTTAATATAAAATAGAAGTCCATGGAGATATTTTGTCACAGCTGTCCCAGCATCTAGTGACAGCAGAACGAATTTCAATCCAGGATGAAGTTCAGAATACTATGGCTAATAGCCATAGTTTATTTAACATGTGAGGTATCTGCATTCACCGATGGAAGTTATCAGGTATCAGAGTATGGAGATTTGGAGCCAGCTGCATCGGAGAAGAAGTACGCGAAGGGCGGGAGTGAGGAGGAGCATGACGACCATTACGGTGAGAGCGGGGAGAAGGGTGAGAAAGGCTACAAGAGTCATCACGAACACGAGGAGGGAAAAAAGGGCCACCACGACAAGGAGAAGCATCACGGGCATTATGAGGAGGAGGAGGGGGGAAAGAAGGGGCATCATCACAAGGAAGGGTACGACGAGCATCACCATAAGGGGGAGAAGGGGCAGAAGGGCCACAAGTTCCATGAGAAGGAGGAGTGGAAGAAGGGTCACAATACCAAGGGGGAACACCAGATTCACAAGTTGAATGAGTTTAAGAAGGACAAGCACTTCTGGGATGAGGACCATGACTCTGCTAATGAACATAAATACGGTGGGGATCATCATGAGCACAAGTTTGAGAAGGGTGGACATTTCAAGAAGGGTCACGGGGAGAAGAAGGGGCATGAGCATCATTATGGGAAGAAGGGGCATCATAAGAAGGGACATCATCACAAGGACCATGAGGGGCACAAGGGAGAGAAGGGGCATGAGGATCACCATCACCATCATTCTAAGCATGGCAAGAAGGGCGGACACAAGGACGGGAAACACTGGAGTTTCAAGAAAGGTCACAAATAAAGACGAGTTCGATTTAAAATGTATTTCATCATTTTTGATGATTGCAAATTCTCGGTTGTTCAATTTGTTGAAACTTTCTGTGTAATAAAAACACAATTAAAGTGATTGATTTTTATTCATTGCACCTTTGTCCATTATGTTCCCGATAAAATTGAATAAATTCGCAATGTTTTTATCAATATCGCAACAACGTTGCAATTCTAACGAAGAAAGCTAATTCATTTCAATCACCAACCACATCATTTTTTCGCCCCCGCTGTTCCGCATTCACCAGGAATAACTTTTTATCAAAACACCAACCGCTGTTGTCATCATGAAATATCCGTGTATAAATAGTCCAGCACCAGGAACAAAGTCTCATTATCGGTTTCCATGAAGTGAGTGCAGGTTTTGTGCAGAAGCAAAACTGCAGAAGACCGATTAGACATGATTTACGTAAAAGGGTCGCGTCAGAAGATCGGTTTGATACTACTATCCAGCTTCCTGCTGGTGATAAAAGCGCGGGAGGTTCCCAAAGTCGAGATATGGGATTTACAAGCCGCTGCGACACATCATCACAAGGGTCACTCACACGAGAAGGGCGGCGGCTCTGAGGAGCATCATCATCATCATCATCACAGCAGCGAGGAAGAGGACAAGGGGTATGAGGGCCATCACGACCATAAGGAAGGAAAGAAAGGGCACCACGATCATGACGATCATCATGGGCATTATGAGGAGGACGAGGGCCACAAGGGGCATCACCACCACGGTGAGGGGTACCACGAGCACCACCACAAAGGTGACTCCGGCGAGAAAGGTCACAAGTTCCATGAAAAGGGACACTTCGGCAAGGGCCACAGCACTCATGGACATCACGAGGTGAAGAAGCTCGATGAATTCAAGAAGGATAAGGAGTTCCATGAGGAGCACCATGATCACGGAAGCCACGAGCATCACGACGGCGATCATCACGAGCATCATCACGAGGAAGGTGGCCATCATAAGAAGGGACACAAGCATCATGGAGGTCACGAGCATCATCACGGCAAGAAGGGACACCACAAGAAGGGACATCACCACAAGGGCCACGAGGGACACAAGGAGGAGAAGGGCCATGAGGATCATCATCACCATCATCATAAACACGGCAAGAAGGGGGGCCATGAGGACCACAAAAAATGGTCTCATAAAAAGGGCTAAATATTCGCCGCGCTGATACCACCAGCTGATCTGTTTCTCTTTTCTGTTGTCAGCCAACAAGATTTGTTGTTAAATTTTATTTTCTGATGTTACGGTTTTTTGTGAGAATATGTAGTAAATAAAATTCGTGGAAATGGGGAGAATGAATATGATAAAACTTAGGTTTATACTTTTTTTAAATCACTACACTAGTTAAGGATTCACGAAACCTATCATAAATGAATATAAAACAACCACGTAGTATCAAAATTATTTATTTACAAGAACAGTGGAATACATGAATCACCAACAAATTTAACAAATTCTAATACGCAAATATAGGAAACCCCAAATGAAGATGTCGATCACGCCTTGTGGCCCTTGCTGTAGCCATGCTTCTTCCCCTCATGATGATGTCCCTTCTTCCCGTGATGCTCGTGATGATGATGATGCTTATCATGTCCGTGCTTCCCGTGATGCCCCTTATGATCCTCGTCATGGTGTCCCTTGCTCTCGTGTCCCTTCTTCCCATGATGATGTTCGTCAAAGCCGTGATGTGCCTTCTCCCCCTTCTTATGACCTCCCTCCTTCTTCTCGTGGTGTGCCTTGAAGTCCCCGTGCTTGCTATGATGTCCGCCCTTGTGGAAGTCGTCGTAGAACTTGTGCTCTTTGTGATACTCGTCCTTGTGGAATTTGTTGTGATACCCCTTGGTCTTGTGGCCCTTCTTGTGCCCCTTCTTCTCCCCGAATTTGCCCCCCTTGTGGCCCTTTTCGCTTTCGTGATGCTTTCCGTGTTTCTCATGCTCGTCATGATGCTTCTTACTGTGCCCTCCGTGCTCCTCCTCGTGACCCTCATGATGCTCCTTCCCGTGATCCTCGTGCTCCTTCTTGTCATGCTCATGATGCTTGTGGTAGCCCTTGTCGCCCTTCTCCCCATGCTCCTCGTGATGATCAGAGTGATGCTCCTCGCCACCTTTCTCCTCATGGTGATGGCCCTTATGCTCCGTTCCAGCTGGCACCAAATCTCCAGAAAAACCTCTCGGCAATATCGGCTCCACTTGGAAATTCTCGACCCGACGTGCGAGACATAGCTTCAGGTAAACACCGCAAAATAATGTCAACGCAAGAAGTATCCGCTGGACCCCCGTCATCTTGGAACACGCAATACGAACTAATTTACGATCACTCGTGCTGCCAACTTAAATATTTCGTGGCATTTCCGGATCTCTGGTAATGACTGCTTGGTGGACACTTTCATTACTCCGGTTGAGTGACTTTTTTTTAGATTCATTGTTACGATCGGAGTGATTCAGGGGATCAAGGGAACTTTCTAGTTGCAGCGGTTCGAGGATACTCTAGACGATACTGATGTAATGTTTTTGTCTGCTTGTGTAGTTTTTCTGTTTTTGTTCGTTTTGGGAGATTTCGTCATTCCGAGTGATGCTATTACGTGGACCTTGTTTTTAGGTTTTGAGAAGGATAACGGTCGTTTATTTGTCACGGACACGACGTGTTTCGCTGAATTCGTTCTTCGCTTATTTATTTGTTTATTTGTTGAGTGCTTGTTTACAGTAATTATTACTGATAATATCATTATTTTTTTACTCGTTAATGAGGTCGGTGAGTGATCCTCGAGTGTTCAGACTTCACCTCGAAGACTCGTAAACGAAAAGTCTTTTCGTTAACTTGTAAACGAAAAAATGCACAATTTGCCACTCGCTGAACGTAAAATCACTGACAAAAAATATAGGTTGACACATCTGCGACGGGGATTTTTCGAACTGTGTGGTTGGCAGCCCTCGGCTTCGCCTCCGGCCTACAACTTTACGAAATATACTATATTTCCTAATCGCTCTGCAATAGTGCTCTCTCTAAACAGAGGGTGAGCTCTATTCTTGTCCAGAATTATGCTGTGTCTAAGTAGACGAAGGGAACCAAGGATGACGGCCTTCCACGCATGAAAAAATTTATTAGAAAAACCTAGCGAATTCGCTAGACAATTCCATTCGATTTCTATTGAACTTTCTATTAGTTTCGGGTCGATTCTATTTAAATATTCAATAGAAAATATTTTATTGAAAAAATCCATAGAATTCGATTTTTCTATACAACTTATTCTATCGAGATATTTGATAGAATAGATTCTGTTTTTTACGTAGAAATTCGTGGACGTGTATTTTTCCCGCTGTATTTTTAGATTTTTACTTGTTTCTCATAATAAAGTCTAGGGAAAAAAGTGGAAAATTGACGGCCAAGAATTCTTATTGAAAAAATCACAACAGGATAAGTTATGCAGAAAAATCAAATTAATGAATAAATAATGTTTATTGTATGGATATTTAGATAGATTTGAACGATACATGGTTGATTCTTATCTAGTGTAGGAAATTCACCCCCTGTTCTTTACATTGGTTTTACGGAGAGAGGAATGATATTGCAGACATCAATAGGAATATCATCTTGACGGAGATATGAAGCCCATAATGAACAAATACAATGCAGATATCAAAATGTTGACCTTTATGTGTGATTTCACAACATCGAATAAAATTATCACCATTTCACATCGCCATTGATGAATTTAGAAGTTCATTTATCTTACAGAGGTAATTACAGAGATAATTCGCTTCTAGATCAGTAATAATATTCACCACTGCCTGATTTATCGCCGTCGTTGGAGCCCGTCGAGTAGGAGCTAGACTCGGAATATGCGCCTTCGCCACTGCCTCCAGTAGAATACTCATTATAATTACCACCATCTCCACCAGAATAAATGTCACCACCGCCCAAGTATTCTCCGGAGGAGCTTCCACCTACGTAATATGACTCGGCGCTTGTGCCTTAAAAAAAAATTGATTATGAATTAAATACAGGTCACTAAATCCCGATGAGCCTTCTATCGATTTTTTAAATTTTATTGGCGTCTTCGATCGACATGTACCTGCTTCCTCGGCATCGTCGCTCTTCTCCTGAGCATGAGCTTGTTCTCCACCAGATTCTTGTCCCTTACCGTATCCGAATTCTGAATGCTCTTCGAATCCGTATTTATCCCCAATTTGTTTGTGGAATGTGTCAAGTTCTTTGTAACCATTTTGGCCATGGGCATAAGTACCTGATTCGAAGCCCTTTTCGCCGTCTGCGTCAGTTCCGAATTCTTTGTGGTATCCCGACTCTTCAGTTTTACCTGATATGAAAATTAAAATTTTGACACTTTCATTAAATTACGGTTTTTTTCCTGGGAAGATCTCCGAATCTAAAAAAAAATTTTTCGTATTTTTCCTGGTTTTTTTTCAATTCGTGTAATGGGCGGTTTATTAAATTCAGTTGATGATCGATCGATAGTTAATCGATCAATAGTCGATTAGTCGTCGTTAGTCGATCAATGGTCGATTAGTGGTCGTTAGACGATCAATGGTCAATTAGTGGTTTTTAGTCGATAGTTGGTCGATTAATGGTCGATCAGTGGTCGTTAGTCGATAGTTAGTCGATCAGTGGTTGTTAGTCGATAGTTAGTCGATTAGTGGTTTTTAGTCGGGCGTTAGTCGATCAATGGTCGACCAGTGGTCGTTAGTCAACAGTTAGTCGATCATTTGTCGATTTATAGTCGGAGTGTGGTCGTGAACCAGTCGATTGTTGACTGCTGGTCGATAGTTTGATGATGAACGGTTGAAAAGTAGTCGTCCGTCAATCAATGGTCGTGGGTCGATTGATTGGTGATCGTTAGTCGACCAATGGTCGATCAATCATCTACGACCAGTCACCAATCAACTGGCATTCGACTGATCGCACACGTCGACTCTTAAAATTCTATTTCGGTCCATTCTTCTTGAAGTATAATCTCACCCGCCGAATTTTTCGGAAGCTTTCCGATATCCACACGTGCACTTCCAGCTGCTAATGGCTCGCTGAGTGACGCCACTTCAAATCCATAATTATTTCTCCCTAAATAATAAGTCGTCGGACGTGCGCTAGCACCCGCAATCACAAGAATAAGAATGCAAAATTGAGACATGTTTTATCGCAAGTTCTTATCATCTACTAAACATCAACAGCTTCGTCTCCGCTCTTATATCTATGTTTCATTCATTAAACCGAAATAACGTAATCGTTTCTGGAAAGAGTGGCTGGAGAGTTTGACAAATTAAACTGTCGCAATAAAAAAAAATGAAATGCGAGGAGTTTGTTAACACTGATCAAGGATGATGTATTTCTTTTATTGTCACTGGTATTACCAATTTACTTCTGATAAATTATGAAATACCGCTTGCAATCCTAATTTTTAAAAGAAACAATCGTTCCAGTTGAATCGCAGCCTCGACATGAAATCTTTCAATAGTGCAATTGCTCGAGAATAGTCTGCGAATTTTTGAAATTTTTGCTGAGGGATCTTGTTTTGTTGTAACCGCAGTGATCGGATACATTGGAATAAGAAAAGGAGGGATTATACCGTATCCGATACGCTTGAATACCCTTGGAGAACTTTTTTGGGGAGCGGGGAAAAGGTGCAGTGGAGTGGACTGTCGGGTGGTGTAATCAGGGAGCATTATGTCACACTTATTTACTTGTGATTAATTTTATTGGATAATGATGAAGATGAAAAAAGTCATGAAGATGGCCCTCTGTCATCCTTTATAGGCGGGAGATTGCACTGGAAAATTTTTTGACTGGAATTTCTCCGAAACCGCTGCAGCGATTTTGTTGGAATTTCACTCCAGTCTTAATCATACAAAGTTGCGGCAATTATGATGACTAGAAATCAATCTCATCGTTTCTCTGGGAGGAATCATCAAATTTGTAAAAAAAAATGTCATTCACTTGAATTTCCCCGATATTCTCTTCCCTCACCTCAACCTGAAGCAGAGCCAGAGAACAACCGTATCCGGAGATGAACTGCCCGGAAAAAGGAATATACCTGGACAAATCCTATTCTAAAAAGAACATACACTGAGAAAAAAATCTCCCAAAAATTAGTGTGCTGTCCCCCAACGCCGGGACATAACATGGGGTCGTCGAAAAATTCATAAGTGCCACCCTAATTTTTGGTGGGTCTCTGGCCACTTTTTCGGGGGATTCCCGTAAAAATTAGTGTACCACATGCGAATTCTCCGATGACTCCCTGTTATGTCCAAGCGTTGGTGAACAGCACACTAATTTTTGGAAGGATTCTCACAAAATTACGATGTATTTTTTTCTCCGTGTACACTTAAAGTCGATAACTATCGATCTCTCAAGTCTGTCACGCTTATTCCTCATTGGTTCCAGTCGTCTGAGGCGGCAAATTTAATTCATGATTAATTTAATTTTGAGATTTTCAATTATGATTGTTGGAATTACAGCGCGCGTTCGGTCTCGTAAAAGAAAAGGATGAGTTATAGGTCGTGTCCCGCTCCCCTGCCCTGCCAAGATGTCTGGCTGACGAGGAACGGCAAAAAAGTCCGGAGAGAAAAGGCGGACACACTCGCCCACGTGTCCGCACGTGGTCAAGTGTTTTTTTTATCGTTATTTTACATCGCTTCGACCCGGTTAGGGTATACTGTGATGATGATCAAGACGTTAAATGGTTAGATCGCACCGTTCTACTCGGCCGGAATTTGAACTCGGAACCTTTCGCATGGGTCAAGTGTTTTAAAGGAAGATTCGAGATTCAACAAGATTTATTAACATGGATAGATATTTACAAACAAGACAAGACAACAATGTGGTACAAGTTTATACATAGAAGATTGATTGGTATAGCATCGGCCCGGAGGCTACAATATATATAGGGGAGGTAGGGGCAAAGCGGACCCCCGGGGCAAAGCGGACCCCTTCGAAAAAAAAAAGTGTGGGGTAAAGTGGACCCTCACATAAATTATTGAATCGAGTCGCCAGAATTATTCTAATACGTTTTATAAAGTGAAATTTACTACCTTGACTAAAAAAATATGCAATGAGGGCAAGTATAAATTTGTGTGAGCTCCTGCGGATCTAATTGTGAACAAGAAATGTGAGTTTTTGATCAACAGCGATTACATTCTATCCAATCGGTAGAACAACATGACAATGACTCCTGACAAACGGAAAATTAAAATAATTTTAAAAAAACAGAGGGTCCACTTTGCCCCAACATTAATTTTTTTTTTAATTTAATGACAGATCTTAATTGCAATTCTAATGAGATTATGATCTCCACGTGAAGTGCATTGACTCATTAGAATTTAAAAAACTAAACGATTCGCTTAGAGGGTCCGCTTTGCCCCTACCACCCCTATAACATGAGGGGTGAGAAATGGGTTAACAATATGAGGGATGGGGATAGGGAGGAGATGCTGAATAGGGAAAATTTTTTATATTAAAAAACCCTATTACAAAGGAAATAATATAGAGTCCCTGTAAAGATGCCGTTTCGAGCAAGTGGCTCCAAACGGCGATACCCAGGAGCCCAGAGAAGGAACGGAGGCTCCAGTATTAATTAATTATCTCACAGAAAACCTGACCAGAGCGACAGTGTTCCTCAATACAATTTGGCAGTTGCCGTGGGTACAAGTTATTTTCCCCGATTCCCAATGATAATTTCCCTAAACATTTCCCCCCAACAGTCCACACATTTTTGCCACTATTAATTGACAAGTTATTTCAAAGAGTATTGTATTCAGTTGTCATTAAATTATCAATTTTTTAAATTGATAATTGAAAGGAAAAATAATGTTTTTGTCAAATTAATTATTGATGCGTTGGTTAAACTGTTAATTGAGTTGAATTGCGTTGTCTAGTAGAAAGCAAACAAAAAATTGAAATTAAAATTGTGGAAGTTTTGGCTAATTACTGAAAACGCAATAATTCAAATAGAATGAGTTAATATGTCGTAATTGAAACATCGTAGTTGAAAATTTGCCTAGTTGAAAAGCCATGGGGCAGTTTCAATAAATAAATAAATTAAATCAATAATTTCCCAGGTTCGATTACGTCTCGGTGTCTTATTCTTCTCCCACAGTTGAAAAAATGGCGCCATGTGAGAGGTTTGGGGTTATGTATCGATAGTAAATAAAATTATTTCGAAATGGTAGACCCTTTGTTGCACCCCCAACTGTCAAAATCCTTCGATCCACTTGCAAAAAATCCATTCCCATTAATTGCAAAAATAATTGAACATGAGTTCTCAAAGCAATTGTTTCAAAACTCTATAGAAAATTCACAGATGTGCCTTTCCAAGATATAACAAGTGCCTTAATAAAAAATAATATCTGCAATAATTTATTTTATAATTCGTAATTGATATGTCAAAAGTCGGTGAAGACATTCAGAACGCGTCCGATGAAAGTCAAAAGGTGAGACATCTCATTGTTTTCATTTTATTCATTTTCGGGAGAAAAATGAATTTCTGGAATGAAATGTAAACTCGTGTTTAGGCTGATGAGGTAGCGAATAGAACCCTGGAGTCACGTTTCGAGTGTCCGATCTGTCTCTCCTGCATGCGGGACCCAATCCTGACGACCTGCGGTCACAGGTTCTGCTCAAAATGTCTCCACAAATGGCTCGAGTGAGTAATCATCGAGACATAATTGCACGCGACAGTGGCCTATTGTCTTTTCATGACTCTTCATCTAGTGATGAGTATAGTGATGAGTCATTTTTGCTTCCGAATGAAAACTTTGTAATCGTTCAAATTTAAGTTACCAATTTTCCGCGTTAGGGTAAGTAAATATGGCCTAAAAAGCCCGGATATGCGATTTTTAAATGGTGCATGTATGTATGTGGTTTTGAACAGTTTTTTTTCTTGAAATTTCCTTATAAGGAATTTCGCGATTTTTGTAATGATTGTAGACGTTAAGGAGAAAACATTTTCCCGAAACGTTTGACCTTCTAAAATTGAAAATTAAATTTCGGTTTTATCCAGTGGGATAGGCATATCTACACGACCCCATTTTTAAGAAATGTTTCCATGTGAAAATCAATGATAGAACAACGATATGTCATTTTATGTGAAAAACGTTTTTTACATCAACTGCTGTATTTTAAAAAGTATTAAACCGATCAATCTGAAATTTTACAGAGGAGTGCAACTCGATGATACTAACTAGTCCTCAACATTTTGGACCTTTACCATATCCTTCACTCATGTAATGGAACGTCAAAGAAACCTTCAGACAAGAAAAATAGAAAACACCAATATTTCGTAAACTTTGTAGGAACGGGTATATATATTTTGAAAGAACTAGATAGGAGACATCAAGACGAATATTTTGAAAAAAAAATTGAAATCGCATGAATAATTTTTGAGATATTGAACAATATAGTTTTATACAAAAAATTGAACAACACATCAACAGAGAGGACAAGTCTTCTTACAACTAACTCTCCACTCCTGTAAATATTAACGTTCAAAACTCAAATATATTTCGCTCAACGTTGGATCCCTGGAGTTTTCATTTCAATAACCTGCTCACCTCCACAGAACTACTCATTCGATTTCGCCCATCTGAAATCCTAGCCTGTAATATAGTTAGAACTAGAATCCTCCCAAATTTCAACTTATCTCAATTCTCAATTCTTTTTTCAGGCGTTATCGTGTTCACGTCAATTTTATCACAAAAAATAAAAACGTCAATTACTGGGCGACTCGCAATAGTTAGCTAGGCATATTATGGGCCGATTCGATAGATATTGTCATAAGGAATATTTTGACGCCAAAAAGTTCATTGGATGCACTAGTTTTTGAGATATTGAGAAAAGAAAAATTTTTCGGAATCGCTGTATCTCAAAGACTACTGGACCGATTGAGCTGAAATTTCGCCCAGATGGGCTCCCAAACAATACCAATTATGAGCCAAAATTTCAGATTTTTATCTACCACTTTAGTCCTTTTTTGTGTGAAAATTTATTTTAAAAATTCCCAGATGTTCTCTAAAAACGTCAAATCTCGACATTTCATGACATTCGAAGTCATTTCCGAGCAAAATTAGAGAATAGAAAAATCGACTGATTACAAAACTTCCATTCTGAAGAAAAAATCCAAATCCACTTATCCACTTGTTTTGCATTGAAGAGAGAAGAGCAACAGTTGTCCTGTGGACTCGACACCTCTGAAGCCGGGGAACGGAGATCTCTTCCTCGATCGTTACACAAAGAGAGAGATATCTCAGTACAAAACGAAGTGTCCTTATCAACAATTTGGATGCAGTGTGGAGTTGAGCCCCATTGATATGGAAGGACATATCAATGAGTGCGAGTTCAAGAAGAATGTTTCCAGGGAAGAGAAGATTGACTGCGATTTCAAACACGTTGGGTGTGGGCAGTCCTTCGAGGACAGGGAGGATCTGGAGAGGCATTTGGAGGCGAATCACAATATTCATTTGATGGTAATTCATTTTGCCGTATGAAAAAAAAAATCATAGAAAAATGTAGCGAATTCGCTAGACAATTCCATTTATTTATTCATTTATTTATTTATTTTTTTACTTATTACTGTGTACAGACCCAACATCCCAGGGACCAATTATAGGGGCAAAAGAATACTCTAGATATTTACATCTAATTTTATTTACTTTTTCTACTGAACATTTCAATAAAATCGGCCAAAAACTAATTGAAATCCTATAAAATTGTCTAGGGAATTCGCTAGGTTTTTCCATAAAATTTTCTCCTCATCTTATCCAGATTAAGATACTATTCTTCTTGCAGATGATGGGTAAAACAATGACACAGATGATCATCAGTCAGTCAGACGTGAATAAAAAAGCTAGAGATTCAAAGCTCTGGGATCCACCACCGAAGAATAATGGAGGGCAATTGGAGCCTGAGAAAAGTCAATCAAACGTCGAACAATTATTGAAGTAACAATACACTTCTTCCCTCCACTAGCCCTGAGATTTTTCCATCCTTGAAGTATTTCGTTTTGAGTTGATGACTAAAATACCTAATAAAGGCCCGGATTATCTTTCCATCGTTATCTCGATTGTTTTTCCATTGTCATAATCTAAAATAGATCCCAATTTCTATTGAATTTCACGTCATGCAGGACTCCCTAAAAATTATGATTGTACAATCAAAAAAGTAGAAAAAAAAACTGAACATTTTCAAAGAGCCTTTTTAATAAAGATTAAGAAATAGTAAATTGTAACGTCGCCAATTTTTGCTGGGACAAAAATGGACATTAACTCGACCTTTTCCCTTGGTGCAGTCAGAAACTGAAGAAAACTCGACAACTGGGCGTGATCTGCTCTTTGTCTCGACGGGAACATCAAACCGACAATTACTTCGAATCGGAAAACCCAACGAAGAACCAAAACTCAAAACGTATAGACTTAAAACTAAAAGGGCCAAGGGAAAGGTGAAAGGTGGCTCGCGCACCTTTGATTGTGCAATCATTGTTTTTGGCGACTCCAGAGCCATGCAAAGCTGAATGGCAATTAGAGAACTTTTTTTTCATTCATTTAATCATTCACAAATTTTTTGAAATTCTATGGATCTCTCTATGTTTTTCCCAATGTTTTCAAAATGTACCAAACTTTGTATTTTCCAGAGATCTTTATGAGAGAATTGTCGTGCTAGAACAGCAAAATCGTGAGCAGTCGATCATAATCTCCAACCAGAAGGCAACAATAGCCTCAATTCAAGACTCCCTCACATCCCTTCGCGAAGAATCCCTGAAGAATTGCAATGGAATTTACATCTGGCGAATAGACAATTTTAGCCATAAAATGACTGAAATGATGGGAGAGTCGAAGATGTTTTACAGCGAAGATTTTTACACCCACAAAAATGGTTACAAAGTTCGGGGGAGAATAAATATATCGATGAAGAATATGGACAGACTCTCGATCGTTCTACATTTTGTGCCATCGGAGAATGATGACGCCTTGGATTGGCCGTTCGTAGGGGTCATCTCGTTTACGCTGGTGCATCCTGAAGACTCTGAGAAGTCCATCAGGGAGAGGACGTACTCTGTACCCAGTTTGGAGGCTTTCAAGAGACCTGGGATGGAGATGAATAGGCGGAGCTTTGGCTATACTGAATTTATATCTCTTCATGAGTTACCGAACTTCACAAGTAATGATCGGCTGATTTTTAGAATTGAAGTTAAGGCTTCGGATTGATCAGAAGTGTTTCAATATTGTAACGGAATCGTGTGAAGAGAGAAAAAAGAACTTATTGCATTTTCTACAAAATTGTATTGAAATGTGAGAATTTTATTAAATTCCATTGCAAATCTCTTCGAAATTCCATCAGTTTTTCCCGATTCCTATGAAATATTCAGTATTTTTTGGTGCATTTCTCACAGATTATGTAGAGAGAACTCAAGATTTACTCAAGACCTGTAACTTTTGATTTTTACATTAATGTGAAGAATAAAAAATTCAAGGTAATAATGATATAAAAGAAGTGATTTTGAATGCATCAAGTAAATTCAATAGAAAATTGAAGTTGGCTCATCACATTTTTTCTAAATTATCTCAACATTTACTGATCCCTGATGAGACAGTTAACGTTTCTTAGAAAGAGTATCCACGTGGAAAAGATCTCATGTCATATTGCAATTGCAAAGTTTTTAAATTTGAATTGGTCCCCCTCCTGATACTCCAGACATAGTGGAAGAGATGAAAACATCATTTATCAAATCGTTAATGTTGTATTTTTATTATTAGATATTTATGCAGAGGCTGCACATTCCACGAAAATACTAACTTTACCTATTTTACTAGGAGATTATGTAGAAAGAACTCAAGATTACAAATATAACGAAAATTCAATAGTTGTACACAAGATCTCTAACTTTTGATTTTTATATTAATGCGAAGAATAAAGATTGTAGTTGATAAAAAAATTGAAAAAGCGCTTTTGAATTTATCACGCCCCGTTCAAATTCTATTGAAAATTCGGAAACTTTTCCGCATATTTTTTTATTCAATAGATTCAAGAATTCTTCAGTGACGGTTTCCTACAAACTTTCATTCCTCTCGATCCTTTCCCCGTTCTTTTAGGAATTAATTAGACATGCTGTGCACCGACACACATGCTCTAGCACCCGCCCGACTGCTCACATTATTCGAAATCGTATTGTAGGAAACTCGCGGTCTCAATAAAGAGAGCGGGACTGATTTCAGAATCAGAAATCTGAGGTCCTTCAATAATTTGATGTCTTAATTTAGAAACTCAGATGGTAAATATTGAAATAGACATTTATAGTAATGTTTTGTATGTTCTTTGTGTTCCAAGTAGACGAGAATAAATTAATTGCCCTGATGAGGAGTGAGATTTACCACTCGAAACATTGGCAAAGTAAATAGATTTTTTGTTTTAATTCGTCGTAAGCATTAAAATAGCCAAGACCCACCAAATCACGCGCCAAATAATTCAATAGAATAACAATTCTATGGGATTTCTATTGAATTTTCTATTATTTTGTGGTGAATTCTATTGAAAGGTTCAATAAAAAATATTCTGTAGAACACATCAATGGAATTCGATTTTTCTATACAACTTATTCTATTGAGATATTTTCTATAGAATTTCCGCGGCTCAAATTTTCTGATTTTTTTCATTCTATTTTTCTTTTCTCTTCAAGAAAATCAAACGAAAAAATTGTTGTTTTGTTTTTGTTCAACAAAAACAATTGTTTAGCGAATTTGCTAGGTTTTTCTAGTAAATTTTTTCATATGTGATGGCTTGGGGAATGAGGAGAAATTTCAATATTAATGCGGGCGCTTGGAAAAATAATTCAGCTGGGACTGATTTCATTTGTGAGTATCATTATTCTTATTAGTACGAGGTTATGTGATTCTCATTGCCCCAACATTTTTCGATCCCGAGAAAATGCTCCACAAATCAAAATCTCTCAAGAATGTTCAGGTTGACCCGCAAAAATCCTACGAATTGTCCCTCTCGGGCTTCGCACGGATACCGTTACTGTGAATACCAGACGGAGAAAGTATTCTTACAGGTGAGCGTCATCTTACATACGTAGTAGGATAAACTATCTGGTTATTGATATTTCCCTCTTCATTCTACTAAGTAAATTATTTACTTTGAATCCGGTGCGAAAGGCCTTGTAAATGATCGCTATTTACTATTTTCGGATAATCAAAAAAATGAGAGGTAAATGAGTAATTTAATCGTGTGATAACAGAAAAATTGTAGATAACAAATTCAGTTGAAAATTACATAAGTTGCGGGCAATCTTTATTTTATCGAGATAAAATGATATTTTTGTTTCGTGCAGTTAAATATCAGTATCTTTTAACTTGTGAGCGATAGGGGTGGACCTACTAATACATGATGTTTCATTGATGTTTTTCATTATTTTTTTTCATTCATTTTTTCATTTTCATTTAGAGGTTTTGAAAGTAAAAAAAGCGGTGAAATGGAGAGAAAATTTGGTGGCATGAATTCTCAGCGAAAAGGGGATGGAAAAATCTGAAGGTTAGCTTGAAAAATTTGTTCTCTTTGTAGGAAGTAGATGAAACAAGTTGCAAGTGATCTGAAAAGGAAAAATAATTTCAATAAATGTTCAAAAATGTGAGGTGGTTGCCAAGTCTGGGCGCCACCATCTTGCTTCGATACCCCCTCCCCCGGCTGGATGGGGCTTTAAAAATGGCGGCGCGCCCACCTCGCGTTTTCAAACATTTATTAAAATTATTTATCATTTTCAGATCACCCTCAATTTTCTCCACTTGGTTTCTATAACATGAACTAATTTTTCAAGCCATTGTTCAGGTTTTTCCATCACTTGGACTGCGATTTCATGGCGCAAAGTTTTCTCCGGATTCAAATAGTTGTTTTTTTTGCTCCCGAGCCATCTCAATTTTTTTGTTCTAGTTTTCTATCGCTTCTAAATCTGAAGGTTAGCTTGAAAATTTTTTTTTCTCGGTAGGAAGTAGATGAAACGAGTTATAAGTGATCTGAAAAGGAAAAATAATTTCAATAAATGTTCAAAAATATGAGGTAGTTGCCAAGTCTAGGCTCCACCATCTTGCTTCGACACCCCCTCCCCCGGCTGGATGGGGCTTTAAAAATGGCGGCGCGCCCACCTCACGTTTTCAAACATTCATTAAAATTATTTATCATTTTCAGATCACCCCCAATTTTCTCTACTTGGTTTCTGTAAAATGAACAAATTTTTCAAGCCATCTTTCAGCTTTTTCCATCACTTTTGGACTGCGATTTCATGGCGCAAAGTTTTCCCCGGATTCAAATGGTTGTTTTTTTACTCCCGAGTCTTCTGAATATTTTTTATAATTTTCTAACACGACAATCATGATTTTTTCTCCAGAGTCATACATATGATGATGAATGTAAACTTGACGAAATGGACTTTCATATTCATGTCATTCTCTGTGGGATTCGTGGGGTTTTTGATGCACGCGATTGAGGATTACATCCCTCTTTTAATTCGAAAGACCTTCAGATACGGAAAATATGCAGAAAAGAAGGATCATGTTTTAGTGAATCACTTAGAGCTTCCAAAAAGGTGAAGTTAATTACAATTATTCTTGTCTCTTTTGCATGAATAACAGATGTTGAAAGGTGTTAATGCCACTTTGATTTCTATTTAGATGGTTCTCCCATTTCTACATCTTCGCAGCACCCGTGGCAGCAGTTTCCCTCGTAATTCTCGTGAATAGGTACTTCTTCGGCGGAGAGTTGCCGGAAGTTGTTCGTTGGCTTCTGGATTTTCAGTTGGGCTCGTCTAGAAAACCACTGGGTGATTTTAATTCTTTATTTCATAATGTAATGATGATGTGGCGAAATAGAATCATATTTCTATTGAAGATTGCTCTTGCGATGACGAAATTTGTGATTTTTTTTTTTATTGCGTGAAACAAATAAATATTTGAACAACAACTTCAAGAATCCGCGTATGAAAAAATTTCCTAGAAAACTTTAGCGCTTTCTTTAAGGATTTCCACGCACTTTGGATAATTTTTCTCCAGTGGAATGCATTTCTACTTTATTCGTCGCACATCTAATTTTCTGTGAATTTCTATAGAAAAATAAAGATCTACTGATCTTTTTCTATCAAATATCTCTTTAAAAATTGCGCAAATAGAAAACAAATGGAATTTTCTATAGAAGTCTAATGAAACTTCAAGAGAATTCTTATACAATTCCAATTTTAAATCAATAGAATTTCTTAGAAAAAGCGATAGGTTTTTTTATTAAATTTTGTTTTCAGTTTAGTTAATTTTATTTAATTTCATTTTTTTTTATTTCAAATTTTCCTACTTATTCATCCATATTTTGTCTCATATTTTTTTGTTCATAGTTTCTTCGGAAAAATGTTTTATTGCGATGTCACTGATAACCATTCAGTGCTGGAAGAGATTATACGAAACTACTTGCGTAAATGTCTTCAGCAATGCAAGAATCAATATCACTCATTACATTGTTGGATATGTTCATTATATTGGAACCTTCACGTGCATCCTGGGAGAATCTCAAGGGTTTGTCAAAGGTAAGCGTCGAATATTTGGTCATTAATAACAAGTTTAAGTACATTTCAGTAGCGAAGTGGTAAAAAGCTTTAAGTCGACTTATCCCTCAGCTGAGTTTTCGAGGAATATCTCCGAATCTAAGGGAGATAGCGAAATTTTCGTTCATATCTTTTTTGCAGCTCTCAATTTTCTCTACAGAAAAGGTCGTAACAAAAATTTAGCTATCTGCCTTAGATTACGAGATATTCATTGAAAACTGACGAATAGTCAAAATCAACTTAAACCGGTTTACCACTTCGCTACTGATTCCATTTTATATTGATGCCTCCAATTGTATTTTTACTTTGTTTATGCAGATTTTCGATTCACCTTCCACTGGACTAATTTAACATCCCTCGATTATTCATCCGCCCTTATTTTCTTATCCGCGTCGTACTTCCAACTGCACTCGAATTATATTCTGTCGAGTTTGAGAAAAGATAGAAAAGGGACTGTTGTCACGAAATCGTATAAAATACCGAAAGGAGGGCTCTTCAACTACGTAACGGGTGCTCTACAATTCACGGAGATTATCATGTACTTTATGCTCACAATTATTCTCTGGAGGAGTTCAACTTATCATTACGTTTTTCTGTGGGTGCTGATAAATCAGGTAAACTATTGTGCAGGGAAAAATCCATTTCAAAATCATAACAAAAATTTTAAGGATTTTTTCAATACTTTTAATGAATATTTTATTGGAAATTCAATATTTTTCAAACTTTTTCTTTCCAGAAAAATTCGATTGAAACATATGCATTAGAAAACAAAATTGGTGTATTTTGATTTGTTTTTTTTAATCAATAAGTCAGGCAGAGTATTGATATTTCCCATGAAAAATTCATTACTAAATTCTAATAAAAAATTTTGGGGATTTTTTCTTTATTTTTATTGAAAATTTTATCAAAATTTCAACATTTTTTAAACGTTTCTCTATCCAGAAAAAAATTAACTAATGCATATTCTACAGAAAACAAAATTGACAGATTTTGATTCTGCACTGATCAATAAATATTTACTCTTCTTTAATTTCCATTTTTTTTCTTGTTGTCGCATTAAAAAACAGAAGGATGAAGAATTGTAAAAAGTTCTCATGTACTTCTACTTAGAAAATGAGTTCAAATAAAATTCGATTAATTTTTATATGAAACAGTTGTCTATTAAATTTCCCAATCAAAAGAAAGCAGCCGAAAAATTATAGAATTTTCAGAAGAAAACTATTCAATTTTTGTATTCGTAACACGAAATAACTGATTAATTTTCAGATGCAAACAGCAGCTGATTCTCACAAGTGGTATCGAAGCACCTTTAAAGATTATCCAAAGGATCGTAAGATCTGCATTCCATTCATCTTGTAGTACCCCAAATGAATAACCAGATTCATTAATGAAATAATGAATTAATTAAACCATTCGTGAAGTGAAATGACTGAATTCATTGGAAGAAACGGGTGGAAAAGAACATGTATTTCAATTTACACAAATGTTGTTCCTAATAATGTCATTCCATTCATCCACTTTAATAATTGAGAACCAACTTATTATATTTTGTTACGGCAATAATATTATGAACAGTGAAATAAATCTTTTAACAGCCACTGCAATTCCATTTACTTGAAGAGAAGACTGAAATAGATAAAGAAAACATTGTTAGGGATATCTCAAGTTCTAAAAATTACAATAATTGACTGAAATAATTCAGTAGCGAATATTTCCGAATCTAAGGGAGATAGCGAAATTTTCGTAACTACATTTGTTGTAGCTCTCAATCGGCTCTATAAAAAAGGTTATAACAAAAATTTTGCTATTTCCGTTAGATTCCGAGATATTCATTGAAAACTGGCCGATAGTCAAAAAAATTAACTTCTACCATTTTACCACTTCGCTACTGAATTTTTTCCATTCGTTTGTCGATGATTTTACCTGTAAGGATATCCCTGAGCTTTATTCCTGAATATGGAGAGAAGGAGGCTGAAGAATACAGCCAGTAGACCAGCACCAATCACAGCGAAAATTCGGCGTTTCTTCACGTCCCCCTTTCGCGATGCTGCTTCAGTCATTAGAATCATACCTAATACTACTGCTCCATCTGATTTGAAAATTGTTAAGGTGAATACTGTATTTAATGAGGGGAGAGTGCACTGAGACGAAAACGACAAAGTTCTCAAACAAGTCTTACTTGTGCCAAGAAAACAGTTTTTTGAAAATTATGAAAAAAGGATTTTTATGTTCCAAACATGCAGAGTGCGCCGGAATGACAAAAATTTGCCATCATAGGACAATCTTCAAACAGGACTTGTTCAAGAAAATAATTATTTTACTGAATTTAATGGTGATTCAAAATATTCTCTCCAATGCCATCTTGACCCAGATCGATCAAGAGATTAATTGCATCATCTGTTGTTAAAAAAATTTATTTTGAAGCCGATATTCATATTTAACATATATCGTCATAGAAATACCATTCGGAGGCCAATTACTAATTTATTATCAAAAATATATTGACTACGTTGTGACGAAATTAATTACTCACTTGTTTTTGTCAATCTATCGTTAAAAGTTGAACGTTTCAATTTCACTTTACTATTTTTAAATTCATTATTTTCCCTAAATGGCATCCCATCAATCGCTCATTATCAATTAAATGTGAGTATTGTGTAAAAAGGATACTCAGCACCATCACGATGTAAGTTTCAAGAACAAATTGTCCCTGTGAAGAACCATGGATGTAAGCCACATTTCCATTGGGTGATTTGTGGATGAACGGGGGCCCCCTTATGTGATTCCACATTTGTCCTGATATCATCGTTAACGTGAAGAACTGATAATTGAAGCATAATCAATTGTTACCATCTCAAGACATTCGAAGTTTGTGAATGGAATACTTTCCCAATTCTCAAGTTCATATACGAAGAAAAATGATCCATTTGAATAAAATAAAAATCTTTATTTGAAATTTTTCACTTGTTTCAAAAGCAAGAATTTAATTTTATCAAATAAACAACTTAGTAATTTCAAATAAAGAAATTATCTTAATACAAGAAAAATCCTCACTTATTATTAATCAAGAATTGATTTCGATCAAATAAAGATTTATTAATAATGAAAAAATAATTTATTTAATGTAAACGGAACGTCAAATGAAGACAAAATTTTAATTTTAATAAAAACGTTATTTGAATCAAATAAATCATTTTTCTGTGTAATTTTTTGTTTGGTTGTTTCTTTTTAATTGTTAAGTATATTTACCAGAGCTCCAAATCCCCACATAGTTTTATTATAAATGAAGTCGAGATTATTTCTCTTCAAATACAAAAATCCCCCGACTAGAACCAACAGCATGACGAGGGCAACAGTTCCAGAGTAGTTTGGCGGTCTGAAAACGCGGATTTGAATGTCAGTGCGTTCTGATATCCATTTTGCTATTGCTTCAGCCCCGAATCCAACTCTCTGAATGTCCATAGTATCCGCTGCTTTGGGCTTGCCTTTTGGGGGGAAGTGCATGTACACGGGAGCTGTGTTCAATTTCATCTGGAAGAGTTCAACCATTTGCAAATGAACCAAATCCAATTCTATTCTATTGAAATATTATATGGAGAATTCCAGTTTCTTGCAGTAATTCTATGGAAATTCTTTCAGAAATTCCTGTTTTTCTTTATTGAGATTAATTATTTGCTCATTGCTGCTGAGCCCTGGACGTTCAAAAAATTAACAAATGTTGATAACTGATAATTAGTTGTTAATAAATAATTTAACGAGAATTCGCCTTACCATCTGGAAAACGTCGGACCCCTCGTCGAAATCAACAGAAACGAAGAACAATTTATTCGAGTAGGACTGCGAGTAGCGGAATGAGTTGGCTACTATCGTGAATTCTTCATTCGCATGACTGAAAAATAAATGTAGTAAAAAATTTTCTAAATTAAAGAACGTAGCAATCCAGTTATGAATGAAAATCATGTGTGAATTTTTAGTTTTTTTGCCTTGCCGATTTGAATTAGATCCTGAGCAAATTTATCTCCTGATGTTGATGCTGAATTAAATGAATGCATTCATAAACGAGACATCAATATGATTTTCAACTGGAGCAGTGATGGATTGTAGAAGACGATTGGAGAAAATTACCTGCAAATTTGACACTGCCTCTGTGGTGCCATGGCAGTGAACATGACAATGATGGAATAATTCCTTGGTGTTGCTTTGATATATTCCTTAAACTTGGCTCCATTGAACTTCAGCACTGGTCTCTTCATTGCCATGTCTGTTAATTGTTGCACTCGCTCAGCCAGTGGTAAACTTTGACTCTAGAATCGTGTACCATAATTGAAACGCTTCCGATTATAATGAAAGCAAGTGGGAAATTGCTCTAGAGAAAGTGTGTTTTTCTATGAAAATTGTTCAACATAAATTTGCTAACTAATTTCCACTGTATTTTGACCTATTCCCCATGGTAAAATTCGAGAAACAAAGCTTAGAAAATTCATGCTCAAGAATTCTTAGACGAGAAATTCCAATAGAACAGTTTATATAAAAAAATTAACATTTATTAAGTTTTACCACGAAAATACCGATTGAAAACTTCACAGTAAATTTGGATGATTTCCAATAGAATTGAGACAAGGAACAAATAGAATTATTGAAACAGAGTTCTTATAGAGAAAAATAAAATAAATAAGTTTCAGAGAATTTTTCAGAGAAAGCGTAGGGGAGGGTGGGGTAAAACGGACACTTTAGACTATTTTAAAATTATTCATAACTCAGAAACAAATTGATCAATTGTGCTCAGTTTAGGCTCGTCACAAAGGGAAAGAATTGTTCTTTGTATTGAGAAAAAAAATTATTAAATTTTATCAACATTTCGACCCCTCATTGACATTTGAAAAAAAGTCAAGTGTCCGTTTTACCCCAGCCTTCCCTATTTTTATTTAGGAAAATTCTTCAACATAACTTTTCTAACTAGTTTCCACTATATTTTGATCTATTTCCCATAGGAAAAACAATGAAGTAAAGCTTAGAAAATTCAAGCTCAGGAATTCTTACATGAAAAATTTCAACAGAACAATTTACATTTAAAAATCAACATTCATAAACTTTTACCACAAGAAATATCTATTGAAAACTCCACAATGATGGACAATTTCCAATGGGATTGACTCAAAAAACAGATAGAATTTTTAATTAGAACTAGATTAGTCCGCGCGCTCTGCACTCCATGGGGCTTAATGTATGTCAATAGACCTTTTCATTCTGAGTCACTAGATTTGCGGACACTTTATCGAATTTACATATAAATCATGGTTTTTGTGCGCTCAAGTGTATATCATTGTAAAGTTCAATATTTATCAGAATTTTCCATGGTTTTTTCGGAGATTTTTTCGTTGAATGAACGAAATAAATATTTCCCCTAGATTTCCAGAATGAAAAGGTCTGTTGTAGTGAATAGTCTTATTTAAGATTTCTGAAGTGAATATCATGTTTTCCGAAGGAAATTTTAGGAATGTATTCTACACGCCTGCTGATCTAATGGGGTGAATGTAAACATAATTGAAAGGTTATCCCCTAAAATACTCACAGCTTTAGTTCTGTACTGTGACTTCACCCCTAGAAAGCACAGCAAGAGTGCAAGCACCGAAGTGCTCAAAATCCACCTCATCTTCACAAATTGTCAATTTAACAATTAACGAATAATTTATAATACTTTTTGAGGCGAGAGTATCGTGCCGGTAGACTCGTGAACACGCAGGCACTGATAGCCTGTCCCGAAAACGTCACAAGTGTCTGAAGTTACGTGGCATGTGGGGAATCGCTGCTGCTTCTTGGCTCAATAGTTTCGCTCGGGGAAGCCCTCGCAGTAGAGAACGGGCACGAGGAAGTAGTGGGGCGATACTGCGGCCGCCATTGGGATTGGTCCGCTATCTTGGAATCAGGGGATTCCCTTTGAATTGGCCTATGGGACGCAGCGCATTCAGGAGTGGCTGAGGAATTTCGAAACGAGGAAGTGTTATCTATAGTTTCGTAGTGATGTGTCACGTAATTTTCGACTTTAATTGTTAGCGAGAAATGGGCAATTTATTGGTGAAATAGGTTTTGACTCTTTTGTTAATTTACGAATTGCGATTAACAGTTGATGAAGGCACGAAGAATTTAGCAATTCTGTGGAAAATTCCATTTTTCAACTTTTTCGTTTTTTAAGAATTATTTGAGTTTTTGAATAAATGATATTTTTAATTTTAATTATTAGTAATAATGTTAGTATTATTATTATACTAATATTAATATTATATTACTTTTATGTTAATAATATCATATTAATATTCTAATATTCATAATATTTTAATATTAATTATTGCTAATAATATTAGTGGTATTATTAATATTAAAAATGGCAATTTTTGAAAATTACGAGCGTTTTCTATAAATAACTTATAAGCAATCAATTTTCATCAAGAAAAATCATTTGTTCGAAATTATAACAAATTTATTCGTATTCCGAATTTTACCAGAAATCGATCTCATGTCTAAAACAATAAGGTTTCCAAGAGTTTAACCAATTTCAATTATTTATTTATAAACGACGAATGTTTAAAAAAATAATGATTCTACACAAAATGTATTTGGATATCGTTAATTCACTTATCATTATTAACAAGTGAGTTACAAAATTACAGTTTTTCTGAATTTCAATTTATGAAGAACTGATCTTTAATTAATTTATTAATTATATTGTCACATCAAAATAAGATTAATTATTTTTAAAAATTGACAATTACTAAAATAAAATGTAGAATTTTCGATTTATGAGTTTTGTAATTTTAAAAAATCTGTCGTGAATTAATTCATTAATTATCTTTACCTCAAAATAATAGTCATTAATTTTGGCAATTAACAATGGCTACATTTGTTAAAAGTTCAATCAAACCTCCAATTTTTTTGAATTTCAATTTTTTCAACAATGACTTTGAACCCAAAATGATATCCATTATTAAAAAAATGAAATTTCCTCGTAACATTATTATTATGATTATTATTATTATTAATATGAATTTTACCTGGACAATAAACAAATTTATGACAAACAAAATGAAAAATACTGATTAATTCCTAATTAATTCCTCACTTGGCATTAAAAATTTCAAAATTTCTACGTTCAAATTCCCGCAAAATTATCTCGAATTAATTAAAATGCGATCAACTATTCTAAAAAAATATTTTTCGATTTACAAATTAATGAATGATTCCTCGAGGCCCGCGAAGCCCAATTGACTTGACCAATATTATGTAATTCGATATTATCTCCTAAATGGACCGAGCTCTTTAATTTTAACCTGCGCCTTAACGGTCTTTTTAAACCGGCCGAAGGCTAGACAGAGGGAGGGTACGGAAAGGTAAACCGTTGAACAGCTGAAATCCTGCTGAATCCTCTCCACGTAACTCTCGCTCCCTTTTGCCGCGCATTGCTGCACCGGTTGTCACGGGGGGAAGACGCGCGCGGGTCGGCTTCTATTTTCTCCCGTTTATCAATAAATATTCTATTAAAAAAACTAGCCGTTCACCCCGCGAATCGGTTAATCAGCGAAGTTTATCAGTGAATATATTTTCCAGAGAATACATTTCCTTCAAAAGGGGAAAATGTCATTTTCAAAGGCCAAAATTCAAAGATTCAATGAGCTCACAAGTAAGTTTACCATTTCCCTATTTTTATTTTTTTATAAAAGTAAAATAAAAAGGATAAAAAAGGACGAGAAGTTGATTTTCTTAACAACAAAATGAGAATTATTTTTCATTAAGGTTTGCATTTTTAGCCCAGTGATGACAAGAAAGGAATTATTAATTAATTAATTGCATGAATCGGGGATTGGATTCGCACGGATCGGAAAAAAATGAATTTTATCAGTGAAATTGCGTGATATTAGATAGGAAGTCCGTTATTGCATGCCAACGGGTCGCGAGCGTTGAAAAAGAGGGGTCCCGAGTTTTTATCGAGCACCTGGCAATTGTATATGAAAACCCACTAGGCGCAACGTCCCCTCGGGCCTCCAGCTGCTTTTAGGCTCCCCTTCTTTTGTCCCCCGGGTAGTTCGTACAATGCTACATACATACTGGGGTGTGAAATGGTTTTCTCGAGTCATACGTTGCACAATTTGTACAAAAGGAAAAACGCAAAACCCAAAATAAACAAGAGCATGAACTACATGTGTGGGCGACGTTTCGGCCGATTTTTGCCATTCCTCCGAATGGAAGCAATAGCTATTATGATCGTTCAAATTTTAGTTTTGGATTTCTTGCGTTAAGGGTGCCAAGTGAATTTGGCGATGACCTTGAAAATTGACATTCACCAACAAAGTTATAATTTTTTAAATTAATAGTATTAGACAGATGGTGAACATCGGTGAGAATTTTAAAATTTTAGAACTTATGGATATCGAGAAATTAAATAAACAAAATCAGTCTTATACACGGCCTCTTATGGAGTTTTGATTGAATTGAACGTCTCAACCCCCTAGGAACTCAAGAAAAATTTGAAAAAATTTGAAGATATGGGGAATGATGTGTTTAATGTGATGGCGACAAAAAACAATGGGGTACCGGGGTGAATAAGAGAGATATTTCAACCCGCCGTACCCATTTGATCCCATGCCTTCTCGAGGTTCGTCACGCGAAATAGAGGATTTTCCGCATTTATTTTCTCGATGTCTAGTTCCGGTTGCGGGTTTGAAATTTCGTCGGATGGATGAATACATATTTCTCCAATGATGGAGGGAAAGAAAAAATTTTTTTTGAATCTTTTTTCAAATTCACTTGGCACAAAAATCCGAAAATCAGGGATCCCCATCAATACTAAATTTCTGTAATATTACAAGGATTTGATCCTTACATTATTGATGGTTTAAGGGGAGACTACTATGAGTTTTAAAAGTCGTGGGTTATTGTTTCCTTTTTCAGGTGAGGCACCGCCTCCAGGATCTTACGATCCGAAATTCGACTCGAAGGGCAAGGGGTTTGGTGTCGACAAGCCCGGACGGTTCAACGATAATCGAAGTGCTGCGAGCAGCGGAGCTGATTGCAATTCAGTGTCGAGTAAGGGAGTTGCTCCTTTAGTTTCCCCGAAATTTCGCACTGTAAGTATCGATGCAGTCGTTGGGCTGCGCTGTGGAAAGTTTTTCAACTTTCCAATGAAATTGTGTGAAAAAAATTGGAAAAAATCAATTCACAATTAGTTTTACCCAATTTACATTCAGCAATATATTAATATTTTTTTCTGTGATTTCTTCTAGTAGATAAATAATGGAACTTGCAAACGTTTCGATCATTTTCTATGAGGCGTCAGAATTTTTTTTCTTCACAACCAAAATTTTTCAGTTTTTATTTCTACCAATTCCATTGGCAATAAACTTCTGAATGGATCTGCAAAAAAATTATTTTTAATTGAAAAAAAAAAGATTGTTCCTTGAAAAGATCTGATTTTCGAAACGTTTGACCTTCTAAAATTGAGAATTAAATTTTGGTTTTGTCCGGTGGGATAGGCATATCTACGCGACCCAATTTTTAAGAAATGCTTCCATGTGAAAATCAGTGATAAAACAACGATGTCATTTTATGCGAAAAACGTTTTTTACATCAACTGCCGTATTTTAAAAAGTATTGAATCGATCAATCTGAAATTTTACACAGGAGTGCAACTCGATGATACTAACTAGTCCTCAACATTTTGGAACTTTACCACATCCTTCACTCATGTAATGGAACGTCAAAGAAACCTTCAGACAAGAAAAATAGAAATCGCCAATATGTCGTAAACTTTGTAGGAACGGGTATATATATTTTGAAAGAACTAGATAGGAGACATCAAGATGAATATTTTGAAAAAAAACTTGAAATCGGATGAATAATTTTTGAGATATTGAACAATATAGTTTTATCCAAAAAATTGAAAATCTTTAAAACTACTCATTCGATTTCGCCCATCTGAAATCCCAGCCTGTGATACAGTAAGAGCTACAATCCTCCCAAATGTCAACTTCTTCTCTCAATTTTTTCAAGCGTTATCGTGTTCACATCAATTCTATATCAAAAATTAAAAACGTCAATTACTGTTACGTTATGTTGTGTTAAAAACGTTTTTCACATCAACTGCTCTATTTCAAAAATTTATTTTGACATAATTATGAATAAAAATAACTTTAAAAATCTTCGCTTGATATTATTGTTCCGTTATGTTGAATAATGGGTACTGAGCAAGCTCCTCATTTTACAGCCCCAATTACTCAAAAAAAAGATACCCAGAGCGGTGCCAAGCAGTTGTCCGAAAGCGAAAACAAAGCTCATCCTCAATCCCAAAGAATTTAAATACGATACAAGGGATGAGCTCGCCGATCTCAAGGTCGAGTGCGCGAATAAAGATAAAACGATAAGAGATCACGAGAAATGCATCGAGGACATGAAGGTCGAAGTGAAGAGACTGGAGAAATCATTACTCGATGTTCAGACCAAGCAGAAGGATGTTGAAGAGCAATATAAGCACGATTTGGAATCTATGGTGAATTTTCCTGTTTTTATTTCAAACAGAATTGAATTCAGTAGCGAAGTGGTAAAACGGTTCAAGTCAATTTTGACAATTGGCTAGTTTTTAATGAATATTTCAGAATCTATGGGAGATAGCAAAATTTTTGTAATAATCTTTTTTATAGAGCCAATTGAGAGCTACAACAAATGTAATTACGAAAATTTCGCTATCTCCCTTAGATTCGGAAATATTCCTCAAAAACGCAACTGGGAGATGAGTCGACTTGAACCGTTTTACCACTTCGCTACTGAATTGAAACAATTTTTTCACCGAAACAGTGTAATTTAAATTATGTTTCGCTCAATTCCAGGCAAATCTGCAGCAGGATATTTTGAATTCTCGCGACGAAAAACACAGCTCAGAGTTAATTTTCGTGAGAACGCAATTATTAGAGGCTTTAGAGTCCAAGCAAAATGAACATTCAGCTTGCAAAGAAGTGGAGAAGGCGCTGAGGTCCCAGATCGCGGAATTGTCACTGAAGTTTGAAATGCTGCAAGTGGAACTGAATAATGAGAAGCAAAAATCTAAGGGGTATGACGAATTGCTCCTGAAATTTCAGAGATTAGAGAGGGGAATTGAATCCAGAGAACGTGAATTCATAGAACAGCTCAACGAAATGGAGATTAATAAGGGGATTATTGTTGCTGAGTTGACGGATACTATTATGGAGAATGAGAAGAAGCTCATTGAAGCTCGAGAGGAGGTAATGTCAGGACAATAATCATTTTTCGAAACTTATTCTAGTGAGATATTTTCTATAGAATTTCCTCGACTCAAATTTTCCAAGTTTTCTTGTTTCATTTTCTTGATAAAAAGAAGAGAAAAATAGAATGAAAAAAAATTGGAAAATTTGAGCCAAGGAATTTCCATAAAAAATATCTTGATAGAATAATTTGTATAAAAAAATCTGTAAAATTCGATTTTTCTATAGAATCGGCCAAAAACTAACAGAAAGTTCAATAGAAATTCATTAATATTATCTACCGAAATTTGATAAACGGAAAAGAAAAATAGACTTGAAAAAGAACTTGGAAAATTTGAGCCGAGGAATTAAAAAAAAAAATATCTTGATAGAATAATCTGTCCAAAAAACTCGAATTCTAAAGTCTTTTCTACAGAACATATAAACAAATAAACAGAAAATTCACCAGAAATCCCATAGAATTGTTTGTCGTGCGTGTATTTTCATAAAAAATCTATCAAAAAAGATTTCCAAACAATCCCGCCATCGCGCAGACCTTTCCCCCCGCCAATTCCACGAATAAACCAAATTGCCTTCGACTCCGCAGATGAAGCAGTTAAAAATGACGACAGCAGGTCTAACCGAGGACCTCCGCTCCTCCGGAAGGGCCAACGAGCTCCTCCAACTCGAGTGCGACCGCCTGCAAACAGAATCCGAACTCTCCGCCAACATCCAAACAACCTTAGAAGAAACCCTGGAAACTCGTCAACAAGCCATCCTGGACCTCCACTCCCAGCTCTCCGCCCTGCAGTGCGAAATGGACGAGCTGAAGGCGGAGAACGAAAAGATCCTATCAGACACTCACCACCAGCTCTCCGACCTGATGTCCGCCCACGAGACCGAGATCACCGAGTTGTCCTCGAAATTCCTCTGCAAGAAGCACAGATACGAGGCCGACAAGGAGTCCGATCTCTCGAAGCAGCGCGAGTTGGAGCGAAAAAATCAAGAGCTACTGATAAAAAATCACGCCCTCATCGACGAGATAAGCCAAGTCCAGAGGAAATACGAGGAGCTGAAGCTGTCCTTCAGGGAAATTGAGAACGAATTGGACAACGAGCGAGAGTTCTCCGACATTTTGGAAGGCAATCACCAAGAGGAGATGCGAAAGCTGAAGGAGCAGCTCGAAGACCCGAGGGGCCAGAAGAAGCAGAAGAAATCCCCGAAGAATTCCCCGAGAAATTCCCAAAACTTGTCGGATCAATCAGACCAACTGCTGCGAGAGGAGTTACTGGTGCGTGAGGAGAAGATCACAACGCTGACGACAGCTCTAGAAGACTTGCGGCTGGCGTCGGCGACGCAGGAGAGCTTCAGCCAGAGCCTGCAGGAGGAGTTAGATCGGGCGGAAGGAGAGCTCGCCAACAAGAAGAAGGAGCTGAAGGATCTGAAGGAGCAGATCCGGGAGGAGACAGCTGAGATGGTGACGAGGAGACGAAGGTTCGAGGTGGTGATGGCCGAGAATCAAGCGACGGTCGCTGCCTTGTCCCAAAGACTAGCGGAGAGCACCGAGGAACTCGAGAGGGTCCAGCAGGAGTTGAAGTCCTCGGAGGAGCTGATAATGGAGCAGCGAGAGCTGCTCAACAACATGCGTAACAGCTCGAAATTAGTGAACGATCAGCTGCTGTCGTTGATCGAGAAAGTCGACATGAAGAGGCTTGACGAACTGGAGGAAACGAATCTCGTTGAGATTGAAAACCTGAAGTCTCTGTTTGAATCCAAAATCGATGAGCTGAAGAACGTGTACCAGAGCGAATTGAGGATCCTTCAAGAGGAGTGTAGGAAAAAGGAGAGCAAGAGTGTGGAGTTGAGGAGGGAGATTGAGAAGATGGCGGGGAAGATGAGTTCTATTCAGGAGTCGTTGCTGCTGTTGGAGGAGCAGAATGATGCTCATTGCATCGAGATTTCGGAGCTTCAGCTAGCGAAAGCTAAAGTTGAGCAGGAGCTGCAGCGTCATATCGAGGAGTCGGAGGCTATTGAGACTTCTTTGGAGAGTGAAGTCGAGAGGTACAGGAATATGACGAAGGCTGCGGAAGATCGCGCGAATGAACTAGCCGAAATGTTGCAGACATTGAAATCGAAACAGGTGAAGTACGAGGGCTTGCAGAAGACGTTGGACGAGCAGAGGTCGTTGTTGAAGGAGGAAATGGCGATTAGGAAGAGTGCGGAGGAGGAAACTAGGAAATTGGCGGAGTCTTGCGAGCGTTTGAGGGAGGACTACCAAGATATTATGGATAAGTACACGGAGGTCATTGGACAGTCGAGTCACAAGCAGAGGATGAAGCAGATTAATCATCTGAAGGATAAGATTGCGAGTTTGGAGAAGGAACTGGAGGAGAAGCGGACTGTTGTGGAGCAGCAAACTAAGACTATTGATAGATTTCAAGCTGATGAGAGGAGGCGAACTTTCACGAAGGGGAAGGAGAATTTTGGGGGCATTTCTAAGAGCCCATTTGGAACGCCTGTTTCCTCGCCACATAAACCGTTAACTCCGCTGCGAGAACGCAACGAATAATTTTTTATTTACATTTTTTCATTTGTGAAGTCGTAAGATATAGTATTTTAAATGTAACCGTACGGATTTATCTTTTGAAATTGATTATTTAATATTTGAACGTTTTAAATTAACAGTTTGATATTTTTTGTTGGAGACAGAGAGAAACAACGTCATGCATTTGTTACATGTTTCGGGGAGGGGATCATTAAATTTAGTTTATATTTACCATTCTATATTTTTTGGAATACAACTTTTACTTAAAAAATGCGCCTTTTTTGTGATAAAAAAAAAACTTTCCCCGAAAAATTTTATTGCTTTTTTTAGAAGAAAAATAACATTGATTTTTTAGGCAGGAGGAAGTGAATAGATGATGATTTTCAAGATCTATTCTAATTATTTAATATCCAATGTTTTTCTTCAATTTTCGAATCAGAAAAAAATGCGGGAAAATTTTGGAAATTTGAAAAACAAGTCATACAGAAAAATTTAGATCTACTGACTTTTCCTCTTTCACATATTTTCGAAAAAAATCGGCGCGAAGTCAACAAATGAGATTTTTCAATAGAATTCTAACGGAATTTGAATGGAAATACAATTCACTTCAGAATCCAATAAAATATCTCAGTCGAATAAAATGAAAAATAGTGGCTTTTCATACGTGTCATGAAGATCTCAATTTGAAATAGGCGCTCGTGACTTCAGAAAAGTCCCTAGATCCGTGAACTAGTGAATAATCCCCATAAACTTGTCACCACTGTTTCCTTTGTGTTTTCCCCTCCAGCTCCCGGCCAAATCGTCGCCCCACCACGACATTCCCTCACCCCTCCCAGTGGCCGAGTCAGTCGTCCAGTGCAACTGCAGTCGAGCTGTCGAGCAGTTCCTAAGTTTCAACTCCTGTGTGTCAAGTGTTCCCGTAAAAAAAACCCCAAAAATCCGTGTAAAGCCGCGTGCCCCGACTAAAACCCCACAAAACCCACCTAAACCCCGAAAAAAAAGCCTAAAAATGGCTGAAGGTGACGCAAAAGTGAACATGTCTCTCGGTAAGTGGCCAGCGTATCGAAATGCTAAAAGCCAAAACAATCCGCGATCTATAAAACCCATGATCACAAATAATCGTGAGCGTACGGCTGCATCTTTTCCAATACCAACAATCGCATTAACCAGAAAATCACCTTAACTATTTATTCGTCCAAGCGTGAAACTGATAATCCAAGGGGAACAGATTAAATTCCGTGGAGTTGCACACAAAATGGCGGACATCACGAGCTGTTCTGATTTTCCAAGATGGTCAAGAGATCCAACGTAAATACGCACAAAGTGACGAATAAATTCAGTGATAAATGCGATGCTAATTAAATCCAACAGCGATTTCGAGGTTTTTTATTAACGTTTTATTCACGTTTTATTGATGGATAATTAAACTGATGTACAACGACGATAATTTAGTCCCCAAGAGGTATATATCGTTGGTCTACTGAGAGTCATCCATCACTCAACTGAGCATTCCACCATGATTTTACGATAATTACCCGGAATTATCGTCCTAGGTACGATTTTTCCACGATATTCCCCTGATGAAATGGATTAGTCATGAGAGAAACGCCCCGAGCTATTGTTTCTGGTCGGTGAAAGGTCCAACAATATGGCGGCTAGTCCAATAACCGAATATGGATGTATCCAATAATAATCGTTATCTCAACAGTCGAGTGTTGACGGTTTTTAGTCACTTTTCTTTTGGATTGGCTCATCCATTCATTGATAGCACTCTCGGATGAGGGAGTGTTCACGACAGGGATTTGGGATAGATTAACCTGAATTAACTACTCGATGGTGTTCCTCAATGTAAAAAATGTCCAACTGAAGGTCTCCATTAATAAAGGGGATTATTATCACGAGCTGTTACTGTTTCCAAAATGTTCAAGAGATCCAACGTAAATACGCACAAAGTGACGAATAAATTCAGTGATAATTGCGATGCTAATTAAATCCAACAGCGATTTCGAGGTTTTTTATTAACGTTTTATTCACGTTTTATTGATGGATAATTAAACTGATGTACAACGACGATAATTTAGTCCCCAAGAGGTATATATCGTTGGTCTACTGAGAGTCATCCATCACTCAACTGAGCATTCCACCATGATTTTACGATAATTACCCGGAATTATCGTCCTAGGTACGATTTTTCCACGATATTCCCCTGATGAAATGGATTAGTCACGAGAGAAACGCTCCGAGCTATTGTTTCTGGTCGGTGAAAGGTCCAACAATATGGGGGCTAGTCCAATAACCGAATGTGGATGTATCCAATAATAATCGTTTTATCTCAACAGTCGAGTGTTGGCGGTTTTTAGTCACTTTTCTTTTGGATTGGCTCATCCATTCATTGATAGCACTCTCGGATGAGGGAGTGTTCACGACAGGGATTTGGGATAGATTAGACCTGAATTAACGACTCGATGGTGTTCCTCACTGTAAAAAATACCATCAAGCATCAGCTAAGCTCATGTACAACTGAAGGTCTCCATTAATAAAGGGGATTATTATCACGAGCTGTTACTGTTTCCAAAATGTTCAAGAGATCCAACGTAAATACACACAAAGTGACGAATAAATCGAGTGATAATTGCGATGCTAATTAAACCCAACAGAGATTTCGAGGCTTTTTATTAACGTTTGAAGTAACTTGATGGTCTTCCTCACTGTAAAAAAATACCAACGATCATCCAAGTCCATGTCCAACTGAAAGTCTCCATTCTCGAAAAGAATAACCGAATCGAAATGGTTTTAATCAGTCCTAGGATACGATAATCCCAAGAAAAAACCAACTAAATACAATATTCACAACTTGAGGAGAAGATACAAGGAGATATGGATCGAGTCGATAGATTCGGATAACGAAAAAAACGAAATATTAATTTCAGCCGACCAAAACTTCCGCTCGCTTTATTAAATTCAGTTAAACTTTTACTTTATAATCCCAGTCCCCTTATTTCGTATCCCAAAAAATCCGCAAACCTAATATTTTTCGTTTATTAATTTATTTGAGAGGAGTGGAGAGTCCCGAAAATCCAAAGCAAATTAAAATTGAAAATTGAGGATTGGAAAAATCCAGTGGCAATGTTTCGTAACGAATAATCGCGAATACGAGCTGATAAATTTATTTCCAGAAATCGCAGTTGAGGCCGTACGCTCACAAGATTAAAAAAACAAAAATGAACCCAAGAAAATAAACAAAACACAAATCCAACCCTTTTCTTCCTTTTAAGATGACATCATAAAGCTGGACAGGAAAGATAAAAAGAGAAAGGTCATGGTGAATGGTAAGGGTGGAGGGAGGAAGAATCGTCAGGGTAAGGGCCAGCCGGGGCCCAGGGGCCAGTCGGGGCCCAGGGGTCAGCCGGGGCTCAGGGGTCAGCCGGGGCCCAGGGGCCAGCGGGGCAATAAGGGTAATAACCTACGTGGACGTGGGGCTAATAACATGAATAAGAATGTTAATGCGCCTAAGAGCCAGGCCTGGCGTCTTCAGCGTCAGCAGAGCAATGCTGACTTTGTGGCGAAGCGTTACAACCAGAACGTCGGCCCCAAGAGGCTCCAGAACAAACAGAATGTCAATAAAGGCAATGAGAGGAAGGGACAGATCAACAGCTCCAGGCAAGGCTTCGCTGCGAGGCGAGCGCCTGCTGCTGCTGGCCTTCGTGGAGGGAAGACTGGGATGACGCGAGCCAGGAGCCGAAACAATATCCCTGGGGCTAAGAGGTTTATGGACCCGCCCAAGGGCATCAAGAGGGTCAGCAGCTTGCCGAATCTCAGGGATCCCAACTCGGTTTACAATCGCCTTGGCTATCAGAGCCCTGCGCAGGTCGCCTACAGGAACAGGGTCAAGAGGGCTAAGCAACTGCTGCTGCAACGACAGAGCCAGAGACTTGTGCCCAATGATTTGGTATGCATTTTTTTTGGGGGCGATATTTGCACGAGACTTTAACTGGGTATTGCAGATTTGTACCAGAGGTTTCAGGGAAAAAGTTGGTACTATTCGTTGATTTTTAGTTGAGGATACTTTGGGGGTCTTTTACGGTTTCGTACGGAGGATACTAGGGGTTCGACCATTTTCAAATGAAGCTGAAAGTAGCGAAAGATTCGACAGCAGAAGATTTGTCTTAGGCGATTTGTCTAGGGGTGTACAAATGTTTTTAAGTAATGTACAAACTCTTTCGCAGCTGAGAAACATTTGTATATATCAGTAGCGAAGTGGTCAAACAGTTTAAGTCGATTTTGGTTATTGGCCAGTTTTCAATGAATATCTCGAAATCTAAGGGAGATGGCCAAATTTTTCGCATAACCGTTTTAGTAACACTCAGTTCGCTCTGCAAAAAAGGTTATTATGAAAATTTTGCTATCTTCCTTAAATTCGGAAATATTTCTGGAAATACAACTAAAGACTGAATTGACTTAAACCGTTTGACCACTTCGCTACTGATTGTTGTAGCGCTCAATCGGCTCTTCGGATGCGAAAATATTTATCAAAGCTTATCCTGAAGTCCGTAAGGAAATTATTCGAGTAGATAATCCAACGTCAGATTAACTTTATTTTCGAAAAACCTGGAATTCAAAAGAGACGAAAAAAATTTCATTGAAACACGTTTTTAACAGTTGATTTTCGATATTTCCATGAAATTTATTCGATTGATTAGGTACCACGTCTAGCAAAATCCCTGTCACTTCTGAAACAACGTGTATTGGAGACACGCCAACGAATGCTCACAACCCAAAGAGGCTTCAACGCCGGTGGACTGCGTTCAGATCAGATTCTTCGAGCCCAGAGACGACAACAGTACAACCAGAAGCTCTTGAGGATGAGGTATGAATTCCAGTACACTGAGAGAAAAACAAACACGTTGTCAAACAAGTCTTGTTTGGGCCAACAAAATCACCAGTTGAAAATTGCCAAAAAAGAATTTGTTTGGTTCGAATTTGAAAGTCTCAAACATGAATAATTGTTCTGCTTTCGACAGCAACGAAATATTTGGCTCAAGAGGCGGATAATTCACACCAGACGGCGCCTTTTCAGGATGAAAATATCATATAGAGGAGAATTTATCAACAAATATTTTATCCCTAAGTTACAAAATTGCTATCCTATCATTATTGTTTCATTTAAAGGTTCATTTCTTGTCTGTGATTATTAGACAGCCGAAACGAAAAACTACTATCCCTTGTTTCGCATAAAACAAAGATTTTTGGGGAGCAAAATACGTATGGGAGTATCGAATAACGAAGGAGTAGTGCTAGAAATGACATTTCTTCCCTGTACGGAGAGTGCAATTTTTTTTGAACTACTAAATCTATTTTTGTGACAACAATTTTTCATTCCGGCGCACTCTCTGCATGTTTGGCACAAAAAAATCCTTTTTTGATCATTTTCAAAAAACTATTTTCGGGGCACAAGTAAAACTTGTTTGAGAATTTTGTCGTTTTTCTCTCAGTGTAGTGGAGATGTTGATTGAAATAATAGAGGTGATTTTTTTCAAAAATTCCTGAATTTTGGCTTCCGAATCGAAGCTTTGTAATCGTTTAAATTCAAGTTTTTGATTTTTTGTTGATGCCCCTTCTTGATTAATATAACTTGATTGTAATTTTACTTTCCAGTGCTGCTCGGGTCAATCCAAACCCCAACGTAAACTTCATGTGCACACTTGGTGATGAATATGGCCCAAGACAACGTTCTCGTTCAATGAGTCGGGGTGGGAGTATGCGTGGCAGACGACAAATGTCACGAGGGCGTTCACCCTACCGACAGAATCCACAAAATTTCAACCAGGTAATGTTAATTATGATCAGACACAAGTGAATTTAATCAAGTGTTCCAAACGAGACAGTTCGCTTTTGCACAATTTTATTTTTAGATTATTCTATAATTAATGAGATTGTAAAATTCTCGTGGAGACTTTTTTTGTAACTTATTTGTCCGTAAGACAACCCCTCTATTTGACTTGGAGTTCAAAATATTTTATAGACCATTTTTTTAAACTATCAGAGAATTCAAGAGAGCATAAAGTTGGATTGTGGACTAAAATTTAGTGATAATCTTGAGCTTTCACAAAAAAATTGTTCAATTATGGTATTCCTTTAAGCCTTCTATACTATAGAGTATGTTCGTTAAAAATTTTATAATTTTGCATAAAAATTATCTCGATAAACGAGACGTTTGAGTATGCATTGGACATCGAATTCAGTTCCGTAAAGTTTATGTAATGAAGAAAAATATTAAAAATCGGTTGAAAAATTCTGTTCAATTTTTTTTCACGATCATTAACACTTATTTTCCAGCACCTGCCAAGAGCACCCCTCTTCAGACGTTCCCGATCCCGTTCAAGTTCTCGCTCACGTTCACGCACAAGGACAGTACCCCTGATCCATTCAAACACAAACGTCGATGATCGCACCTTCAGCGAAGTCATGTACAGCGTCTCGAACAATCTTGGAGTCACCGGGCGAACCCTCAACGACAGATTTACTTTCTAAACACCTAGCAAGGGCTATCTACACTCTTATTGGACGTTATTGAAGACTGCTAAAAGATGAAAAACATTCAAAATACTGAAAATCTTTCACTTCTCAAGGAGGAAATACCGAGAGCCGAGTGGCGTGCACCCGTGTGCATTCGTGTATAGAAACATTTATCGATGAGACGAATTAGTGAAATCATAAGGAAACACTCGTCCTTTGAGCTAGATGCTATACAGTGAGGCTGTCGTTTTTTTGTGTATAAATTTACACAAGCAAAATTTAAGGATTATTTAAGATGTCATCACCATTTTTGCCATGAGGGGAGGAAATGATTCGTTTCATATATTTTAGTCGAGTAATTTCATTTTGTGTGATTGAAACAAAAATTACGTTTTTTTTTCTCTTTTATTAAGACTAGGATTAGGAATATAATACACTGAGAGCATTGAATAAGCGTAATTCTGTAGAATTTTATCGAAAAATGTTTTTTTTCTTGATAAAGTCGATGACACTTTGTTTATTAACTAGTGATACTGAGAGAGAAGTACCTTGTATCATGTAGGGGAGAACACGGTGGGAAAAGTGAGGGGAGGAGGAAGGAATGTATTGTTCTAACCAGGGGGTACGATGCATCTGAAGGTAATGCTGAGGATTGAGAGAGTTGAATAAACTAGTGCTGAAAATTGAAATTGTTCAATGTTTTCTTATTGTTAAGGGGGTGTGGAAGTTGGGAGAGCATTGAGGAGCGTGAGGGGAGTTGTTTTTTTGAAGGACTCAGGGCTCATTTTTGAAGGTCAAAAAGTTTCTCGAAATGGATTTTATTAAAATTTTGATATTTTTGATCATTTTGACATTTTATGAAATATCCGAAAACATGATACGATTTCTATTGGAGAATGTGTCTAGGGACTCCTCCAATTTTCTAAAAAATTATCACCCTTCTCGGATTGGTACTTGAGGGGGTGAAAAGATAGTCTTTTGCGATTTTTACGCAATAAAAATTTTAACACGAAATATCCAAAAACATGAATAAGTGCGTGAATAAATACACATTCAACATTCACTTGGCGAAAAAATTCGATTTTGGCGAAAGTCGACTTTCCTCTGACAAAATCCAAGATCTGACCTTTGATCCAGGTGAAAATGAAAATTTTTTATTTCGACATTTTCGTCGCCTCCGAGTGTTTCATTGGTATTTGAGGAATGGATAAATACAGAATTAACGTTCACTTGGCGAAAAAATTCGATTTTGGCGAAAGTCGACTTTCCTCTGACAAAATCCAAGATCTGACCTTTGATCCAGGTGAAAATGAAAATTTTTTATTTCCACATTTTCGTCGCCTCCGAGTGTTTCATTGGCATTTGAGGGGCGAATAAATACGGAATCAACATTCACTTGGCGACAAAATGCGATTTTGGCGAAAGTCGACTTTTTCTCTGACAAAATACAAGATCTGACCCTTGATCCAGGTGAAAATGAAAATTTTTTATTTCGACATTTCTGTCAAAAAAATTTTTATATTTCCTATAGATATTGTTGAAATTTTGAGGTATTTCAAAGAAGATAAGATAAGAGAAGGTTAAGAAAATTCGATTTTTCTATACACCTTATTCCATTGAGATATTTTGTATAGAATTTTCTCGGTCCCAATTATCAAAGTTTCTTTTGGTCAATTTTGTCAGTGAAAAGAAATGAAAAATAGACTGAAAAACCTTGGAAAATTAGATTCGAGTAAATTCTCAATGGAATAAATTGTATAGAAAAATAATTCCGGTGATTTTTTCGATATAATATTTCCTATTAAATATTTAAATATAAACGGCTAAAAACCAATAAAGTTCAACAATCACTCCAATAGAATTTTCTATCGAGTGCATTAGGTTTTCCTATTACATTATTTGACGCGTGCAGTCTTCAATTGCGACGCATCCAACTATCCGACAAACTCCCGACGCCCTTCCCACGCATCGCATGGATGATTTACACGATACGTACAATCACCATTAAATCCGAATGAATGATAAAATTAACTAGACGCTTACCCATTAAAAATAAACGATAGCGCTTCTTCTTTGTTTTTAATCGCAGAAAGGTCTGTAAAATGTCAAAGTTCAATGCTGCGCCTCGAGCATGGGAATAAAATTATTTCTCATATTTTCATTGCATATTACCCAGCGGGGGGAAAAAATATGGAGTGGCAATCGTTGATGCTGTAGTGGGAATAATCGGTCTCGTGAATTATTTTATTTATAACTGGAGAAATCAATCGCGATGCACTTCGCTCGTGCGTTGACCGCGCTCAATGGCCTGGCTCGCTGCATCCAAAAGCAACAAGTAACGATTCGTTATAATTATCTGTCAACTAATTAATTACAACATCTGCGGTGCGATTGAGTGATAAATTTGCATTTCATGGTTTAGTTGTTGGAGGGTCGAAAAGTCGTGCGGGAGCACATAAGACGGCTGAATGTTCACGAGCACGTGGCGTACACCCTCTTGAGCCAGGCGGGTATACCTACGCCACCTTTCAAAGTCGCGAAAACGCCGGCGGAAGCTGGGGAACACGCAAAGAGTCTTGACACGAGGGATATTGTGTTGAAAGCGCAGGTTTTGACTGGCGGCAGGGGAAAGGGCAATTTCAAGGGGAGTGACATTGGTGGAGTCGTGGTTTGTGATACGTGAGTTGTCCGGAAATTTTCAGAGCGCTCAGTATTTTGAACATTCTGGAGATTTTTTTAGATGTTTTTTTATTAGGCTCTAGACGCGAGATGAAATCTGTGGAAAAATGGTGAATCGTAATGAAGGAGCGGTTTTTTTCTCATTGATGTGGCTGGGGAAATTGGTTACGAATAAATTTTACATCTCGAAATTCAGTGACGAAATGTAGTTGTAATCGTTCTTGATAGTTTTGGTGAATTTAGACGAACAATTGAAATTGTGTGAAATTTTCGTTGAAAATTGGATTTTGTGTCGATTTCTGTTGGAAATTGTGTAGTTTTGCTTCGCGATTTTCCGATAATTATTTTACCCTCGATCACTCGCTCAATGAGCGCAGCGCCGCCCGTTTTCGTTTTTTTGTTTTAGCATGTTTCTCGAAACAATTTACAACAGGCTTAAAAATTCTGAAACAATTAGAGTTCCGAGTTCAATCATTTTATTAAGCGTTGGCGTTGTCCGTTTTATTTTCGGGACATTTGTTCAGCTAAAACAAGAAAAGAAACGTCGAACGGACTGGCAAGCGGTGCCGCGCCGCCCGGTGCGAGTCCCTCGAGCGACAGTGTTGCTACATTCACTGCTACACTTGAAATGCGCCCATAGCGGTAAGCGCCAGGGTGGCAACAGCGCGCCCGGTTTAACCCACCGATGCGCTCACCGTGCGACGGATAAAAGCTGGCGGCCGACCGCGAGCGATCGAGGGCTAATGGAAAAAGTTCAATAAATTTGGATTTTTCTACAGAAATCCTCGAGCGTAAATTTTCGTAAATTTAAATTTGTTCAAATTTAAGAGAAAAAATTAGAAAAATCATGCCCAAGAATTTTTATGGAGAAAATTCCAACAGAATGAATGATGAAAACAAACATCTATTTAAAAGCGCCGGAGGAACTCACATATTTTTTAATAGAATTGGCGCAAAAAATAACTAAAATTTTTCAATAAAACTCCAATAGAATTATAGAGTTCCAACAGGAATTCAATGGAGTTTCTTAGAGAACGCGCTAAATTTTTCTATTAATTTTTTTCATACGTGCCTCAAACGATTTTTCAGGCCGGAACAAGCTCTCGCGAGTGCCGAAAAAATGATCGGAAAATTTCTAGTGACAAAACAGTCAGGACCGGAGGGAAAAATCTGCAACACAGTGATGATCACGACCCGAATGTTCCCCCGGAAGGAGTTCTATCTCGCTGTGATGATGGAAAGAACCTTTGGCGTAATGTTTTTATCAAATACTTCAAATTTCGCGAGTCACTCCTAATTAATGGAAAATCATAATGAGGCATGAGATAAATAGCTTCGGAATTGAATTGACGCAATGATTGTGGACTTTGCACAGGGCCCGGTGGTCATAATATCGACTGAGGGCGGTGTGAACATTGAGGACACGGCTGCAAGTCGTCCGGATGCCATCGCTTATTTCCCGATCGATATTGAGAGGGGAATTTGCCAGGATGAGGCGCGAAAAATCGCCGAAAAACTCGGGCTCGAGGAGAAGGGGGAGACGGCGGTCGCGGGGATGATTACCAATCTTTTCAAACTTTTTGTTGAGAAAGATGCTCTTCTTCTGGAGATCAATCCGTTGGTTGAGGACATTTGTGGGGACTGTGAGTTGGTGGAATTTAATTAAACAATCCAATTATTTCAACATCAGTATCATAAAAATTACGAACAAATTAAAAATTTATTAAAATTAAAATGATTAATTTTTTAATAATTTTAAAAAGTCGTAATTAACCATTCACAAGTTTTGATTATTCTTTTAATTAAAAATTTATTAAAATTGAAATTATTTATTAAAATTAAAATTATTGATTCAAATTTTAAGAAATTATTATCAAAAGATTAAATTGAAAGTTCCTTTTATGCAAATTCTGCAAAAGTTTTTTTTGTACAAAAATATTAAAAGCAGGAAAACGACTACAGTTTTCTCAATGAATGTTTTTTTAGATTATTTCTTATCTGTCGAAATTCCTCGCCATAAATTACTCCTTTGTCCTTCATTTTTTAAAAAATTAATAAAAATCTGAGAGAAAGAGTGGAATTTTCCCTTGAAATCACAGTTATTCATTGAAAAAACTCATTCCAAAGTCCACTTTAAAATTAATCATTCATCGCTGTCGAACTAGCTTCTGATTATTTCCGTATAAAAATCGACAGATTACGCATTGGACTGTAAATGTAATTTCGACGACAGTGCAGAGTTCCGCCAGAAGGAGCTATTCGCCCTGCGAGACCCCTCGCAGAAAGACCCCAGTGAGTCCCAAGCGGAGAAATTCAACCTGAATTACATCCCTTTGGATGGGAATATCGCATGCATGGTGAATGGTGCGGGTCTAGCGATGGCTACGATGGACATAATAAAACTCAGTGGGGGAGAGCCTGCGAATTTCCTGGACGTCGGCGGCGGAGCAACTGCGGAGACAGTTAAAGAAGCCTTCAAGATCATCTCCGCTGACGCCAAAGTAATAATTAACCCCTCCCGGGCGGGGCCCTTTTGTTTCCAAGCGTGGAGTACGCTCGACACAACTAGAATGTAATGACTTCTCATCAACGGAAAATTATGAAACCGATATGTAATTGAAGCTGTAGTATTCCTTTTTTCGTTGTTATTTGTTTGGTTGAGTTATATTCCATAGTTTTGGAAATAATCAATTTTGAAGAGAGTCATTCATACTTTCACGGGTCGATGCACGGCATCGACCCCATACGCCAGGGGTTAAGGAGCGAGATACGCGGTAGCGTATCGGCCACGGAAAAGTTTTGACTCCGACTGTACAAAACTGGAATCATATCCATTAAATACAACGCAAACGTGACAAGCTACATGAAAGATATTCTTAGCTACACTGAAATTCAGTAGAACGTCCTGTTATGATATTCCTTTCTTCAATTAATTATTTGTAATTATGCTCACCGCGGAAAGCAATACGAGCGATGAAAATCATATCTCCCAATTTATCAGCTGTTCAATTTTCATATTACAATGAATGACTTGCCCGTGTTCAAATTCCTATGCTCACTGAATGATATTTTAATCATAATTACAATTCAATTCCTTCTAGAACACACTTTAGAGTGTGAATTTCTGGAATTCAATGTTTGTTGAGACTCGGGTAAAAGTGCGTGACCACACTGTTATCAATTTTTAGTTATTTCACACGGTAATTCAATTAATTTGTTGTTCATCTCATCAATATAATTCCGTGCTTAGAATATTGTCATCTCGTGTTTTCAGCACCAAATTAAAAATTAAAACTTCATTTGGAATATTGAGTCACAGCTTCTTTTTATTCATATCAGAAATTTTGTATTTGGATATTAATATTATTTGTTCAAAGTGAAAAAATCGATCATCATTTTCACTATATTGCATTCAGATTCTCCTATTCTTAACGTCAAAAATGTTAGATAATCTCATAGTTCTAGCTATTAATTCTAATCAACTTTGTTCGAAGAAAACCTTAGTAAACGCAATATTAAGAAAGTAGAATTATTCTATTTTCCTCTGATCTAATTGATTTGGACAATTATGATTCGTTTATTCATGTATCTCAATGAAATAAATTGTAATTTTCCAGGTTGACGCAATTTTCGTTAATATTTTCGGAGGAATCATGAGGTGCGATATAATAGCGGAAGGTATTATTAAAGCCACTAAGGAGTTGGACTTGAAAATTCCAGTCGTAGCGAGATTACAGGTGATTAGTCGTCAGTTTAGTCATTGCATTATGACGCTATAATGAAGGCGTTTTCCATTGCCCATCACTCCCTAATTTTTTATTCTTTCTAACATTCTATAAAAAAATTCTATAAACATTCTATAGAAAAAATTCTAGCAAAAGCTCAATTACCAGTCTTCAAGTTCTTTTTACAAATGTTTTGAAATTGTAAAGAATTTTGATGAAGAGCTTTCCATAGCTTTAATATTGAAAATATTGAAAATCCCCTCCAGATTTTAAGATGTTCATTAAAAATCCCCTGTCGATCCAAGTCCTTTGACAATTTCTTACGAATCGTTCTCAACATTTACAGTTCAATATCAGAACTTCCACCTGACTCCCAATGATTCTATTATTTCAATTACAATATTGTAAATTTGATTCTGTATTCTGAACTTTTCCGAAGCATTTAAAAAATAAAAAAATTAGTCTACTTTTTGAAGAAGTTTAAAGAAAATAATTTAAAAGTTGTTATTGAAAATTGAGGCACTTCTTCATTGAATGCAGCTAGAGGTTTCAGGAATCCCCAGTATTTATTTATAAGAAGACAATGGTCTGCAAAAAACCTCGTATATTGCAATAATATTTTGATTTCAACATTCCATTTGACGTAATGATTTCTTCACTGAAATACGGATAATTAAATTTCAGGGAACGAACGTAAAGGAGGCGCGCAAATTAATCCAAGAAGCTAAACTCAAAATCATTCCTATAGACGACATGACCGAGGCTGCTGAGGCCTCCGTGAAGGTCGCCAAAATGCTGCAGCTAGCGAGATCCATGAATCTCGATATCAACATCACATTGAGAGCAGATAAAGCCAAAGATGATAGCTGTGATAAGAAACGTTCAATGTGTTCCACTAAGTGCTGACGCTGACGCATTTCGCGATTCAATGACACCAGACAGACAACATGTTGTGCACTGCCTGATACCGATCTATTCGCGAGCCAGAATTGCGAATATGATTCAAATTTGTACATGTGAAAGGATAAAACATCATTTTACGGATTGATATGAACTTTTGTACGTGTTCTCTTGTCAAGAAGATTGATTTTATTGGAACTTAAATTGAAAATAGAGAGGACTATTGATTTTTGGTGAAGTCTTATTCCATTTGCATAACTTGGACGAAAAAATTTGAGAGAAGAATCTTGTGAATTCGCTGGAAAATTCTATTGAATTTTCAATTCGTTTTGCCCGATTCTGGGGAAAAATTTTGCAGATCGGCGCGGTTTTTTAATGGAAATGCTCACTGGAAAAAATTATGTAGAACATGCCAACAGAATTCGATTTTGTTGTACTTATGCTATTAAGATATTTTCTTCGGTATTTCCTCGGCTCGAATTTGAGTTTTTTTGCTTGATTTTGTTTAATGAAAAGAGAAGAAAGTAGAGTGGAAAAAACTCAGGAAATTCATGTCGAAGAATTTCTATAGAAAATGTTTCTATAGAAAACGTACAGAAAAAAGAAAATCCGCTGATTTTTTTCTATTAAGTATTTCCTATTGGACATTTTCTATTTGAAAAAGGCGCAATAAACCTGCGCGTTTTTATCAATAGAAATGTTCAATGGAACGTATTCTATGGAAAAAAACAATAGAATTACATTTTTTTATATCACAAATATTCTATTGAGATATTTTCCGAAATTTTCCGGAAATTCCTCGGCTCAAATTTTCCAATTTTTTTGTCTGATTTTTTAAATGAAATTAGGAAAAAAAAATTAGCAAATTTGGTCAAAACACCTCAAAACGACTTCGATTATGTATCGAAAAAATATGTAATATAGGTATACAGTCAAATTCACTTCATACTGTCTATAATCAAAGTCAATCATTGCCATTTTGGGGTATTTTGACCAAATTTGCGGAATTTCGAGAAGAAAAAATTGAAAATAAAATAGATCCAGGAGGATCCCCAAATTATATGACAGCTCGAAATACTTGTTTTGATTATAAGAATTACTGAAAAAAATGAAACAAATCAAAAGTTACATAATTTGCAAAATTCTACTTTTTCGACTTTTTTTTTCTCAAAAATTCGTTATTATGAGCATCTAAAGATCGAAAAAAAATTTTTACTAAAAATATTCTCGTAGGCAGTAAACAATAAAAAAAATTTACGTTTAATAAATCAAAATCGGATGGATAGAACTCGAGTTATTGAAAAAAAACAAAAAACGAGAAAAAAATCATATCTCTAAAGTGGGCTGCCGAAAAAATCTGAAAAAATTTGAGAGGTAGTTTTTCAACCCCCCCAATCGTATAAAAAATCGCCATCAATTTCCAAGAGGGTGAGGGTCAACGGTTGACTCATTTGGCGTGAAATACCTCATATATTTCCAGCTACAATACCAAACCAAAAAAATTAAAATAGCAAATTACCTCGTTCATACTCCAATTAACAAACCATCAAGGCATTCCTCGACATTTAAATCCGTCAGGCAAGTGCCAACTGTTCTCCTGACGTCACAAACTCGCAATAGCGAGGGAAATACACGTCATTGGTTAAAGTACAGGGGAATATGGAGGAGTGGGGGAAGCACGAGTAACAGGACAGATTGACAAGCCGCAGTCCATTGCCATCGGCGTAGAAAGATGGCTACCATGTTGTCCCGGACGATATCAATTGCCGAGAATTTGGCACGTTTTAACGGCCCAAAGGTACGTTTTATCACTAAAAAATATTCGAAACGCTGTTCCATCGTCGGCTCCACCATTTCCGCGGGTATTGTTGTCGGTTAGAAGAGTCGATAGCCGAGAAATAAATGAAATACGATTGACGGCAGTCATGGGCGAACTCCATATTAGAATTATCGTGGCACAGTGTTTTAGTTCAAAGCTAAATTGAGCGCCAGGGTCAGATGATTCGAAGCCAAGGATTTGAGGTGCCTTTGTGACAACATTGCCCCTCATCGTTGACCCGATTTTTTTTTTTCATTCAATTGAACTAGAATGACAGTTACATAATTTAGGGGTTTTGAGTGGATTTTTTGACTGATTTGGGGACTTGCGAAGGTCGAATTTTTCCGGAGTTTTTTGGCAGTCGGGGGTTTTTTAGATTTCAGTTTTGCATTTATATTGCGTATCTAGAGTGAATAATTGCTTTTTTTATAGAGGTGATTATGCTGGGATTAATGGGTTTTGATTGAACAAATTTTTCTCTGAGAATTTCTAAAAGTAAACTGTTACTTACTTTTCTGCGGAATTTATTTTGTTGAGATTTTTTCTCGTTGAAATTTTGTGGGTTTTTTGTTGAATTTTTTTTTCTCTGCGAAAATTTTTGGAGAATTTAAGCTAAGGATTTTCTGGAGGAAGTTTGAAAGGGATTTATATGTCAACAGAATAAATTATGTAGATTTTTTTCGATGGAAAATTTTTTGGGGATAATTTCTGTGACATTGAAATTGAGATCGATTTTTAGGATTAAATGATTGTTTTTTTAGAGTTCATGATTGTGCTGGGATTAATTCAATGGTTTTGATTGAACAAATTTTTCTCTGAGAATTTCTAAAAGTAAACTTATTTATTTTTCTGCGGAATTTATTTTGTTGAGATTTTTTCTCGTTGAAATTTGTGGGTTTTTTTGTTGAATTCTTTTTTCTCTGCGAAAATTTTTGGAGAATTTAAGCTAAGGATTTTCTGGAGGAAGTTTGAAAGTGATTTATATGTCAACAGAATAAATTATGTAGATTTTTTTCGATGGAAAATTTTTTGGGGATAATTTCTGTGACATTGAAATTGAGATCGATTTTTAGGATTAAATGATTGTTTTTTTAGAGTTCATGATTGTGCTGGGATTAATTCAATGGTTTTGATTGAACAAATTTTTCTCTGAGAATTTCTAAAAGTAAACTTATTTATTTTTCTGCGGAATTTATTTTGTTGAGATTTTTTCTCGTTGAAATTTGTGGGTTTTTTTGTTGAATTCTTTTTTCTCTGCGAAAATTTTTGGAGAATTTAAGCTAAGGATTTTCTGGAGGAAGTTTGAAAGTGATTTATATGTCAACAGAATAAATTATGTAGATTTTTTTCGATGGAAAATTTTTTGGGGATAATTTCTGTGACATTGAAATTGAGATCGATTTTTAGGATTAAATGATTGTTTTTTTAGAGTTCATGATTGTGCTGGGATTAATTCAATGGTTTTGATTGAACAAATTTTTCTCTGAGAATTTCTAAAAGTAAACTTATTTATTTTTCTGCGGAATTTATTTTGTTGAGATTTTTTCTCGTTGAAATTTGTGGGTTTTTTTGTTGAATTCTTTTTTCTCTGCGAAAATTTTTGGAGAATTTAAGCTAAGGATTTTCTGGAGGAAGTTTGAAAGTGATTTATATGTCAACAGAATAAATTATGTAGATTTTTTTCGATGGAAAATTTTTTGGGGATAATTTCTGTGACATTGAAATTGAGATCGATTTTTAGGATTAAATGATTGTTTTTTTAGAGTTCATGATTGTGCTGGGATTAATTCAATGGTTTTGATTGAACAAATTTTTCTCTGAGAATTTCTAAAAGTAAACTGTTATTTATTTTTATGCGGAATTTATTTTGTTGAGATTTTTTCTCGTACAAATTTTGTGGGTTTTTTTTGTTGAATTTTTTTTTCTCTGCGAAATTTTTTGGAGAATTTAAGCTAAGGATTTTCTGGAGGAAGTTTGAAAGGGATTTATATGTCAACAGAATGAGTCATAGACTTTTTTAGATTCCAATCTATCTCCCATAAATTCCCCAATTCTTTACTGCTTTTTTCTCTTTTCTCATTAAAAGATTGCAGCAAAATGTTTCCATTAATAGTCCATGATTATGTTCTGATCATTTAAATGTGTCTTAACGATACAAAGGTATCTCAAACTCCTATGAAAACTCGTTTGTTACTCTAATGAACAATTTTATGTCGATAAAATAAGGAAGTTTATTTCTAGTTCATTAAAAAAATTTAATCAAAAATTCAATTTTAATTATATTTATTTAATAACAAATTTATTTAATAAGTTACTATTAAATAAATATTTATTTTTAAATAAATGTTTATTTTTAATTTTTTAAAAATTTAATTCAATTTTTATTTATTTTTTTAATTTTTATTTTTACAATTGAATTTCATTTCCAGATCTTAGCATGCAAAAATGGTCTGGCGAAGCACCCAGTGAGGAATTTAAATGTCCACGAGCACATAAGTTACAGTCTCCTCAATGAAGCCGGTATTCCTACCCCAAAGTTTGGAGTCGCCAAGACTCCGGAGGAGGCGGCCAAATATGCTGCCGAGCTCAATACCAAGGATATTGTGCTGAAGGCGCAGGTATTGGCGGGTGGTCGAGGCAAAGGACACTTCAAGGACAGCACCGTCCCGGGTGTTAAAATGTGTGAAACGTGAGTATTGATTGATTTATTTTAAAGATAACAATCGACATTTGGAATTCAGGAGAGGGTGAGGGACAATAGAGCTTCTTGAATCATTAATACGCGACCGAATGGTGCGATTTGCATGAGTGAAGTCTCATTTTGAAGCTTACAAAACTATTTATGAAATTAATGTAAAATTGTGCGGTTTCAGTCTGTCGATTTCGAGGTGTTGAAGCTTAAAAATTGCATTTTATTAGTTTCAGTTCTATCAAATACAATTCTTTCATTAATTAAATTGAAATTATTGAAATTGTTTCAGTAATTTCAATAATTAAATTGATATTATTGTAATTATTTCAGTAATAATTAGTTTAAATAAGTTCTGTGAGGGGGAAGTTTAATGAACGTTCTTGTCAATATTTCACTTTTAAATTGAAGTTGAAAATTGAATTGTTTCAGGCCAGAGGAGGCTAAAGCTCTTGCTGCCCAGATGTTAGGAAAATTATTAATAACTAAGCAGACTGGTGAGGGTGGTAGAATATGCAATGCTGTGATGGTTGCCCAGAGGATGTTCCCAAGGAAAGAATACTACCTCGCTGTCATGATGGAACGAGCATTTGGTGTAAGTTTTTCAACGTAAGAATGTAAAACGTCAGCTTCAACTTTTTTAAATTGTTAATCTAATTAAAAAACGATATATTGTAGGAGAAAATGTCAAAAAATTGTTGTTTTTTGCGAAAAATTAATTATAAAAATAATTCAACACGTTTTCATGAATAATTTCACAAAATATTTCCTTAAAAGTTGAAAATATTGATTAATTTTTGCACAATTGTGTTTAATATGCGACAAAAATGATGCTATGGGGGTACAAAATCGTGGGAAGTCCCTTGAAAACTAGAAACAATTTTATCTTTGAATATTCAATATCGGATTTGACTTATTGTGTCACATTGAACTAATTAAAAAAAAAATTGATAGAATGGGCGCAAAAAAACAAAATCTTTCAATATAATTCCAATAGAAATTCAAGAGAATTTCTCAGAAAATGCGCTAGATTTTTCTTCTAATTTTTTTCTATTTTATACGTGATTAGTGATGAATTTATCAGTAAATCAAAGACTGATGATGTTTATTTGATTATCAGGGGCCTGTGATAATAGCCTCCAGTCAGGGAGGTGTCAACATCGAGGAGGTAGCAGCTACAAATCCCAGTGCCATCATGTACGAGCCAATTGACATCCAGAAAGGCATAACTAAGGAACAGGCTGAACGCATTGCTGAGAAACTTGGCCTTGGAAATGTCAAGGATTACATCGGTAAAATTATCCTCAATCTCTACGACATGTTCCTGAAGAAGGATGCACTATTGCTGGAAGTCAACCCACTTGCCGAGGATATTCAGGGAAATTGTGAGTTGAGCTAATCTTCAGTAACTTGTGGATTACATTGAATCAACGAAAATAAAGATTTCATAAAATTACTTGGTTGTCTGAAAAATCTAGCATTGAGATTAAGCATTGTACTTCGACATCCAAGGAAATTATGAGTTAAAGTTGATCACTAAACTCCATTTTTTTGTTAATAAACTTTAAATAAGGTATTTATGGCGTAGTCAGGGGCGGCACAAAAAAAGTCAAGAAATTGATGATTTTTTTTATACATTCTTTAATGTTTTCAAAACCATTATGCAAAATCCCAGACAGCCTAGGAGAATGGGTGAAACACAGGAATTTTTCTAAAAAATGTATTTTGACACGGGCTCTTATGGGATTTCGGAAAAAAAATGGTAAAAATCGAACAAAAGTCGCCATCTTCCTGAAATTTCGCTCTTGGGTGGAGCTTTCATGGAGGAACATAAAAAAAATAATCCAAGTGGCCTAGGAGAATTGTTTTGAAGGGATAATTAAAAAACTCATGAAAAATAGGACTTCTTTGCGTGCGCAACTTGGAATAGCGCCAACGTCGAGATTAGAAATCGTGGAGGGGCAAGCGCGGCAAATACGAATGGAGTTGTGATGATACATTTCGCTATGGGAAGGAACATAATAGCTGAGTGAATCAGTGCTGCCAACTTGTACCTCGAACGGCACGATATTGTCACTTTTTCTATCCATATTAATTATTTTCCAATTATCCAAAAGACAAGCTAGAAAAATGAAAGAAGGCTTGAAATATATGGGAAAAAAATCGAAAAGTTATTAAAAAAAATATTTCGAACACAAAAATGGTCAAAATAGATTGAAAATTTGTAATTGAAATATCGTTTTTTTTTGTTCAGCGATTGGTTTTCTGTGAGAGAACAATAGATTCCCCTCTGTCTCACCTCCGACATGCCCACCCCGCCATAAATACCTTAAATTTGAAGCATAAATTCTAATGAAAAGATACTTCAGCCAAACAGATTCTATTGTAAAAAATTCATTGACGGTGAAAGCATTGTACTTCGTGTTCTCCAGATTTTGCATTAGACTGCAAATGTAGATTCGACGACAACGCAGAGTTCAGACAGAAGGAGCTGTTTAGCCTTCGTGATTGGAGCCAAGAGGACCCCAAGGAGGTGGAGGCAGCCAAATTCGACCTCAACTACATTGCTCTCGATGGAAACATCGGTTGCATGGTGAATGGAGCTGGTTTAGCTATGGCAACCATGGACATCATCAAGCTCCATGGTGGTGAGCCTGCCAATTTTTTGGACGTTGGTGGTGGCGCCACAGCTTCAGCTGTCAAGGAGGCCTTCAAAATCATTACTTCTGATCCTGGGGTAAAAAGACAATCCATTATTGAAATTATTAACAGCTGAAAAAGAAGAAAAATTATAATTCTTGAATCTTCATAATCTCTCAACCAAGTGAAAGACTATCTATTCATTGTAATTATTCCCTAATTTGTTGGAAAATTAGTGTTAAAATTTCGAGGAAAAAAAATTGAAATTCATAACGACGCGAAATTGACAAGAATTTTTCATTGTTATTGAAAAATGGATTACTGTTTTTATTATCCAATTGAATTCAAATTGTTATGGCCATAGTGGAAACCCAATAGACGTGACTTTGTCGTAATTTTTGCATTTACTTGATTAATAGTTGTTCACTGAAGTGTCTTTCATTTCATTACAAATTTATTTATACGTATTCATAAATTATTCAAAAACAGCATTCAATAGGCAATTTAAATAGATTCAGTAAAAAATTTGATCGCATAAAATGAATGGTTTGAACCTCTTAAAGCTTAACAAAAAATCTTGATGTCTCCAAATTTTTGGAATTCTCCTCGTCCAATCTCTAACAATAAATCGATTAAATTTATAATCAGGTTCACGCACTGCTCGTCAACATCTTCGGTGGCATAATGAGGTGTGACGTAATCGCCGAAGGTATCATAGCAGCAACAAAGGAGCTTGACCTTAAAATTCCAGTTGTCGTTCGGTTACAGGTAAACTTTGATTTATTCAATTTACTAGCGCCATCCTTATTTGTTGATGCCCTCATTCCCGTCAAATTCAAGATTCCTTTTCTCTTTGTCTCCAGGGAACGAACGTTGATGAAGCTAAAGCTCTGATCGCAAACGCCGGCCTGAAGATAGTCCCAGTGGACGATCTGGACGAGGCGGCACGTGTGGCTGTGAAACTATCTACAATCGTCAAACTCGCCCATTCAGCTAATCTAAGTGTCAACTTTGAAATACCACCAATCTCGTAGATCCCATTAAACGGATTAAGTCAATTCTGTTTGTCTCCATTTAGAGTCGCCAAAAAAAAACAAGAAATTGAAAACTAAAATATATGTCAATGGGTGTTCAACAGAAGGAAAAAACGTTTGAAAGTGATCTACTAGCATCAACTTGCTGATTATTTTCTCAACATCACGTCTCTGCTTCTCTGTCGATTTTACCTCTCTAAATATTTATGATAATTATTGAAAACAGAAGGAATGCGGTTGACGTCTGTTATGCAATGAAAATACGCTAAAGTACATGTAGGTAGTATAATTGATTAAACAATCTGAGGAAGTGATTACAATGCTGAGCATCGGAAACCACTAATTCACATTAAAGTGCAGGCAAAATTACTATTGAATATGTATTCGTTTTACTCTCACGCATGAAAATTTTTTTTTTGAAAATCTAGAGAATTAGCTAGAAAATTTTATTGAATTTCTATTGAACTCCTATGGAAAAAGTCGATAGGATTTGACTCTCCAAGTTTTGAAGTTTGATTTTTTTACGAGAGGAGAACGAAAAAGGAGTGAAAAAAAAACTTTAAATTTCGAAAATATTTCACTAAAAAGAGGTTTACAGAAAGACCAAATTCTGCAGATTTTTTCTATTGAAATTTTTGAATAGAATCGTCAAGACACTAATAGAATTTTCGATAGCATTGTAATAGAAATCCAATAGAAATTGTCAGCCAATTCGTCAGGATTTTCTATAAATTTTTTTTCGTGCGCATTGAACCAACAAATTATCTCTTTTTATAATAATTTTGATCTTTTTGGATCAAGAGATCTGCGATTCAGTATTAAGTTATGAAAGTAATTGGTAACAAGAGCAAGAGAAAATTGTACATTGATTCGGTATTTGCACATGGAGTGGAAACTGGTGGAATTTATTGTTCAGCGAGTCTTCCACTCCATCGTCCACGTCAATAACTGAATCATTCTGATTCTTTAACGGGTGAGTTTAAACGAGATTAATGTAACCACTGCAATCGAAATTGTATTTTAGCCTGTCCAATGTAACATAAACTATCCATGTAATACATATAAATTATTTTACATAAATTATTGCTTTATTTCCATTCTACATATTCTTTATTTATTTGTTAGTTCTTGATCCACTGTATTGCGACTGCTGTGAGGGCCTCACGTATGAACAAATTCAATCGAAAATCTTGGTGAATTCGCTAGAAAATTCGTTGAGTTTTTCTTTTTACTTTTTTCACACGTGTTCAATAGAACATATAGGAACATTGACATGCATACATGAATGTAAATGATCTCTTCACATACGGCACGCCTCATAAATCAGCTGAAAATATATTGCTGCGTAGGTGCAAAATTTTGAGGTTAACCACTTTTTCAGCGAGTCGACTTTTCAAAAGATTTTAATAATTAATTGGTGAAGTAAAGGCCAAAAATTGTCAATGTGTTCAATATATTTGAAAGTAAAAATACAATTTTTTATGAATTTTTTCACCCATGAAATTCTTGCGTCAAAGAGAAAGACGAAAATCGAAAAAGGGGGGATTTCCCCATTGTGCGATCACTTGAGGGTTAAGAGGTGATGGAACTTACCATCGGAGTAGGAACTGGACTCCAAGTTTATTCGTCGTCAGGCGACTATTCAGCGAAACCCAAATCCTGATACTGATAATACCAAGATTATTGATGATGTAAGAATTTGGGTTTTGCTAAATAGTCGCCTGACGACGAAGAGACTTGCAGTCGAGTTTCATTGATTAATTTATATCGACTTGACCGACTGGTGATCAACCGAGACAACTTCTCTGAGGACCATTTTAGCTCAGTCGGTAAATCGTCTTGATGTCTAGAACGTGCTGCCCTCTGATATTTCATCTCCAACAATGCAAATACTAGAGATCCGATCAATTAGCCCCTCATGTATAGATATTCCAAATTTTTATTTTTTTCCTCATTGAAGTAGTGTTGAAGAAAATTGCGAGCTAATAAAAAACATTTGCTAGTTAGTACTTTTTTTAAAATAAATTTTTGGAAAATCACCTCTGAAAAAAAAGGCGTATACCCCCTATTTCATTATTTCCAAAAATTTTTATCACTAATCGATAGCAAATTGTTTGAAGATTTTTGCGAGTTAAGAAAAAATCGTCAATGCAATCCTATTATTGTGTAAATTGACAATTCCAATTTCAACTGAAAACCAGAGTTGATGACCAGAGTTTGTAACAAAGATGTCAGACAAGATATGAATGTTTTTTTTGGCTCAAATGAAAGAGCGGCTCGAAAAATGGCGTGCAGAAGTCTTTAAAGATGACAAATGTCTCTAAAGATGATGTCTGTTTTCAATTGAAAAGCGCAATTGTGACAACATTGTCCAGTGGGGTCTAGGAGTCTCCCCTGGTTCAAAACCATCTTTAGAGGCCCTAGCACGCCATTTCTCGACCCGCTCTTTTATTTGAGCCAAAAAAAACATTCATATCTTGTCTGACATCGCTGCCACAAACTCGGGCCTTCAACTCTGGTTTTCAGTTGAAATTGGAATTGTTAATTTACACAATAATAGGAGTGCATT